TGGATAAGTAAACTGGTAACAAACGTGACAGTTCAAGAGAAAACTCCGCATGGAGATTGAATCTAGTCTGATTTCGCTGTAATCTTTAAATAAAAACTTGATCTTCTTAAAGCTGTTGTCGCCTATGACCTTTTCTAGAAAACTGTGGCAGAAGGGAGGAACTCTAGTTAGAGGCTACTCTGGAAAAGGATTGAAATGCTAAACAAGAAACTATCCAGAGCCCTCCACAGCCTTTCCACGGAAATCTTTGTCTTTTTAGACCAGAACTGCTGTTCTTGCTCTGCCTCACCTCTTTTTAGAGCATTTCTGGAGTTAGGGTATATCCCCAAAACTTGAAGAACTACGGACGGATCAAGGCATCAGCCTTGGGGACTAAAAAGTTGTCAGTCCCAGATTACTCGAGGGTATCCTGGTATACAGATGGCAGAAGGGGGTACATGTATATGTGGTGATCGACTGACATCCGCTTCTGCCTTAGCCAGCAATAGCACCGGCAGAGATGTTGGGCATCATGATCTGTGCACAGAACCTCAGATAAGCATTGCATTAATTTATTCAATCGTAGAGGCAAACTAGATACACTATGCGGGTGTAATGTGGTAAGCTTGATCACGAAAGGGCAGAAGAGTAGACTAAAATTTGCACTTTCCTTATACCCTGCTCTAAACCAATGGTCAATGGGCAAAACTATACTTAAACTTATCTATATTTTTGGTTAATGTCTCTACTTTACCTCTTCATATAAGGCCAAAATTTTTAATGCATTAATTCCGTGTTCAGCAAATTACTGGACTAATAAACACTGGGGGTCAATCTGGGTACACTTGTCAGTGGCCAGATAAGCAGACTACCGGCAACAATATTACACAATATTGCAAAAATAAATGCAACGATTTTAGTCTCCCGATTTATTAGAAAACGAAATATAATTACATAAAGTACTTAGTTTTAATGTTGCTTTCTTCGGAAACTGCACCCTTCGGTTAATCTCGCTTTGCCACCGGTCGACGTGCACAAAATCGTCGAGCATCCTTTGCACGGCACGGGCGACTGGGCGTGCGAAAATATCGTCGATATAACGTAACATCCGGGGCACTTGACGTCCATGAAGTAGCTGTTCGGATGCTGCACGAGACGTTTTAATTTGTGCGCCCTTTTCTGCTGGTCCGGCGAGGGATGGAGTAGATCAACTGCTAACGGCATCTGCAAACGATTTTGACTTAAAAGGCTGCGGGGGGTCGACAGAACGTCGCTGCTTACTTTTGAAATTGTCCTCTTTTGCAATCGGTATTAAAAACCAACTTTCACAACACGTGGATAACACGGCAAATGTCGGCGTAAAAGGAAAATGAAGTTGCACGTAGAAAATATATTTTTATCTGTGCAGGCCGGCCAACCTAATGCGATTAAATGACACCATCATTTGGCTAACTTCGTAGTGTACCGATGGTTTCGTTACACATAGGCGGCAAGATTATTTTTTTACGCAGGGGCAAAATTATGTTTCGAAAACTGTTTGTCTGTCTGTATGTGCCGTAACCTATACAGTTTTGTACTTGATGCTGATGAAAAAATACGAAACCTTATTTCGAAAAACTTTCAAAAAAGTTCATTGAAGAACCTAATAAGTGGGTTCTCTCCCCCTTTTAGTTAGAACTCTAAGAGGTTGCACCCTACAAGAGGCATTCCTAGGTGACGCATACTCTAGGGATCAGGATGTCCGTCGCTAATGAAAACGGCGTCTGGTAGCAACCAAAGACACCATCGTGGACCAGCGCTACCTCCCAAAACCAGTGAGTGCATACCTACGCCTGGATCCCCGGGGCGCAAGTAGAACTGGAGAATATCCTGAAAAGGATCAAATGCTGGAGTTACAACCAGCAATTGGCGTGTGGTAGACAGGAAGGAGAACAAACTTTGACCAGACTCCTTGGAACAAGATGGGGGCCACTTGCAACCATCGACCCTACGTGAACTTCACCAGGGTGACGTTCAAACTCCTCCCCAAAACGTAGGTGACAAGCATAATTGAGTGCGAAGAGGCCACAGCAGCTGAGCGCCCTCGGGGAAACCACAACCAATTGTGCCCAACCATCACTTTTCAGTAGGTTTTTAATAGAGCAAAAACACGAGGGAGTGGGGTTCATACCAAACTACTGCCCTCACCGAATACAATAAGGGCATAAGAAAGTCAAAATGTAACTCGTGAAAGAGGTAGTGCGAGGAAATTGAACAAATTCCAGAAGGTGCCAGACCTCAAAGAGCTTTATACAAAGGAACAGAGGGTAGAATCGGTTCCTTGATACAAATTGAAGGGGGTTATACAAAGACCGCAAAGGAGACCTTGGAGCTTTTGCTCAATCAGGGCCACTGTCGTTTTATCAAACACCTGCACAAAATGGGACTGACCGACGCCCCTTATGCAAGGGTTGTGGTGAGGACCTCGTCATTTGCCAATATAAAGCATACACAAACGCAAGGGAACGCCTACTTGGAAATGGGAAAATTAGCCCTATCAAAATCCTGGTCTTTGGTAAAGATACAGCTATTCTTGAAGGGTAGACAATACGGGGGAACACAATAGACCAACTGTAGGACCACCTCTAGCACTATAAGAATAATAGAACCAAAGACCTGTCTGCGCCTAGGGGCAGCATCACAGTAGCCTCTCTAGCTGGAGAGGCCTTGATAAGTCCTTTACCATGTTGCATGTTCCAGTCCGATTGATTATGACTAGCCTTATATGGTCTTCAGGTGTCAAGAGTTTCCAAGGTTTTCCGTTTTCAAGACATTGTAACGGGTGGTCGCTTTAGAATTAAAAATGTGCAATTGTTTCGAATTTATATTTTGGTAAGCATACGAAAATTTACACATGTACCGCTTCATAGTGACCTTGAACAAAAATACGCCTGGCGATATCGGGCCAAATCAAGCAAACGCATTGCGGCAAGCGAGCGCGACAGAAATGCGGGTTTTTCTATTGGTTTAAAGGGGTACGCGAGTGGCGATTGTTTTGCCCGATTGTAACAAAGTTCATATTAAACCTCGGGAACTAGAAATGAATCTTTGTGTTTGATGACATACGGTAAAGATGTTAAAGACAATTAATTATGAATTTTCCTTCTGTCAAAATTAGCATGACTCATCACGAAAAAGCTGACTATCAATGATAAAAATATCTTAGATAGCCAACCTAGTCCTCGAGTCTTAAGGTTTTCAAATTCTCCACCTTTAATATCTCCAAGGTTTTCGAGACCTGCATGGGTTTCTGTTGCCCGCAGATCCTTTGTGCGGGTTATCAATGCACCAATAAGATCTTCAGGATACTCAGCACCTGGCCATCCACGGTTTAGAAACACAAAGCGTTCTACTTATAGCATTTTTAAAGTTTCCTGGTATAAATAAATATTTTTTTTATTGTGTAATATATAAACAAACAAAATACTGTACTAACATTTCTCTACTATGGTGCTTATTCTATGTATTAAATGTATCCAAGACATCACATTCACCTACGGTAACCCTGTGCATAGCCATCTCCGATATACCGTGATAATGTACAAAGGCGGCCCCGAGTACGAAAACGTGAAAAATCTGATGAGAGTGTAGCCAAATGTCGAACTTGCCCGGCCAGAATCGCTCGGGAATCCGAAGCGCGTACAGCACGGCTCCGGTTATGTACAGCACGCCCATGAGCAGCAGCAGGCCGAGATTTTTCAAGCTCAAATGATTCGACCATCCCTCCGAGATGCCGTAGTGAATGGCGGGCGCGATTCCGCTCAGTCCGAACGTCATGAAGACGCCGGCGCGAAACGTCCTCCACGCCGGCTCCGAGAACTTGTCCCAGAGGCTGACGGTGATGCTCAGCAGGCCGAGCACGCTCACCGCCGACAGGTATATGACCTTCCGATTGAAATGGCAATAGAAACCGTAGTACACCCACGGCACGAACGAGCCCATTATCAGCAGCGATATTCCGCAATAGTCCAGCTTCGAGAACAGGTTCGCGATCAGTCTCGAGTGGCAGTTCACCGTGTGAAATATGAAAGAGAATCCGAGGCAGAATATCGCGCCCATGAAGAACGCGCCGAACACGAGCTTCTCTTGAAATTGTATGTCGGTCCCTGTGAAGCAGAGGAAAAATGTCGCCGTACCTGTAAAGAGATCGTGTATATTCACAAATTCGACTTGGATGATGGGCGTACGATGTGTGTAGGTAAGTGGCGAAAAGCTTGGTGAGATTATGAAGCGGGTGATGGGCGATGATAAGAAAAAAACACTCACACCAACCATTTTATTAAACCCACAGGAAGTGGTAGACCATAGATTTGCTCTACCATTTAACCAATTCAGAACTTCCTCCTATTTATAAGTATTTACAACCGAAAATCATCGCCTTTGGGTTTTGTGGTGACCCATACACAATCGTTTTGTTGATTAGACGCTGTAAAAGTACGCTTTTGATCTGGACTTGTTGGAATCTTGACAGTCATCAAATGTTTTTCCCAGAATCTGACTTTGGAAGATTGTCTTTCTTGCTCTGTTACTTTGACATAGTCCTTCCTCAATGTAGCGGACGTGTTCAGCAACTTTTACAAGGAAGCCTCCATTTCGAGAGAACAGGAAGGTGTACCAATTATTGTCACACACCGGCTCACATATTTTCTCCGTCCTCTTCCAAGTTATATAATAGGAAGATACTTACTACCCAAAAAGGTAAACAAATAGCTACTCTAAACCTAAATGTTTGAGTCAGAATCAAAGAAAAGGTATTATGTATGGTCTCCTGATACAAATTGTTTTTCTAAGAATGTGCGTCATGTATATTATGTTCTCCTGACACAAACTTTTCTTCTTAAATTCTTGTATTTGGAGCACATAGATACTGGAAGAAGTAGATTCCTCACATATTATGCTTTAAAAATTGTTGTATCAGGAACCCATGCATGCATCTAACCAATCAGATGCAAAGAAACTTTGAAGTTTAGATCCACATTCCGAGATACTTCATGACACAAGACAAGACAATAGCAGTACAATGTTATACGACCACCATAGATTTGCTCTACCATTTAACCCGCCCGGCTTTCAGAAGGAAAGTAACACAAGTTTGTTCACAATTTTATTTCAACATGTAACATTATATATATACCAGTTCAGTTTATTTGATGGTCCTACGGGTTATCTTTGTTTAAAAAAAAGTATACTCTAATGTCGCCCTTAAAGTGCAACTAAGGAATACGTGTAACATGACCTAACGTAAATAAAATGGGTCGTCTTAACAACACACATATCACTTACATTAAAATGAGAAAAATCAAGTGTAAGTCGTAACACAAAATTTGTTTTAATAAATAAGCGTATCGGGTATCTCACATTGACCTACGGTTACCCTGTGCATGGCCATCTCCGATATGCCGTGAAAGTGCACGAAAGCGCCGCCCAGCACGAAAATGTGAAAGATCTGATGCGAATGTAACCAAATATCGAATTTGCCGGGGAAAAATCGCTCGGGCACTCGCAGCGCGTAGAGCACCGCACCGACAATGTACAGCAGGCCCATCAGCAGCAGCCAGCCGAGGCTCGTTTGGCTCATCTTATTCAGCCATCCCTCCATGATTCCATAGTGGATCGCCGGCACGATTCCGCTCAGTCCGAACGTCATGAAGACGCCGGCGCGAAACGGCCGCCACGCCGACTCGGAGAACTTATCCCAAAGGCTGACCATGATGCTCGTGATTCCCAACGCGCACACGCCCGACAGGTAAACGACCTTCGGCTTAAAGTGGCAATAGAATCCGTAATACAGCCAAGGCACGAACGATCCCATTATCAGCAGCGCTATGCCGCAGTAGTCCAGCTTCGAGAAGAGCTTGCCGACGAACTGCGAGTGGCAGTTCAGCGTGTGAAACATGAAGCTAAATCCGAGACATATAATGGCGCCCGCAAAGAACGCTCCAAAAACGACCTTTTCCTGCAGCTGTATTTCGACAGTCGGTCGCATTAGGAAATATGCGGCGATACCTGCAGCAATTACCAACCGTTTTAAAATGCGAGCGACGACGACCGTTTGCAGGTTTTGAGGTGTTTGCGGTTCCTCGCACTGTCAAAAGAGAACTACTTTTCGACTTGTACTTGAAATAGCATTCAAATTAGGTCCAAAAGGATTGAAATAAGGTATCATAAGATTGGAACAAGGTCATATACAAGCGAGAGAAGGTCCAAGAGGAGTAGGATTAGATATGTCATTTTGTGGATCGCAAAACAAAAGGCATAACAAGGTGTGAAGCAGGAGGAGTCGATTACCTATTACAGGGGACTTCCAGGACACTTGCTTTTGAGAAAGGGTCATCAAATATCTCTTTCAGCCCTTAGAGCTCCATGGTGATTGTTCTATGTTAAAAAAATGTACCACCGGGGGGTTTGAAACACCCCCCCCCCAACTCACAGAATGAATCAATTACCTTCTCCCAAAAACTATCATGACAGTTGTCATCAAATCTCCCCCTCCCCGGTACTACTCACCACCAAAACATTCAGCTCTAGAGCTCCATGGTCATTGTTCTATACATTTTGGAAAAAAAGGACCACAGGGGGTTTGGAACACCCCCCAGCTCACAGAATGAATCAATTACCTTCTCCCAAAAACTATCATGACAGTTGTCATCAAATATTCGCCTTCCCTGTACTACTCTCCCCCAAAACATTCAGCTCTTAGAGCTTCATGGTGATTGTTCTATACATTTTGAAAAAAATGTACCACAGGGGGTTTGGAACACCCCCCAGCTCACAGAATGGATCAATTACCTTCTCCCAAAACCTATCATGACAGTTGTCATCAAATCTCCCCCTCCCCGGTACTACTCTCCCCCAAAACATTCAGCTCTTAGAGTTCCATGGTGATTGTTCTATACCGGAAGGTCTGGGGGGGTATTCCAATACTGCCCAGCACACCGAAACCCGAAAACTACCATGACAGTAGTCACCAAATCTCTCTTTGCTAGGGAGATCCCCCAGAGCTACATTCAGCTCTTACAAATTTCAGAATGGGAGAGCTGAACGTTGTGAGGCACATACGAATGAAAGGTCTTATGGAAGTGAAATGAGGTGTAAAAGGATTGGATCACAAAACAAAAGGCATAGCAAGTCTGAGGTGAGAAGCTGCGATGTAAGTCGAAAACTAGTTACTTTGACAGTTACAAAATGAGTTTCACATGCAACACGAAGCGTAAGCGGTAAGCGACCAAGAGAGAGACACCTACTCACCTATAAACGCCACGCAGCCCAACAGATGGGTCCATATATTCGCCGTCTCCGTGTGCAGTCTGAAGATACTGCGAAAGCACGCACGAAAACTAGGCAGTGGCGGTCGATGACCGTGCGTTAAAAAATCGTTATCTTGTAACCAATCGGGTAACTTATTAAAGTGACAAACGTTCCAACTAACTTGAATTAATCTCCTAACTACGTGTTCGGCCTGGCCGGCCGCGTTCTGCGCTAGCGTCGTTATGTCGAGCTCGTCACCTAAAACCGAACGGGTTCGTTGAACCGGAGGCGCACACCGGGGACTTACCTAAAACTGCCGCCTTAAGCACGTCGCTCATCTCCGTCTCGAGCACGTTCTCGTCTTCGGGCGTCGACGGCAGCGGGCAGCCGATACAGTCCTCCTCGACCAGCGAGTTGGCGTCGTCGTCGAGGAGATCCTTTATTTCCGAGGTGATCGAGGCGCTGTCCGGATCCCAAATGCGTCTACGTCGCAGCATGACGTCGTTGGAACCGCCGGCGATCTCGTCGAACGAGTCCGCGGTGTTTTCGGCGTCGCTGTAGTGCGACATGCTCTAAAGAAATGGGGCCTATCGTGAGATTTGGTCGGGCGTACATCGACCGTTCTACTTACGGATTGGACTTCTATTTTATTTCCAAATTCATTGACTAGTACATACTTCTTAAGTTTAAAGCGTTAAAAAAATACAATTTCTCCTCTACTGTAATTTTGTTAATTGAATTAGGTATGAATTGAACAGCTGGTCGTTGACAGTTAAAGGCGGCGTTGCCACGTCAGGGCCAAGTGTGCTTTGTTAACCAGTGGCGCCGGTGCCCCAATAGTTTAAGGGGTGCAAAATCAGGAACACAACAGATTTCAGGTATATCGTCATGGGTGACGTTAAAGCATTTCCAACATTTCGTCCTGATGATTTATTTTGCCTTTGTGCCATAACTTTTGATTGAGAAGTCTGATCGAAAAAGTACGAATCGTTTTGGATTCTACGCACAAAAATTAATAAGAAAAAGTGTTTTCCCGAGAAATTTTGGTGTAGTCGATTTTTGGTAAAAAAGGCCTTTTTTTTGGTCCGAAAAAAAAATTGTCTCAGATCGTCCGGGAAAAACATTTTCTTATAGAATGTGGATTGTAGAATCCACAATTTCAAACAGTTCCAAGATTGGGCTACTAGATCAAAAGTTACAGCCCTTTGAATTTTCTTTCGAAATTGGTTTCTACTTGTTCTACTTCTACAACTATCATAAGAATTTCGTGCGCTAGCATACCCGCCCCTAGTGGTACGTATTCTGTAAAAACGTTCATCCCCGAGCAAAGGAACAACTGAGTTTTCCTTTCCTACAAAGTATATGACGTACCCCACAGGTTTCTGGTGTTATACGTTCTATGGATCCCTGTCAAAAATGTTAATATGATGTACGGTGGTAAAAGCACTAAATATTGTGGGGGCGAATGAAGAACCAGGAGGTCTGAAATTCCCAGTTTTTCATGTCCTACAAAGTATATGCCGTAGGGGTAGGCCCCACAGTAGACTGACTGCTTCGACGATGTGATTTCTAAACTAATGTACTTACCCTTTCAGAAGTCACATTTCGATCGCAAAAGTGCAGCGCCATTTCCTCCTCTGCATTACAGATTAATGTACTAATTGAAAACCAAAAATAATCTGAATTTTGTCTCAGGGGGTGCTATCAGACACCTTCCCCTGTATTGAATGAGATATGGCAACGTCGACTTCAACTTTCACCATAAATAAATCAAAATGGCCGATTTTAAATGGCGCCCATTGTTTATTTTCTTGCGAATGTCGATTGATCTTTACCCTTCCGTTTAATTACAAATTACAACGTGGTGCTGTGCGAAAACTTCATGTACTAAAATTAGCAACAATGAACAATGTGACTGAATAATTATATCGTAGTTAGTAACAAATTCGTAAATAAAAATTGAAGCCAAACGTGCCAATTACTATAATCGCATTATTTGCCCTTTTATAATCTCCTTACATAATATGCGCTCGTAATCTGTTATTCGCCGTTATCTTATCATTTAATGCGTAATGCTGCTCGATTGATCCTTGCAGAGACCATGGCACGACGTCGTCGAAAGCACAAGGTAAGAGAGCAAGTCGTTTTCGGTGCGTACTAATCTAATTTTAGGTTCAGCCCGTCGAGGAGGAGAATGACTTCCTCAGTTTCGCCCACAGCGCCGCCGATCAGGCCGAGCAGGTCGTGCGGAAGATAATCCAGGCGAGCTGGAACGTCTGTCACTTTAACATGCTGCCGCACTGGCTCCAGGACAACGACTACTTGAAGCACGGCCATCGACCGCCGCTGCCCAGCTTTCGGGATTGTTTCAAGAGCATATTTCGCATCCACACCGAGACCGGCAACATCTGGACTCATCTGATCGGATGCATCGCGTTTATTTGTAAGTCATACTTCTACATCTCGTGATTTATGTTCTCCTGGTATAACAAATTCTGAACCACAAGTTGCTTTTGAGGATGATGCATATCGGTATCAGGAACTCAGAAATGCAAAAATTTATGTTCTCCTGCTACCAGAAAATCCTGAGTAATTGTAAGTACTAGGAGATCAGAAATACAAAAAGCAAAAAAGACACGTTTCTTACATATTGTCTTATTGATACAAAGTTGTTGTATCAGGATAGCAGAAGCGTTCTGACATTGTGTTCTTCATTTACAGGCATCGGCGCATACTTCCTCGTCCATCCCACCCTGGAGATACAGCTACAGGAGAAACTTCTATTCGGGATATTCTTCGTCGGCGCAATCGTCTGCCTCGGTTTTTCGTTTGCCTTTCACACGGTCTGCTGCCATTCCGAGTTCGTGAGCCTTCTGTTCTCCAAGCTCGATTACTGCGGCATCTCTCTACTAATCATGTGCTCCAACGTGCCGTGGCTCTACTACGGCTTCTACTGTCACTTTCACCCGAAGGTGATCTACCTGATCGCCGTGTGCGTGCTCGGCGTCGCGACGATCCTGATCAGTTTCCTAGAGAAATTCTCGGTCCCCGAGTGGCGAACGTTTCGCGCCGGCCTCTTCATATGCTTCGGACTGAGCGGGATAATTCCGGCCATCCACTACGGCTTCTTGGAGGGTTGGTTTAACAGCGTCAGTTTGAAGAGTCTCGCCTGGCTGTTCCTGATGGGGCTGCTTTATATCGCCGGCGCCGTGCTATACGCCCTACGCATACCCGAGAGGTTTTTTCCGGGGAAGTTCGACATATGGCTGCATTCGCATCAAATTTTTCACTTGTTTGTCATTAGTGGGGCCCTGGTGCATTTCCGCGGCATAACCGAATTGGCTTTGCACAGGGTTTCGTTTGCGCAATGCGATTTAGCTAATGCACTTATAGTTTGAATGTTTATACGTTTGCTGGTGGCTTTTCGCGATGTTCCTGAATTGTACTGCGAAAAGTTAACAAAGCAAGCCGTTTGTTGTATTATATCACATATTTTATGAAATCTATTTTGATATTTATCTGGTGTTAAGTTTGGATGTGGAGTGTTTAATAAAGATTTATATTTTTAGTACTTATTTCCATCAAAGGACATGCGGCGTTTAGTCGTTTTTTCAGTGAAATCCATTTTGATTGCAATGGCGCATTTCAGGACAATGAAGAGTGTCCAGAACTGTCTTGATACTATTCAGACATTTTTTAAGGCTTTTCAGGGCTACCAGGAGAACATAATAGTCGAGGAGGTTTTTTTCCATCACCCACAAAAATACTTCGAAGTCAAATTTCGTTTAAAATTTTTCCAATTTGGTATCAGGAGGTTATAATGTGTGAGGAGGTGTATCAGCTCCTAATACACGAAGTGCAAATCAGAAAATTCTTTTAAAATTTTGTCTGGCTACCAGGAGAACATAATAGTTGAGGAGGTCTTTTTCCATCACCCACTAAAATATTTCGAAACCAAATTTCGTTTAAAATTTTTCCAATTTGGTATCAGGAGGTTATAATTTGTGAGGAGGTGTATCAGCTCCTAATACACGAAGTGCCAATCAGAAAATTATTTTAAAATTTTGTCTGGCTACCAGGGGAACATAATAGTCGAGGAGGTCTTTTCCCATCACCTACTAATATATTTCGAAACCAAATTTCGTTTTAAATCTTTCCCAATTTGGTATCAGGAGGTTATAATGTGCGAGGAGGTGTTTCAGCTCCTAATACACGAAGTGCCAATCAGAAAATTCTTTTAAAATTTTGTCTGGCTACCAGGAGAACATAACAGTCGAGGAGGTCTTTTCCCATCACCCACAAAAATATTTCGAAGCCAAATTTCGTTTTAAATCTTGTCCAATTTGGTATCAGGAGGTTATAATGTGCGAGGAGGTGTTTTAGCTCCTAATACACGAAGTGCCAATTAGATAATTCTTTTAAAATTCTGCCTGTCTACCACGAGAACATAATGGTTGAGGAGGTCTTTTCCCATCACCCACTAAAATATTTCGAAACCAAATTTCGTTTTAAGTCTTTTCCAATTTGGTATCAGGAGGTTATAATGTGCGAGAAGGTGTTTCAGCTCTTAATACGCGAGGGGACAATCAGAAAATTCTTTTAAAATTTTATCTGGCTACCAGGAGAACATAATAGTCGAGGAGGTACTTTCCCATCAACCACAAAAATATTTCGAAACCAAATTTGGTTTTAAGTAAATCTTTTCCAATTTGGTATCAGGAGGTTATAATGTGCGAGGAGGTGTTTCAGCTCCTAATACACGAAGTGCCAATTAGAGAATTCTTGTAAAATTTTGCCTGGCTATCAGGAGAACATAATGGTTGAGGAGGTCTTTTCCCATCACCCACAAAAATATTTCGAAACCAAATTTCGTTTTAAATCTTTTCCAATTTGGTATCAGGAGGTTATAATGTGCGAGGAGGTGTTTCAGCTCCTAATACACGAGGGGATAATCAGAAAAATCTTTTAAAATTTTGTCTGGCTTCCAGGAGAACATAATAGTGGAGGAGGCATTTTCCCATCACCCACAAAAATATTTCGAAGCCAAATTTCGTTTTAATTTTCCAATTTGGTATCAGGAGATTATAATGTGCGAGGAGGTGTTTCAGCTCCTAATACACGAGGGACAATCAGAAAATTCTTTTAAAATTTTGTCTGGCTACCAGGAGAAACATAATAGTCGAGGAGGTCTTTTCCCATCACCCACAAAAATATTTCGAAGACCAAATTTCGTTTTAAACCTTTTCCAATTTGGTATCAGGAGGTTATAATGTGCGAGGAGGTGTTTAAGCTCCTAATACGCGAGGGGACAATCAGAAAATTCTTTTAAAATTTTGTCTGGCTACCAGGAGAACATAATAGTCGAGGAGGTCTTTTCCCATCACCCACAAAAATATTTCGAAACCAAATTTCGTTTTAAATCTTTTCCAATTTGGTATCAGGAGGTTATAATGTGCGAGGACGTGTTTCAGCTCCTAATACACGAGGGGACAATCAGAAAATTCTTTTAAAATTTTGTCTGGCTACCAGGAGAACATAAAAGTCGAGGAGGTCTTTTCCCATCACCCACAAAAATACTTCGAAGCCAAATTTCGTTTAAAATTTTTCCAATTTGGTATCAGAGCTAGGGAGTTATAATGTGCGAGGAGGCGTTTCAGCTCCTAATACGCGAGGGGCCAATCAGAAAATTCTTTTAAAATTTTGTCTGGCTACCAGGAGAACATAACAGTCGAGGAGGTCTTTTCCCATCACTCATAAAAATATTTTAAGCCAAATTTCGTTTTAAATTTTTCCAATTTGGTATCAGGAGGTTATAATGTGCGAGGAGGTGTTTCAGCTCCTAATACACGAAGTGCCAATTAGAGAATTCTTGTAAAATTTTGCCTGGCTACCAGGAGAACATAATGGTTGAGGAGGTCTTTTCTCATCACCCACTAAAATATTTCGGAACCAAATTTCGTTTTAAATCTTTTCCAATTTGGTATCAGGAGGTTATAATGTGCGAGGAGGTGTTTCTTTTCCTAATACTACACCTGTTGCTGATCGACAAACATTTGTAAAATGTATCTGGCCACTAGGAGAACATAATATACGAAGAGGTTTTTTTCTAGCTCTGTCAGAATTATTTCAAAGCTTTCATTCGCTTCAAAAATTTGTCAATTCTGTATCAGGATCATATAAGTGCGAGGAGGTGTTTCTTTTCCTAATACTACACCTGCTACTTGTCGATAAACTTATGCAAAAGGTGTCGTGCTACTAGGAGAACATAATGTACGAAGAGGTCTTTTCTGTCTCTGTTAGAATTATTTCAAAGCTTTCATTCGCTTTAAAAATTTGCCAATTCTGTATCAGGATCACATAAGTGCGAGGAGGTGTTCTTTTCCAAATACTACACCTGTTACTTGTCGACAAACTTATGCAAAAGGTGTCGTGCTACTAGGAGATCATGATGTACGAAGAGGTTTTTTTCTATCTCTGTCAGAATTATTTCAAAGCTTTGATTCGATTTAAAAATTTGCTATTCTGTATCAGGATCATATGATGTGCGAGGAGGTCTTCCTTTTCCTAATACTACACCTGTTACTTGTCGGCAAACTTATGTAAAAGGTGTTTGGCTACTAGGAGAACATAATGTACGAAGAGGTCTTTTCTATCTTTGTCAGAATTATTTCAAAACTTTCAAACGATTTAAAAATTTGCTATTCTGTATCAGGATCATATGATGTGCGAGGAGGTGTTCCTTTTCCTAATACTACACCTGTTACTTGTCGGCAAACTTATGTAAAAGTGTCGGGTTACTAGGAGAACATAATGTACGAAGTGGTCTTTTTCTATCTCTGTCAGAATTATTTCAAAGCTTTTAAAAATTTGCCATTCTGCATCAGGATCATATGAGTGCGAGGAGGTGTTTCTTTTCCTAATACTACACCTGTTCTTTGTCCTCAAACTTATGTAAATGGTTTCTTTATTACTACTAGGAGAACATAATGAAGGAAGAGGTCCTTTTCTTTCTCTAAGAGAATTATCTTAAAAGTTTTATTTCGATTTAAATATATGTCAATACTGTATCAGGAACACATCAGGAGGTTTTTCTGTTCCTAATACTCGTAGTATTTGCTGGCGAGATATAAAACAACATTTATGGTTTTTTATTTATTTAATTCTTAAGTAGGTAATCAGACAGCTTCTATACAATATGACCGTTTCAGTGCACCTACTGATCGCTCTTTATGTGAGTAACCGATCTAAGTCATAAGGCACATCAGTACAACAACCCGCAAAATGAATACACATTCAAAAATTGTTTCCTATCATAGAGGCAAAGCACAAGATTAACACTAGGAGCTATAAGGACTATTCACTAATTCGTTCATTGTACAACGGACTTGCTTCAAATTTTCTAACAGCGCCTCAACCGTCCCACGTGAAAGAAACATAGAGTGTTCCTTTTCATCAACAGTAATTCGCAAGTTCGTCAACTGAGTTGTACCATCCACTTCTACTGACGCACCCTGTAGCTTATTCACTGAAAAGAGCCTGTTTAATGTCAGCAGAGGAATCTCGAGGCTTACCGGTCAATGAGGCGCTCCTCAACTGGTTCACCAAGGCGGTACCGTACTCGTCCATCACCTTTTTAAAGGACATACTGTGCTCCCGAGGTAAACCCAGTTGCTGCAGCTCTGTAAATAACACGCCGTGATCGCAGTTGTATCGCGCCGTCGACGAGATAATAAACGAGACGCAGGCGATGCACGCCTTAAGATTGATATCGGAATCTGAAAAGTGAAGTGCCGCCAACTGCCGAGACGAACAGCGCCCACTCACCCAGCTTGGACTCTGAGAACAGCTTCTCCGCTTTGGCCATCTAAAAACAAGGCGATGAAAACGCGTAACTAAAAACGATTGCGCCTACCTCGATAGATGAGTCGATTATTCCCTGGGCGACGATCTGACCGAGCAGCTTCAGCTTGACCGATGAGAGACGGGACAGCGCGTTGATTTCGGCGAGGACCCAGTCGGGGCAGTCGCCGTTGCCGCAAAATCGGAATCGCTTCAAAATCGTCTTCGTTAAAGTAAAATTTCCTTAAAAAACTTACCATTTTCAAGATTTTGATTGAATGTGTCAAATTGTACCACAAAGTAGGTCTTATGTCCAAGGCGAAATTTGTTAGAACTACTTATTGTACCATGGAACTACTAATACCACCGCCAATTGAAATGTACTATAGATCATTGAAAATACACCCACCTTGATAGCATTTACCTGGCGTATAGGCAACACATCATACTCGACAATCTACAATTCTACGGACTTCTCGCGCAAAATGGCAGAAAGGATCATTGAAAAGAGAAATGACCGCACAAATGGGGGGATAAGTTGTCACCGTACTAATACCGATTCCAGAGAGGACGGCCCACAGAGGACCCGCTGCCCCAGAACGTAGATTTGCGAGATTCAAGACGTACGAGGAGAACCAGAGCGAGTTATGCTTGGTGGCGTCTTAAAACGTACACAACGCGGGAGTGCCACAGGGGTTGGTCCTCGGGTCGCTGCTGAAACCGGTGGTTCCCATCATGTCGAGTACACCGGAAGATTGGAACCTGTCTATTCGAGCCACCTCCCGTCTCCCGAGCGAAAATGCTTCGGCGAGCCCTTGAGGATTTCGTAAAGATATCCTACTCTCTGAGGATTCACACAGTAGATGTGTCTACAACCTTTTACCTCTTCGAAACAAAAGGTACCTATTTGAAAAGACAGTGCATCATCAAAGAATCTTAAGGAACCAAAAGTTCCCTTGAGGGAAGCCTTGCACCCTGAATACCCCTTGAGAACCCTAGGTTTATGAATGAAATTACTATCCGGGATCCGTTACCTTCCGACTAAATACAGAATAGACATTTTTTGGCTTAAGCAAAATATCTGATTGCCAGAAATGAATAAAACGAATTTAATTACTCAACGACCAAATTTCTTGTTTGGCAAGCACTACAACACTTCCTGGTACAAATACGAACACAAACAAGGAAGTAACCAATGCAATGCAGTGCGCCCTTGCAGACCACGCAAATATAATGATGATTGCGCGCATCCTTCTCTCATATATACATTTCCCAATCAGAATTTAACACAGTTTCGCAATGAAGGTGCTGAAATCGACGTTTATTTTGCTGCTGGCATTCATTTTACGTAAGCTGTCTTTTGTAAGTAAGTTTAATCTGGACATATTTTAATTTTAGACACAACATGTCACCCTTTCCACCCGAAATCGGACCTGGTGCACAAAGGTCACAAGAAAATAGCGCCGAAGCACGACCCGTTGCATGTTCGGACGGATATCAAGAAGAAATTACGCACCCTCACGACCGGTAAAAGCAAATTAGCGGAGGAAGCTCAGGCCCGCTTGGAGGTGATCCGCAAGCAGCTGCAGGAGCTGATGGAACGAAAAGTTCCGCCGAAGTCGAAGGTGAGCAAGGTCGCGCACGAAGTGAAGAATGTCGAGAAGAAGAAGCGATGGTACAAACTGAAGAAGGACATGAAACGGGTTCTGTCGCGCGCAAGTATAGTTGGCGAGTCGCGTACCAAAGAAGTCGAAACTACCTCCTCCACCACGGAGAAGTCTGTCATCCTTCAACCTGAAGATTTGTACTCGTGATTAAATATATCTAAGTTTGTACATTATAACTCCTGTTATTGTTTCCTTGGCTAATCAGGAGCATTTTTTCGAACCTCATGATGGTGTTTGCATCAGAAGAACGTCTTTATGGGGGCTCTTAGCATACGAAAACTTGATGGTTTCTTTCCAAAACTTAGCAATGAGGGTGCTAAGTAAAATACAGAAGAAATTATGGAGTAGAGCAATAAAAGTATTCATTTTGGAAAGCAGCCATTTACTTAAGAAGTATAGGCAACACACAATACACTACTGCTTCAACTCCATTTAATTTTGTGGCACGTTACATTTTAATTCCTAGGTTTTAGATGTCTTTTAAAACTTTGATGGATCATATGAAATGTGTGCATAGTCACATTTAAACAAACTATCAAAAGTTTGTGAGTTACATTTTAAATTGTTCCACGTTTGGTGTATGGGTGCTGGTAGGAAAGTCCTGTAATCGCAAAGTTCACATTTAAATTTCGTTAGTTGCCTGACCTGAATTATATGACCAATTTGTTATATTTAATTTAAAATTACACTGTGAGAACTTAATTAAATTATAATAAATGACACAACACCGAATGGATGTACATTAGTCGCAGTTCACCACAAATTAAAACTTTTAGCTGTAATTATAGGGCGTGTTCGTTTATTCAGTGTACAATCGAAAGAATTACAGGTAACAGGTAGCATTCGTTCATGCATCAAAGTTAGAAACAAGCACGCTCGAGTAGGTTTATGCTGTTACACAAATGATAGCAAGAGGTGTGTAATCACCGAATTAATACTGAACAGAATCAGTAAATAAGCGAACACGCCAACACATTTAAAGCAAACCGCTTCCAAGGATTTTAAATGTGACCGGTGTGATTATGCAACAATTATCAAACTTTAATATTTGTTGCATAATCACACAGGGCACATTTAAAAGCCTTGGAAGCGATTTGTGTTAAATGTATTTTTAAATACGATTTATGATCCGGCCACATGTTAGACTGTCTTCACCGGATTGTGCTTCGTAATTATACAGCACACATTTAAAGCTCACTTTATTCTTTGTTGCATAATCACACTGGTCACATTTGCAGCAGTGGTCCTCATCCTTAGTGAAAGCGCTAACAGTCACTGCCAGATAAATTAAAAACATATACATCTATTTCTCGGTTGCGATTGAACTTTTAAAAATCGAGAGCTGGAACATTCGCTTTATTGTATAACAGAAGTGGTAAGGTTAGCATGGTACTTACAATGTATTGTGGAAGTTCATTAATTTACCATCTGCACCAAAAAAACGTGGACATCTACTCACCACCATCCTAAGTCAAACCTGACCTACCTACTTTAAATGAAAATCAAGGGTTTTGAGGTTATTTTCCGCATGCTGTGGCTAGTGAGCCGACAATTAAACCCAGTATTGCCAGATCTACTGTTTTGGACCTCGATCTACTACTAACAAACTTTTGATTTAGAAGTCTGATCGAAAAAGTACGAATCGTTTTGGATTCTACGCACCAAAATTAATAAGAAAAAGTGTTTTTCCGAGAAATTTTGGTGTAGTCGATTTTTGGTAAAAAAGGAAGGTTGTACACTGCCTTTTTTTTTGGTCCGAAAAAAAAATTGTCTCAGATCGTCCGGGAAAAAACATTTTCTTATAGAATGTGGATTGTAGAATCCACAATTTCAAACAGTTCCAAGATTGGGCTACTAGATCAAAAGTTACAGCCCTTTGAATTGTCTTTCGAAATTAGTTTCTAGTCCATAACTTTTGATCGAGAAGTCTGATCGAAAAAGTACGAATCGTTTTGAATTCTACGCACCAAAATTAATACGAAAAAGTGTTTTCACGAGAAATTTTGGTGTAGTCGATTTTTGGTAAAAAAGGAAGGTTGTACACAGCCTTTTTTTTTGGTCCGAACAAAACATTGTCTTAGATCGTCCGGGAAAAAACATTTTCTTATAGAATGTGGATTGTAGAATTTACAATTTCAAACAGTTCCAAGATTGGGCTACTAGATCAAAAGTTACAGCCCTTTGAATTTTCTTTTGAAATTGGTTTCTAGTCCATAACTGTTGATTGAGAGGTCTGATCGAAAAAGATTAGATGTAGCCGAAGGTAGGTATGGAGTAGGTACTCCCTGCGATGTGTTCAATTAATTTTTTGTTTTCTGTTCTATAAAGTATTTAGAAATAGCGCCGTCCAATAAAGTGGCGACATCTCACAGCAAGATGTTCAGCTATCACATGAAAATGATCTAGGTAAGTCTAACATTTACCAAAGAGATGGCGCACATGTACCAATTGCTTAAACAAAATGTCATTTTCAAATACTGGATAATTGAAGTACAATTGCTCTACAAATCCTACAAGAGTTTGCACATTTTCAACTGCCCTTTAAGGAAAATTGAGTGGGACGTGGACGCCGTGGTTATTTAGTTAATAAGTTGAAATGTTCTTAAGTAGTTAGATACCCACGTGGCGGCATCTCATTGGAACTTGTTCAACTATTACAAGAAAATAATTTGGAAGTGTAGCGATTACCAAAGAGATGGCGCACGTGTACCAATTGCTTAAACAAAATATCATTTCCAAATACTGGATAATTGAAGTACAATTGCAGGTTGCACATTTTCAACTGTATTATATTATCTACTGGTTAAAGTTGACTATATATAATTTTTTTCCACAATTAAGACCGCATATTAAAAATATATAATAATGATTACTTGTTTTTAAATTTCTCCTCCTTCCGTTACGCTTTATCATAAATATCAGATCTTACTAACCAGGCAAACATATCCTTCGTGTAGGCGAATCAAGACTTACCTTTGATAAGGCGGACAAATTATTTTTCAACCATAATACGTGTACGGAGGGCGGGGGGCTAATTCCTTTCACTTGACCTGTATTGCAATTGCATTAATCATACTTTTTAGGACCAATTCATTACAGAGCTTGATCTTCCTAGCTGAAACCTCCACACTACTGTACTGCTTGTCCTGCTCCCCCAGTAATATTAATCTCCTTTTGAATTTTAGATACAAACTACACCAGTCTTAGAGCTCGACGACTCGTATGCTCATGCAATTGTTTTCAACTTAAAGGATAAACGTTTGAATGTTTAAACACGAAGGTAGGAGTCGAAATTTCCTTTTGTTTTGACATGTGCAATTTTAACAACTTAGTAAATGCATTGGACTTTTAAACCGGGGGCTGAATGTTTAAACACGAAGGTAGGAGTCGAAATTTCCTTTTGTTTTGACATGTGCAATTTTAACAACTTAGTAAATGCATTGGACTTTTAAACCGGGGGCTGAAAAATGCACACTTCACAACTTTTAACTTTTAATGTACAACAGAATTCAAAGGTTCTGCCTTAATACTGGCCAAATTAAGTCTATTGTCCAATTCTTCGTCAATTAACCCTATGATCGCCCTAAAAACGATTCGTGTGCATTTAATCATTAACGCGGACGGATACCTACACGTTATCGCCCCTTATGATATGTAAGCCCAACATGACCTGCTCGACGCCCGTCGCCGTCGAATACACGCGCTCGTGCGACTCGTCGAGGATGATGTTAATGGTCTGATCGAATCCTTTGAGAGTGCCCTGCGAACGTTACGAATTAAAAGGCGGTCATCTCGAGGGCATACTTACGATAAAGTTTCGGCCATCCGACGTGATTATTGCGACGGTATCTTATGGCGTTAAGGAGTTGCGCTTGCTGAAATCAATGGAAAAAGGATACGGTTCACGAAAACGTCTAAACCTGAAGACATCGCTTAACGTTTTTTAAACGAAAATCATAACCTCAATAACGGACGGTAAGGAGACACCTCCAGAGTCAACCGTTAAAGTTTTAGGTTATAATCGACTTTTTGAAGTATTGATTTGTTGGTAGAACTGACATATGAAAGTTATTTGTCATTTGCTAAACACCAAAATGAGCGAGTTAGTATGGGGAATAAAAAACGGTGACTTGGAGCAAGTGAAGGATATTATAGAGAAGAAGGTAGGCCGCTTACTCCCCCCCCCAAAGAACCCCATACATCTTCTAGTGTTTCAGGCTGTAAATGTTAACGAAGAAATCGATGGTCGTCCCCCGATACTCTACGCGGCGGACTACGGTCAAGCCGACGTTATAGAATATTTAATTACTTTAGGCGCAGATGTTAATGTAAGTACTCACGGTGTGTCGACAAATAAAGAGTAATTGTACGTTTCAGTCGAAAGATAAGCACGGGATCACCGCCATTCTGGCCGCGATTTGGGAAGGGCATAAAGACTGTGTTAAGCTATTATTAGAGAGGGTAAGTGTCTTCTACAGCCGTTTACGTGGTGCTTACCAGTTGTTTTAGGGTGCGAGAAGGGACGGTGTAGCACCTGACGGAACGACGTACGTAGACTCGGCTGAAAATACCGAGATCAAGCAGATGCTTCTTGCATAAACTTCGCTCGACTGCTGTTTAGGGTTAATTTTAATTTGTAATAAGCACTTAAGAGTATTAATCTGTCGATCAGCTTCCTTCCAGTAATATTTAATTTATAGAAGACATGTACTTTTATACAAATATAAAATCATAAATAAACACTCGTTAATCACTAAGGGGGAGGATTAAAGGAGGCGTCCTCGACACTCCTGCGACGCGCAGTAGCAGTATAGCACTTTGCCTGGGACGCTTCCTACGTCGTAATTGTAGTTCCACGTCAGTTCGGTTCCCGCTCGTATGTACGTTAACGCGAAGAATGCCACCCATGGGAAACGCAAATCGTGTGTGTCGACAAATACATTTTGTACAAAGACGTTCGGCGAACAGGAATGCTGAAATGGCGGTTTTTAGAAACTGTTGGTACTCGGTTTGTTGCTTACGTTCAGAAATCGACCAATGTTCCCTCGTATCTTGGCGTCCATAATGTAGACCGCCTCCTCTTTACCGAACATTTCACGTACCGATTTATACATGGACGGTTGAGAATCGTCGTCCATATTCGACTCGTCGGTAACATTAAACCGCGAAGGCTCGCGACAATCCTCCTCGTCGTCGCTCACGATTACGGTCTCCTCCTCGTCGTCTTTCGAGTTGGTTCGCTCGGCGTCTTCGGCTGTACGTTTCCGAAGTCGTTTCCTATCGGGATTTTTATTAAACAGGGCGTGTGATACGAATCGGGCCATACTTATAAGCGGAATTCGTTTGACCTTTCGGAACTAAAATCGGAGGCACAAAGTCCCGATCGTCCATGGTATTCTTGCCGAAGTCTTCGTCGGGCGACTCGTCCCCACTTTTACTACTCTCCTTGTCCTCCTCGTCGTCGTCCTCCATCGCGTCTTCCTCGTAATCCTCCTTCATCTTTTCGACGACCTCGATGTAATCCAGCTCGGCCAGATACTCGTCCCCCGCATTTTTGCCGCCCTGCCAAAAATGAGAGCTTTACAAATCGTCGGGATGTAGGAACGGGTTCTGTAATTCTGTTTGCAACTTGCCTAAACACACTTTAGTGCCGATTTCTGCTATTCTAGAATTTGGGGGGGGGGGGGGGGGTCCAATTTTTCATAGTGCTTAAAAAACGAGTTAATTTATAAATTAAGAGCTAAAATAAAAGGAGAAATCCTCAGGTTTCCTTGATATGGTTGCCACTATGCAATTTCAAAAGAGATAAGGCATACGAATGAGAATCATTCCCCCTAATTCGGTAGGAGGTGACTAATGTCCGTTTTTTCCATATGTGTATGTAGCTTTCACTTGAGATTAATATACAGTGCTTAAATAATTTGGGATATTGTAGGTATAGATTTTGTGTACGTGCTATGTAGCTCTTCACATGAATTTTATATTTTAACCATTCGCAGAAATTTCAAAATTCAATTATGATGCTACTGTTACGATACGTTTTGTTTAAGTGGGGGGGGGGGGCGCACTAGAAGCATCTGTAGTCAAAATTTCAAAGAAATAACTCAATAAATAAGAAATTTGGCATCTGCGCATGCCCATACATAATTTTTTTTACTGTGCCTTTACTAGAAGCATTTGTGGTTAAAAATTCAAAGAAATAACTCAATAAGTAAGAAAGTTGGCATTGCGCAGTCTGCGCAAAATATGGAGTTAAATGAACCTGATCGAAATGGGTAAATATAGACCATAACAGCTATCAATTAGCGAAAACCCGAAGTCTGTAGGTGGCCCAGGGGCCGAGATCTCGACGGAACGGACGGACAGACAGATGGACGTTGTGGTACGATAAAAAGCTACACATACCCCAAAGCGATAGCCTTACCCTAGCGGAATTTTCCACTACGACGAAATCTCAAGATATTGACGCCATTTCCAAACGCTACGGACGAAAACAGTATGGTAATTTTTGTATGTGATATCGCTAAAAAACCATTACGGTATAAAAATTGAAATTAGTACAATTAAGTTTCCTATTTTTCTTGTGTACTTTAACAAAACTGGGGAAGGTTCTTGGTTTTGGATTATTTATGGTTGTCATATTATAATTTTGGTTGATGAACTTACCCCCATTTAAGTACAAAATTTTCTTAGCATCCTAGAATGGAAGAGATCCCACAACTACTCTGTTAAAAATGCAATACGCCCAGTCAAGGCACAAACCTACCTCATTCGCCATCTGCTCCGTAAGTATCGACCCGGCGTAAATGCAGATGAAGGCGCCCTGCGGTATATCGTTGAGACAGCGTATGCCCCAACCCTTATTAATCGTCTTAAACACTTGCAGCTTCAACTGGAGGGGATTTTGAACGACGCGATTGAGGCAGGTCGCCGCGCACTTACACCTAGAATTGCACTCGTAGATACCGGTCGCGACCGGCTCCGGCAGTCGCCTGTACAAGTACCCGACATTGTCGGGCGATAGGTTCTTATTTATGTAGCGGAGTCCCTGCAGCGTCAGCTGCCAACACTGACACTTGAGCTTGTCCTCGCAGTCATCGGTGCAATCGCAGCCGCACAAGAATTCGGGATCCGTATTGAGATGGACGCCCTTCTTCGGTTCGCGCTTGTTCGAGTAATCGGAGAAGTTAATCGGGTTATTGTCGACGTAATTAACGATCGGAATCGTCACGATTTCGACACCTACAAAGCGGATCGTGTGAAAGATCGATTACCTTGCAGCAAGCCTACCGTTTGACATATCCTTGTTGACCGTTGCGTTGCGTTCGAGCACGAACTCGGCGAGACAGTGCACCCAGAAGTCGAAGTCGAAGAGGTCGACGGTCATCTCGCTCTGCGTCACCCGTAAGTATTTGTGCAACTCTTCCATGTTCCGTATGAAACGGCCGCACGGCGCCTTGTAGTTGATGTCCTTTTTGTTGCCTTTGTGTTTGAAAGAGACGCGATTCCACCCGCAGAGGAGAGGTTTCGATAGGGGATTGTAGCCGTTTAGCTTCTTGACGTCGTAGCTTAGCAGGGCTTTGCATTTGATCGAGCACACGTGCGGTTTGTATACGGTTTTGGTATTGACTTGAGCGCGAGGTGTAAAGTACTAAAAACAAAAGTAGTGAGAGAATATTCTGCATTAGGAGGGAAGAAGTGGAAAATGCAGCAACACATCAACAATTATCAGGAGATCAGAGATACGACAGCAATCATCTTATACTGTTCTACACATCCCCTATTGGCATACATTGCCAACAGATATGGGCACAGATGCAAACATACTGCAGATAGCTCGCATGCCAGAGGGAAATCGGGAAACATAAACTCTACTCTGGTAGCTAGCGCCAACTTACGTTTAAATTAATAGTTATCTTAGTTATGCAGTTTAGGTTTGAAACTCTACTTATGCTTCAAGGTAAAGCCAGCCCAGTAAGTGCTAATAGCACTACATATTTTGGGGGGAAAAATGTAGAAGCGGGGGGTATGGAGTACCCCCCAGCCATTCCCCTGGCACGCGAACCCCCCCCCCCAGAACAAAAAAGAAAGATCCAATGTATATTTCCTTACACATATCATAAAACTTTGGGGATGCAGACCCCCCCACCCCTCCAGAGCACCGATGCTACGTTCTTCCACACAAAAGTTCAGTAAATTATAAAAGCAGTGCACATTTTCAGAAAAAATGTAGAACCGAGGGGTGTGGGGGATATGGAAAACCCCCCAGCTATTCCCTCTGGCACGCGAAACCCCCCCAGAAAAAAAAAAGAAAGATTCAATGTATATTTCCTTACACATATCATAAAACTTTGGGGCCGTTGAAAGTATTGGGGGGTATTCCATAACCCCCCCAGACCACCTGTGCTACATTGTTCCACAAAAGTTCAGTGAGTGCTAAAAGCAATACACATTTTCAGGAAAAATGTAAAACCAGGGGTCTGGGGGGGATGGAATACCCCCCAGCCGTTCCCTCTGGCACGCGAAACCCCCCAGAAAAAAAAGAAAGATCGAATGTATATTTCCTTACACATATCATCAAACTTTGGGGACGCTAGGGAGTATTGGGGGGTATGTTATAACCCCCAGACCACCAGTGCTACGTTCTTTCCACTAAAGCTCAGTAAATTATAAAAGCAGTACATATTTTTTAGAAAAAATGTAGAAGGGGTCTGGGGGTATGGAATACCCCCAGCCGTTCCCTCTGGCACGCGAAACCCCCCCAGAAAAAAAAGAAAGATCGAATGTATATTTCCTTACACATATCATCAAACTTTGGGGACGCTAGGGAGTATTGGGGGGTATGTTATACCCCCCCAGACCACCAGTGCTACGTTCTTCCACTAAAGCTCAGTAAATTATAAAAGCAGTACATATTTTTAGAAAAAATGTAGAACCGGGGGGTCTGGGGGGTATGGAATACCCCCCAGCCCTTCCCTCTGGCACGCGAAACCCCCCCAGAAAAAAAAGAAAGATTGAATGTATATTTCCTTACACATATCATCAAACTTTGGGGACGCTAGGGAGTATTGGGGGGTATTTCATACCCCCCCAGACCACCAGTGTTACGTTCTTCCACTAAAGTTCAGTAAATTATAAAAGCAGTACACATTTTCAGGACAAATGTAAAACCGGGGGGTATCCATACCCCCCAGCCCTTCCCTCTGGCACACGAAACCCCCCCAGAAAAAAAAGAAAAATCCAATGTTTATTTCCTTACACATAAATCATAAAACCTTGGGGCGCGCTGGGGAGTTTTCCATAATCCACAGAGCTACGCTTTTCCACAAAACGTTCAGTAAGTGCTAAAAACAGTACACATTTTAGGGGAAAATGTAGAACTGGGGAGGCATTCCCTCTGGTGCGTGAAACCTCCCCCCCCCCTCAGGAAAGAAAAATCAAATGTTCATTTCATTGCACTACATTGTTGTTTTTGCGATAGGGTCATTAAATCTTATTTTTTTCTGAGGGGAGGGCAGTAACGAAGATGATGATGTATTACAGGGAACTGAGTCTCGGAATTTGGTACTCACAAGAGCCTAACCAAGACTCATCCAATGGTAACACATTCACCTTGATTGCACGACTATAGCGCGTTCGCACCTCCAAATGCAGTGTGGTCCTTATGGTACAGTACATGCTTGCCAAACGTGACATTGACAGCACAAGGAGATTATGTTTTGTTTTATTACTTCAATTTAATCATATGTCAATTTGACAACAATGCGTACAAACAAGGATAGTATTATTGAAGAATGACGCAAACTAGTAAAAGAGGCAATTAATTCATAAGACTGCATCTGGAGGTGCGAACGCGCTATAGGTAGTAATGGAGTTGTGATGTACAGGGTGGTTCGAAATTTTTGAAAAATCTCATTCTGAAAAAATTCAATGTGACGCGCCCCATAAGAACTAAGAAAGTATTATGAGAAAGAAATCTACATTATAATCTTGTTGGTGGATTTTAGTTTGGATTTCACTCACCAGATGGTGTGATGTGATGTGTACACTGTAATTTTCCAAAGGGAAATGGTACGGCTATACCACAAACGAACGGACTTATACTTACGACCACTTTACTTGGGGGTGGCGGCTGAAGCGATAGGGTGGGTTTCTCATTGGACGACACAGGTAAAAAGGGTACGGTTGGCGGAATCTTGCCATGCGGTACTGTCGCCCTGGCCGTACTCTTACGCGCGACGGACCTAACCCGTCCCGCCGAGCCGTTCGTGCCCGAATCCGCGTCCTACAAAACGCTTAAATGATCAAACTTGCCGATCTCTCGTTAAAATACAAACGTTTAGCTTCTGCAGAACGCGCGCCTTGTTTTGATGTCGGTTCGACGCAGCCTGCTCCTCCTTGAACATGGGATTCAGCCTGGTGGAGCCGCGATAGATCCATTCGATGCGATTGGAAGTCTCGAAGAACATCTTCACCAGCGAGCAGTCGATGGCCATGGCGGTCGCGAAGCACCATTTTCCGTTGTATTCCGTTCGGACGGTCTGGTCCTTGCGCAATCGTACCATCGGACGTTCCGGGTACGACTCGAGGTACTTCTTGATGAAAAGGCGCGAGTCGACGTGCATGTCCTCCCAAACGTCCTTGCTCGACTCGTAAATCAGGTGCACCATCTTGTGGTGAACGTACTGGGCGTAACCGTCGTCGAAGAAGATCAAATAGCGAAAGTCGTTACTGAAGGACAGCGGTTCGGCGATGATGCCCGGATAGTAGGACTCCTTCCTCATTTTCTTCACCTCGTTCGAGTACGTCTCGCGAAAGATCGCGATCACTCGCGTGCCGACCTCGAGCGTCACGGGACTTGGAAACGAGTACGCTATTTCCTTGCCGGTCACCAGACGATTAGTCGGATACTTGGATTGCTGCTTGTTCTCCATCGAGACGCAGTACATCACTTGGCTAACGGCCTGTCCATTGATAATCGTTCCCGGTTTGATGATATTTATTAGACGGACGCGTATCCAGGAGCCCATCTGCATGAAACGCACCGTATAATAATACTCGCCTGCAAACAAAAATGACTAAACGATTCCTAACGATTCCTCGTTTGATTTCGCTCACCAATTTTTAAGGGTGGTTTCTGCAGGGGACCTTTCGGAGGTAAATCGGCGGGCGGCAGTTTATATTTACCCCCGTCGCCGCCATCTTTAGTAGTCGAATCGCCGACGACTGGGCTATTCGACGCGCTACCCGGATCGTCCAGCTCCACATAGGAGATCGGTTTCGTTCGCCGCAGACTGCGCCTTTCGCTCTCGATGCTCTGCTGTTGCTCAGAGACGCTCGGCGATCTCGTAACCGTTCGCGCCGTGGGACAGTACACATCCCCGATGTCTAAAGGCGGTAGGTGATCGTACCGCACCTTAAACTCCGAGTACAAATTGTGATGAATCGTGTCCAACTGCTTGCGCACGTTGTGCAGCATCGTGTCGACCTCTTGAAATTGCGCTTTGATCTCGGCGCCGGTTTTCTTCAAAGCCACAACGGAGTTGTTGGTCTGCTCGGAAATCTTGTACTTCTCCATCGTTTCCCTCATGACGTTCTCCAGCTCCTTCTCTAAAAACTCCATCGTCTCCGCGTCAAAATACTCGGAGATCTCCTTGTCATTCTCGTCGTCGGAGTCGGAATCGTCGATCTCGACTAGATCGTGTCTGACGGGTATGTCGAGACCGATGAGAAGCTCGTCGTTTTTCAGCGCGACCGCCAGCTTGTCGAAGTGCAGCAGGGCGATGTCGTAACACTGCTTGCACACCTCCTGCTTTTTATTTTTCGAGGTCTTTACCCGATAGAACGTCAAACAGAAGAGGGGCGCGATGATCATATCCAGGCCGCTCTTGCACGAGTAGTTGATGCACTTGCTATTCACGCTCGCCGGTTTACGATCGACCAAGTCGATAACCTCGCACGTGTTAACTTCGGGCGAGGGCTGCGTCGCTTTCGGCTTTGCTCTGAGAGGCGTCCGAGTTGGCGTGTTCGGTTCTTCGTCGTCGTCTAAGATGACCACGTCGTCGTCCTCTATGGGTTTCGGGTCTTCGGTCGCTGCTGTGGTCTCGGCCGGTTTGGTGGGTTCCGACGGAACTGTGACAATTTCCACGTCGTCGTCCGGCTTGTGCTTCTCCACTTCTTCTTGGGGTGCAACGGGGGCGGTGATAGTCTCAGACGTTCTTCTGTTTTCGATTATGGTCGTACTGGGCACTGTTTCGTCGATGTCCATTTCCATGGTATCGTCCTCTTCCATTGGCTCGTCCGCTGAAATACACGCCTTTATTACACAGATCATCCAAATTACCCTTTACCTTCCATTATTCTTAATTTTTATTTGAAAAAGCTTAAAAAGATTCGAAAAGTGGGCAAATTACACAAAAACAAACAATGCCACTAAGGGTGGCCAACCTTAAATCCGCCGGGCATAAAAAATTAAAACTGGATTGGCTGTGGCTAAACTGTATTAGCAAAGTTAGCGCTCATGCGTGTCTACGAGATGGCGCTGATTACTAACGCTATAATAGAATCTTCATGGCTGTTTTAATTTAGAACATATAGTTTCTTCTGAAATTACCGTGACATTCTCTTCTTAAAATTATCTTGAAATCGCCTACGGAATTTCCCGAATAATCATTGCAAGCATTGACCTCCTCAAGTTCTGTTAAGTGTAAACTTGTCATGATTTTCCATACCCCCAGCTCTCCCGGTGCTCCGTTCTCCGCCAAAACGTCCAGCACTTACAACTTGTGTACCAATCTCCCAGAAAGAAACCTTTCATGGCCCTCATAAAATAATCATAAGCATGCAGATTGTCCTTTAGTGGAAAACATAACACCTGGGGGTATGGAATACCGCCTAGCACAAAGAGAATCTAATTACCTTTCCCTGAACACTATCACAACAGTTGCTTTTGAGATAGGGTCATCAAATCTCGCTTTAGTTGAGGGGTATTCCATAACACCCTGATGGTACATTCTCTACCAAAACGTCCACCCCTTAAAAAATTTTGTATCGAAAAAAATATGTTGATTGTTCTAAATATTTTTGAGGAATGCATAGCACCGGGGGCTCCGAATACCGCCCCAGCACAAAGAAAATCGATTACCTTTCCATGAACACTATCACAACACTTGCTATCAAGATATTAAATCTAGTTTGCTAAAGAGTATTCCATAACCCCCCGGTGATGCATTTTACCCCAAACGGTTCACCCCTTAGATTGTGTATCGAATCTCTCCCAGAAAAATATGCTGCAAGCATGCAAATTGTCCTAAATATTTTGGAGAATTTAGTACCGAGAGTTACAAGGAAGGGGATCTCAAAAGCAATAGTTTTTGGGGAAATGTCCATAGGACAAATGCACCTCTGACATCACTGGGAGGTATATAACAGGTTCTTTGCGAAAATGAGAATGCTATAGTGCTGTTCCCAGGATTCGAGATTTCTTCAAAGATCTAAGAGATGCAAACATCAGACAAGAAAATAAACCTCAGTAAAAAATTCAAAAAAAATCTGTCCAAAAAAATATGGAGGGGTGGGGTTCACAAAAACAATGTTTGAAACAAAAATTAATTATTTTTTGTTCTTTCAACTAAAAGAACCACCTTACAAATACCTACTTAAACACGATGTGACAAGGAAATCTATACACTTAATAATAAGATTTAATTACTTAAGACTAAAATGACGAAGTCCACAAAAACTGATACAAAATTCTGACGATAAAGATATAAAAATCTAATAAATAATATGACTATCTCTACAAATGGTACGATTTACACTTTTTTCTTATCGGAATGAGTAAAATGACTTCGGACATCGCCATTTCAAAATACAACTTAATCATCATCGCCTCCATCATTCTCTTCGTTATCCTCGTCCTCGGAGTCTTTGCCTTTGTCATCTTTTCGCGGGCGCCCTCGACGTCCTACAATAACAGTAGCTGTACATTTGGTTGGATTCGTTGTCCTAGGCATCTTTTTCTTTGAATTTTTGAGCCGTTTTTACTCAGTACGGCAGAATTGGAGTGACAACGTACCTGTAGCTGATTTGGCCTTTGGTTTCGCTGGTGCTTTCTTCTTGGTAGAGCCCTTTGGTCGTCCACGGCCCCGTTTCGGTGCAACATCGTCCTCATCGCCGCTCTCGACCTGTTTCACCTCCTAAAAAACGACAAGTTATCACAGGAATTACTCGGAAGATCGAATACCTTCCGCTGTCTTTTTTTGCTTTCGGCCTTCTCACCGGCTTTATCGGCGGCGGCCGCTTTGCGTCCGCGTTTCGCTGGTGCTGTCGCTTCGTCAGACATGTTGGCGATCTTTGATTTACGCGAAAAACCTAAAAGCAAGCTTCAAATTATCGAGAAACGCGCGCGCGCCATTCTTAAAATGTACAACTCTCACAGTCAACACCCAAATATTTTGCTGGTCAACCGGGAAGGGTACGCGCAATTGAGGTTAGGCGACGGTAAAAGCAAAAAATTAGCTACGATTTGATGGGAAAAGCGAGCGAAAGGACCCCCGGGACACGTCGGAATTAATTTTTGAAATAAACTACAAAGGCTACAAAGCAAGCTGCGTCCAGAGCATAGCGGCCATGCTTGTTCATAACATTCAATCAATTCCGTCGAAATTTATTTGCCGTGCAACTACGACAGCCAGAAAAATGAGCGTTGCCTCGTAATTTTCGGCGAAAAAACTACTTTTTTTGAGTGCAAACGGCGTTAGGCAAATAAATTTCCCTCGAAAGAAATTAATGTTTGAATAGAAGTAAATAAATCGACTCACCCTGGCGAGTTGTTCCAAAAAACAGACGAGAGTGTTAAAACCGTAGCGTTCCGTTTGAGGGCGCTCACTATGCGCGCGAAAGTTTTCACCAATCGCCGCGTACGTACGTCACCTTCAACTTATGTACCTAATTTAAATTTTAACGGACGGGCTGTTTTCGATTAACCCCGTGCAAGTGGCGGGGTTAATTTCACCATGTATCAATAAACCAAAACTGGTTGGAATCGTTGACCTTTTTTTTTGTATACGAGAAAACTTACGCGCTGCTTATAATGAAAAATGGACAGTTTCTAAAGGTCCAAACTACAAAAAAGGGATGCAAATCCTCAGCGTCAGGTTTCCTTCGTCCCACCACCATGTCTTAATTTTGTATCCACCTGGCTTCAAAATCAAACCTTATATCTATTCTTAAAGGTTACAGTGGTACATTCTTCTCCCAGAGTGTCTGTGTAAAAGAAGTTACGTACCTAAGTGTAGAGAATGGGAAAATGAGACAATCTCGGAAAATATGACCTACAGGCCTAAAAAACTGCGTTTGGCAGTTGGAACAATAAGTTTATTTATTGTTCTCAGTAGTAGATAGTCTCTTATCAGATCTCTCTACCAGGGTCCTCTCTAGTATATAGTTATTCACTCCCTTCTCTTCTTCCTAAGCGTTTCCATGGAAAGGTAATCGATTTTCTCTGCGCTGGGGGGCATTGCATACCCCCCCCCCCCCAGTTCCCTAGGTGCTATGCGTCCCCCCAAAACATTTAGCAATTAGCATGTTTATGATTAATTTTTCAGGGGGACCATCAGTTTCTTTTTTCGGGAAATATTTGATACACAAGTTCTAAGGGCTGCATGTACAGAAGAGATCATACCACCGGGGGGTCTGGAGTACCCCCCAGCTCGTATGATCCTGATACAGAATTGGCAAATTTTTAAATCGAATGAAAGCTTTGAAATAATTCTGACAGAGCTAGAAAAAGACCTCTTCGTATATTATGTTCTCCTAGTAGCACGATACCTTTTGCATAAGTTTGTCGACAAGTAACAGGTGTAGTATTAGGAAAAGAAACACCTCCTCGCACTCATATGATCCAAAATATTGAGCAAAATCAGATTTTCAAGTCTTTAACCTTAGCAAGCTTTTCTGCGCCCTTAAAGAAATCTTAAATAGTCTTTAAGTGTATTTTTTTCTTGAATTTGCAAAAAGAGGCTAAATCATTAGCAGGCATTTACACACCGAACAGCTGTGCCTCTAACACCATCAAGGAACTTTTATGACTCCTTCTTCTTCTTAACGCCTTTAAGAGACACTAATAAACTCAAACGGTCTCCTTGATAGTTTTAAAACAGAGCCTTTAACAGAATTTATGTCTTTAGAAAGAGACTTCAAGGGTCTCAAAGGGAAGGGCGAATGATTATGTGTATTGGCCCAGAGAATACATTACAATCTTGTCCCACATAATGGATAAGGGACTGCAGGATCGCAAGGAGCAGGTAAGCACAGAAAGGGTTTCTCTTAAAACATTATTGATGTATTTACTTTAGTATGTTAACAACCTACAACCTATAACATCTGATTTCTAGCTCCGTTTATCTTTTAGTTAATAAATTAACAAATAAATACTATAAGGCATCCTTCTTTTGGAATAATTTACACCATTTTAACCAATTTAACCCATCAAACCAGGTTTCGTCTAATTACAAAAAAGTATTGCTGATTAGTAAATAAACTGCGTAATACGTATCAAATCACAACATTTCGACTGAGCAAGAAAAATCATTCAGCAGTCTCGTTAAAGAAGATTTTCGTTACAACAATATCACCGGTACTCAACGTTTGAGTCGTAACGCTGGTGCGATTATCGTCGGCCGACGTCGAATCACAGTCCTCGTTACTTTGAATACTCACGAAACAGTTCGTAGGTGACAATATTCTAACGTTCTCATTAAAATAGGCACTACGAGATGTGTTACTAATTTTATGGCAATTGCAGCAGCATTTGCTGTCCGACTCATTGTCGCTCGGCAAATGAGTGGCAGCACTAAGAATCGCCTCTAATTTATCAATTTTTACTAAACGATCTATTTTACTATCGTTCAAAATCGAGTCCATTAACTGCATCGACTCGGTCAGGCTCGTCGGCTCGGAGGTTTTCGGCGAGATCGCCTCGCTCTCCAAGCTCGGGTAGTCGCACTCCTCGTCCGAACTCGACATATCTCGGTCCTGATTTAAATTCTCGAGCTTCTCCAATTTCTTCGCTATCTTCGTCGACGACTTCAGCTTCTCCTTTTCCTCCTCCGAGAGCTCGATGTACCTTTACAAAGTGTCGGGCGTTAATCGTCGTTGCGCCACGGTTTGGCAACTTACCGTAGCAGGCGCACCTCCCGATTGCTCAGTACGATACTTTTGAGCGGTTGAGATAGCTTCACGCGCAGCTCCGCGACCTCCGTGCCGATTTTGCGCTGGCGCTTTCGAAGTTTGATGTCGTCGGGGGTGATGTTGATGTAAATCTGGGAAATTTGAGGTTAGGGATCTAGAGAATTTGAGGTTAACCGACCTGTTCGTAACACAAATCCATCATCAGGTCGCGATTCTGGGGCAAAATCGCCTGGCACATCGGCCGATAGATGTGCTCGTGCAGGCTAAAGACATCGCCGGCCGCGTACAAAATCATATCCTTCGAAAGGGGCCTTCGCGACCAGAACTTCTGGTCGCGCTTGTAGATATTCTTCAGCTGCTCCTTCATCGGATTCGCCGGCGCATTGTAGTACTCGCACAGGACGTTCAGCGCGATACTCTTCGCCTTGTAAACCGCACGGCCCGACTCCTGAAACGAGAGGACGGAGTGGGCGGCCTGCGTGTCGAAGACGCCGCGCAGAATTATGTTGAATTGCTGATGCAAGTTGACGGAGTCGTTGCGACAGTCGTGCATAATCTAAAAACTAGAGAGTTAGCGGAGATACGGGGGGGGGGGGGGAAGTGACCCGAACCTTTATAATATGCGGAGATTCTAGTAGGCGTCTCAGACCGGCGTCGAGCATGGCCGGGCAAGAGATTAAATCGAAAATGTAAATGGAACCCGAGCTCGTGGCGATTTGCATCAGCGTGAGTTGACCCTTCAGGCCCAAGTTGATGCCTTCGCAGTCGAAACCGACGACGACTTTATCGTCGGTGAAAGGCCAGGGGTCAGCGTCGCCCCGATCACCCTGAAAATTGTCGGTGATGTCCGCGATCACCGAGTTACACTCCCGAACGCTGCAGACGACGCGCGTGTTCTGTAGAAGCTTGACTTTCCACGAGTCCGTGTAATTCTGGGTCTGGTTGAGCAAATTCTGACGATCCCGTCCCGTGTTCTCTTGCAGAGTCTTTAAAACCAAAGTGTTGATGCGCTGTTTCAGGCTCTGATTGTAATTGGCATTTTTGGCCGGTTTAGGCGGGTCCTCCTTCGGTGGCGCGGTGACTTCCACCTTCACGGGTAGCTTCGGTTGACGTAACCGTTCATTGTTACCTGTTAGGAATAGTATACAATTTAGAAATGGCCACGAAGAGGATGTTTGAGGTCAATTAAATTAAGGGTTGGGGGGGGGGGGAGATTCGCCTTGTGGAGGGTTAAAGTAGCGTAGATTCAGGGTTCGTATTTGATTTCTGTCTAAATGCCAAATCCTTAACAGAACAGTTCCCTAGCTCAATTGTGTGTATTTATGTTATGTAGTTCAGAGGGCGAGCGAGATGAGGCGGCGCAGCTGCTAAAACCGAGTATATCCCGTTCAAAACATCATTGCCGGCTATGGAACACCCCCCAGTAAACGAAAATTGTATGACCCTTTCCCTACAATCATGAAGCGCCACACAAATCATACACACAAAAATCTAGTAATATACTGGGCAGAGACTTGTTATAACTAGACCGCGCGTAACGTAGATTTTACTATAAACGCCTGTTGTCAAGATAGGATAGGCAACCAACTGTTCATCGCGGGGCAGACGTACGTTCTGCAGCTTGCTTTAGCCATGTTTATTCTAAATTTTAGTAGCAAAAAAAGATAACATATAGCTGTTAACTATTTAATCGAATTTGTTGGTATTTTATTTGAACTAAATTGGTATATAACTGCCTTACTCTAGTCCTAATTTGATTTATATGTGTATTTTAGTGGTGAACACGTATGGGAAAATATACTCTTAAAACTAAAGATATAAGTAGTAAGATATGATTATTTAGCGGATTTTGTTTCAATATATGCCTATCCAAAAATCCAAATGGGCTGTAACTGTTATTTATTTTTCTTAGACTGCTGATAACCATTTTGTTTACAACGCGGTGTGGTGTGGATTGAATGAAAAACCTGAACACATTTTCAGCAATTTGGCAAATTTTTAATGCATCGCTTGATACGTGCAACAATCCTCCACGATTTTTTCTAGTTAAAAGCTTTGAATGACTCTCTGATGCGAATATCGCATCTGCACATATGGAACATTTAACAGACTTAGCTATTTTTCTTGTAACAAAACCTGAAATATACTTAGTACCAGTAAGTACTTAGTTACGTCTATACCTAATAGGCAAATAGGTATTGCCGTTGTCTTGCTGGTAAAGGATGTCGAATAATAGTTCTACGTTATTTTAAGTGAATGGGAAAGTCGAAAACGCTCGGTATTGCATTATTTTTTAACACCTTCGTAGGTATCTTTCTAAAATCGGCTTCATTCCCCGCAAATGCACTATGGTGGGAGTAAATTTTTCTCTTCGAATGGCTCTGATCCATTGGCCCTTTAAACTTGTATCCGTTGAAAATCAGCATATTATTTAAAAATTTATCGACAGAGTACATGTTGATAAGCACAAGTTAACCTAAGTTTATTGGTTTATTATCAACAGAAATGTATCTGTTCACTAATTCGAGCTAATCACGAGAATGATTAATGAACGGAACATCTAAAATAACGGCTTATTTCATTGTATTGCATATCATCTCAGCGATTTTTGCCCCGCGGTGCATTGTGTGTTGCATACTGTGTCGACAACACCTTAGATACGTTAAGCGCAGTCTAGTTATAGCAAGTCTCTGATACTGGGAGTATTCCATACCCCCCTTCCCCACCCGTACTATAGTAACACTCATATGGGCGTTGAGTTCTACGCATGCGCCAATTCCAAGCATGGCTGTTATCTAAACTCACTGAAGGTCATCATGGTTGTTGCCTGAAAAAAAAATTTTCTCAGAACGACCGGGAAAAAACCACTAGATCAAAAGTTACAGCCCTTTGAATTTTTTGTCGAAATTGGTTTCTAGTCTATAACTTTTGATTGAGAGGTCTAATAGAAAAAGTACGACTCGTTTTGGATTCTAAGCACCAAAATTAATACGAAAAAGTGTTTTCCCGAGAAACTTTGGTGCAGTCGATTTTTGGTAAAAAGGAAGTGTATACACTGCCTTGAACCTCACTGTCTGGCTGAACACTATATGCCTCGAGCAAGACAATCGACCTTGAAGGCAGTGCGCAGAACTCGCGTCTAGGTTTCCTTCTCAGCAATATTAGTTCAGGCAAGAACCCTACCGTTTAACCTTCAGTGGGGTTTTAGTTTAAACAACAACCACAATCGCATTGAATTTAGACAACAACCTACCTTCCGTAGCATTCAGTTTAAACAACAATCACGATGACCTTTCAGTGACATAAGTTTAGACAAGAACCCTAGTTAGTTTAGACAATAACCATGATGACCTTCAATAACATTGAGATTAGACAACAAATATGCTTAGAATTGGCGCATACACAGAACTCAATGTTCTTTCATATCGATGTTACTATACTACACTCCCCCCCCCCCTCCCGGTTTATTTTATTTTTCGAAATACGCCCCAACGCCTGTCGTGATACTTTAAAAGAGGGCCAACTAAACTACTTGGATACTCAGACGATATGTAGTTCCCCGAGTGAGGGGGCGCATGTCCCGTCGCAAGAAAACATTCCTTGAGATGACATACTCCCCAGTAAATGAAAATTGTATGACCCTTTCCCTCTTCCCTTTACCACGCTAGATGTACAAGCTACATACTACTTTCTCATTTCTTATGGGCGCCATTTTGGACTTTTACTTTAACTGCACCTGCATAAACGAGACGAATTGCGGTCATTTCTTTTGTTGCAGTAAAATTTGCGAATTAATTTATATACAGGGTGTCCCATTTATCTTGAGACAGTCCATTACCAATACTTTTCTGAAGACACTCTTCCAAAAGCGCAATTTTTAATTTAAGCTTTGAAGCTGTTCTGTCAAGAATACTACACACAATTTTACATATTTATGGATGAATAGTCGTTGCTAACTTCCCGCTTAATATGCAAATCTATTGCTAAAATGCAATTGCTAACTTCACACAATAAATTTTACTCTAAAGCCCCTCTTTACTAATTTACATACCCCTCGCACTAGCAGGTGCCTTTTCTATGTACTTTTCGGTATCAACATCATTCGCCAAATTTTTCGCGTTCTTGATCTCCTGCACGGAGTTGAGCTTAGGATCCTGATTGAGCATTTGGGCGTTTATGTGCTTCTCGTTTATTCTCGGATGATTAATCAACGTGACCAGATTCGCCTGTATGTGGAAGCAATCGTTGAATAGACGAAGAAAGCTCGTCAATTGAGCGGGCGTATTGAACAAGTTCGTCCACATGTTCTCGGGTAAATTGCAGCTGACGATCTGAAACAGCTGCTCCACCAGAATCGGTCCCTTCACCTCAATGCATTGCGCTAAAAAATCGAGCAGAGTTTGCGTGACTTCCGGATCGATGTTGATTATGGGATTGAAGTGGAGCTCCTGCGTGTGCAGCTTAATACTGTCGAAGTTTTTTAGCGTCACCGTCTCGTTCTCGTCTGATATCACAAACGAATCGGGATGCTTGAGCAAAAATTCGCGAAACTCGTAGAAATGCTGCCCGGAGACGTGCCTCACCTCCGGACTCGCTTGGGAGCGATGCCCGAGTAGGCTCCGTATGGGCACCTCGGTTCCCTCGCCGTATTGCGCCAACTTCTCAGAAAAATATTCGACGGCCTGATCGCCGTAATCCTTCTTGCCTGAAACGTAAATAATCAGTTGGTCTTACGAAACGCAAAATCCTACCTAATCCCTTCTGTACGTCGCGACTATGAAACGTGTTAATGTTGACATAGTCACCCTCAATGACAAATAGCGACGGATACTGAACTAGAAACTTTTTGAGGCCGTTTTGCGAACCGCCAGCGATCTGCCTCATTTCTTTCGTAAAACCGCGCGAGCCGAACTGACAACTCAAGTCGTGTAGCGTACGGGGTTCCCCTTTATCCAAGAGCCGCTCGAAGAAGAACAGTAAGGTCATATTGCGGGCCTGCTCATATTGTTTCGATTCCATCTTTACACTGAATCACAGAACCATATTGTAAAAAAACTGCAACAAATTCCCAATTCGGTGGTCATAGTCATTAACAAATTTATTCACGTACCTACCTACCAATTGTGTAAAAGGAGTGGTTTAATTGGAGGCACAACTTCCCTAATTGAAATGCATATGATATGTTAAAAAATGAAGAGTTTATCTTCATTAAGACACGCTAAAAAAACCTAATTAAAACTAATAATAAATTAAAAAAAGATTAACAAAGTTTCATAACAAATTTAGACTTGGAAGTTGGCCGGCCATTTTGAATTCCTTTCACTTGTCACCTTTTGTTTTCGTTTCGCACGTGACGTTGGCTAAAATCTTTCCCATTACTTAAATACTTCAAAAGAAAAATATACACACAAAATATTGATTCTTTAATATCAACTGCAAATTTTCTTATTTGCGTGCCCGTAACTGGAGCAATTTGCCTGATGTGGACAGTTTCCGCCGAAGATCTTCTCGGCCAGCGAGCGTACGTGATCTTCGAATTTTGGAAAAAAGGAAGGTTATACACTGCCTTTTTTGTCCCGAAAAAAAAAATTGTCTCAGATCGACCCGGAAAAAATTTTTTCTTATAGAACGTGGCCTGTTCAAACAGTTCCAAGATTGGGCTGCTAGTTCAAAAGTTACAGCCCTTTGAATTTTCTTTCGAAATTGGTTTCTAGTCTATAACTTTTGATTGAAAAGTCTGATCGAAAAAGTACGAATTGTTTTGGATTCTACGCATCAAAATTAATAAGAAAAAGTGTTTTCCCGAAAAATTTTGGTGCAGTCGATTTTTGGTAAAAAAGGAAGGTTATACACTGCCTTTTTTTGCTTCGAAAAAAAAATTCTCAGATCGTCCCGGAAAAAAATTTTTCTTATTGAACGTGGCCTGTAGAATCCATAATTTCAAACAGTTCCAAGATTGCGCTACTAGTTCAAAAGTTACAGCCCTTTGAATTTTCTTTCGAAATTGGTTTCTAGTTTATAACTTTTGATTGAGAAGTCTGATCGAAAAAGTACGAATTGTTTTGGATTCTACGCACCAAAATTAATAAGAAAAAGTGTTTTCCCGAGAAATGTGGTGCAGTCGATTTTTGGTAAAAAAGGAAGGTTATACCTGCCTTTTTTGAACCCCGAAATAAAAATTGTCTCAGATCGACCCGGAAAAAAATTTTAAACGCTTGGGCCGATTCGGTTCAAACTTTCCACAGTTGACCTACAGTGCGAAGAAAAAATGGGTTCAAATCGGCCGAATACCAATACAAATGTTGTGTGTAAGTTGGGTTGCATAACTGTCAGGTATATCAAATCTATTGACAATGAGTCAAATCCACTGACTCTTGTAGCAGGTTTCCCGCTACGAGTGGGGCCGCGCTACCAGCCGTGTAGCGAAAAAGTTCGCTACAAGTCGCGGGGACACGCTACCGCTCCGTGAGAGGCGTTCATATAAAGCAAGCCAATCTGCAGGGCTTCAAAAACGCCTCGTGAGAAATGACCCTTAGGCCTGCTTTACTGTGAACTTTTCAGAACTATGTTAGCAATGCTGGTTGGCGCTTTCCACCATGTAACATACATGTAGCATAGTGATAACTAACAAATTGGTGCAATAATTTCAAAAAATTTTATTTGTTAAAATTTAAATAACAATTTTCTAAATAAATGTATTCATAGCAACGTAAAGTAGACATTACCAATTATTAAAAATACAATTTCTCAACAGAAATTATAACAATAAAAAAAAGAAAAAGGATCGGCAACAAAATGCTCAGTTTAACAATTCCTGTCCCGACTGCCCACGGAAAAAATTTTGCACCGCCCAAAGTGACAAATACTGACTATTTTTTTTGAGACACTTTACTTTATAAAGCGAAAAAAAAACAAAAAACAATTTAGAGAGCAGGCCAGGAACCGGCGGGACACAGATTACCAACAATTTAAAAAGAAACCGAAAACCGTACGAAAATAACGTCTGTACAAATCACTTGAGTACGTAACGAAATCGAATATTCGAGAGCAGTTGAGAAGTGGCACGACGTGAATCTCATTACGTACTCGTTTTCCCCCCTCTTCCAATATAAAATTTTAAAAAAACCTACCGCTCCATTAACTGTCAAACTAAAATCATTCTATGAACGCAAAGCATCCGTTTGGGTTAGTAAATTGAAACGGCCAATTTAAGTACAAGGGGAGCGGGGGAGGGGCGTGTCGCATATTTAAATACGGCGAGAAAGCCAATGCGTACACTACAAAAGCCTGTTTACTGTTAGGCGACGGGACGGGTGCAACGAGATCGCCCTTCATTGCGGGCAAAAAAGAACGACCTGTCCCCGTCCCTCGCGTAAACCTTTCGTTTTTATAAAATATCTTTTTTGCTATTATGTTACATACATTTTTACATATTTATACTTCTGGATTAACAAACATAACAAAATTATAAATCACCTCTCTTTCTCTCATATTGCTTACACCCTCGTCCTCTTTCTCTCTTTACCGCGCGCAAGCTGCGCGCCTCTTGATTACCGTTTTGTATACGTAATATACAGCCATAAAATTCAACTAATTTTCCTACTCCGAATAAAAATGCACCATGCATCAGAAACTAGTTTTCAAGCTCTAGAAATAAATATATCGTTAACACGCTTAATTAATAATTACAATTGATCGCTGAAGTATTTCACTTTTCCGTTAGTTTGATTTAATGCATCTTCCCAAGCTGAAAAGAAAAAAGTGCGTGAGAGACGTGTCTTATCGACGGGGGTGCCCCCCCCACGGACAGCTCATGAATCAGCGTTTATTAAACAAAATTCCTAACTGTCATAATGACCTCAAATTCAAAATCATGCTTTTAGTACCACTAACATCAAATAAATAATATGATGACAAGTCGGTGAAAGGCAGGCAGATGCGCATTTTGGTCTAGACTGTAGCACTTTGAGCTTGAGCTCTGCGCATGCGTCATTCTGATTACGCCTGTGGTGTCATATATACAGGGTCGGTATTAGCTGGTTCTCACACTCAAATCGAGATATAGACATGAAAATTAGAACGCTTCCATTAGAAATTATTCCTTATATTTTTAGGTTAAAAAAAATTTATTTTTAACACATGGTTTTTGCGTGCGATCACCATTTGATGAAAATGTGCACAGTGTGATTATGCAACGAACGAGAAATCATTTAACTCACAATACTTCGAAATATTTAAAATGTGCACAGTGTAATTTTGCAACACATCAACACCATGTCCTGAAATGGTATCTCTTAATTCACAAAACCCCAAGGGATTTAAAATATGCCTGTAATGTAATGCATAATAGACAATTTGATTCATTCAACACCCAGTGTCATTTTGTTTATATACAAAAACAAAAGTACAAAAAATACCCATAGATTTTACTTCATTTACTAACATTCATATGACCGCCATCTTGAAAAAAAAAATTAAGTCGGTGGTAATTTTTTGTACTTTTTTCTTTGTATTTTTTGAACATTTTAAGCAAATTTAATTGAAATAACAAAGTTCAGCCGCCATCTTTGATTTGGACTGAATTCATGGGCCAGGATTAATGGCCATTGAATACGCTACAACAGACACAAGTGTGTGTATATTCAAACGGAATAATAAACACTTTTAGAGCGCCATCTTATGGGCTACAACAAAATGAGCTATCCATGGGGTATTCTCTCGGCGAAAATACTTACACAGTCCGATAAAATTGACGATTTTATCGTGATTATGCTTGTGGAAAACTTCGGGCACATGAAAGCGAGTAGTGAAATATTCACAAACGTCGTCCGATAACAATTGTTCGTTCACCTCGAATCCGAAGGTTAGATCGGACACCTCCTTCCCGTTATCGCTTAAAATAACGACGGCGGGCCTCGAATTAGTTCTATCACTATCACAGGGATTCGACGTATATTGCACTTGCGACTGTTCACATTTATTACTTAAAGCGGGTACTACGTAGTGATTTGCGATTAAGTCGGAATAATTTAAGCCGTAAGTCTTTTGCAACTGCTTAAAATGCATTTTTTCAATTGTCTGCACGTCGGGAATATTATGAAGCAACACCGGTACGTTCGCACAAATTTCGCCGTCGACTTTGTTAAGTGTTCTACTCTGCACGTTATTTTTGATATTCTTCACGTTGTTGGTCGACGATATCTTGTTGATCTTCTTCTCGACGACCACCTTACTCTGCCAATCCTCGCTGGGAACGTTAATCGGCGAGCGATCGCGGGGCACCGTCGGTTCCCCCTTCCACTTCGGACGTTCCAGCGAATTCGTGTGCTTGGCGATTTCCGCGTACGAAATCGGCAAGTTTAGATTGGCCGAGTCCACGATGTTCATGTGTTCCGTGTCGATGGGTAACGAGTGTACGGAATCGACGTCGGACGAGTCGTTCGACTTGTCGCTTTGAGGTACGGAGCACGCGGATTTTCTCCTGGGTTCGGGCGACGAGGCGCGATTCGGGTCGTCGCGCAAATTCATCGCGTAGTGCTGGCGTCTGCTGCTCATCGAATTGCGCACCTTCTTCGATTTCTTCTTCTTGGTAACGACGCGGAAGTCGGCGCTTTCTAAATTTTCCGCGGAGGCGTGGAACGGTAAACTCTGCAAAACCAATGCACCCATTAGTATATTTATAGGGGAAAAAATTCAAAGTAATTTATATGCAGTTCTCCATTTTGTGGGAGGAGCAAATTTTGATTTTGACGCTTTAACATGAAAACTATTTGAGTCGCACAAGGGATTTCAATAAACACGCAATTAATTAACATGTATTCAGAAAATAAATAAAACAGAATCTCTGAAAGAAAGAAAAGCCTACAAAGCATACCATAATACCCCGCACACAGGCGGTCGACAAAAAATCTTCATTATTTTTTTAAGAATCCAAATAATCTGCTCCTGAAAGGTTGCCGATATTCAGGCGCTAGCAGCTTCTAAATTTCACTTGTTCTTGAGAACACTGAGCCTGATGACAAAATCTGGTTTGATGAGTAAGATGAATTTTCGGTGACTGCTCGGACGGTAGAAACCTTTACTAAGCAGACAATCACAACCAGGCTTTGTAGGAACGCGTCCACACTTACGCCGAAATAACGCGCACTTCGAGCATCTTCTAACAGCGATAAGAACACGTGCGTTAATTAAATTTCGTCCGATAAAAACTCCTTATCGCAATCAAATTAAAACCAAAAATTACACATCTAACAAATTTCTTAGGGGAAAAACAAACACTACAATACAACATTTCATACCCCTCAGAGGACCTAATAGTTTTTGGGAAGATTACCACATCCTGTACTTCTACTAAGAAGTACGATAGGAAACGCAGTGCGAGGGGGTCACCCCCCAGCAGCACCATCAATAAAGAATGACGCGAGAATTCCTTCTATTTCCCTTAGTACCCTCATGGTAACCTTTGCAAAAAGGTAATCAAGTCTTCGTATACTGGGGGATATTCCATACCCCCCACAGCCATGCTCCCCGCTATAAAACGTTCTTTCCCTAGAGGTCTTAATAGTTTTTGGGAAGATTACCACATCCTTTTTCACTAAGAAGTACGATAAGAAACGAAGTAACGGGAGGGGGCGCATATCTATCTAAGATCCTTCGGGTTTTGGTAATTGCGAGTATTAGTACTTTATTTTTATGTTAATGTTCAGAGTAGAAATTACACTGGAATTGGAGAAGTAAGAGAGTAAGTGAGTACAGTAACTAATTTTCCTTCCTTGTAATCAAAGAAGACCCTAGAGCTACTCTCCCGATGAGACGGTAATCCCTAAAAATTATTCTCGCTCAAACAAAAAGAAATATTTTCAAAATGGACATTACCGACAAGCAGAACTGAGAAAAATGGCAGAATTTCCCCAGCAGCACCCTTAACAAAGGACTCAATAATTTCTTCCCTATTTTCCTTAGTACCCTCATGGTAACCCCTCGAAAAAAGTAAGACCTCCCGGTGCTATGCTCTCCACTATAAAAAGTTCATCTCTCAAAAATCATAATAGGTTTTGGCTCGGGTTTTGGGAAGATTGTCACCTCCTTTTCTACTAAGAGTAAAACAGGGAACGCAATACCATGAGGTCTAGGGGGTGACTTTTGTGTCCTTTGGGTTTCGGTGTGTAAACTAACTTTGAGTTACTGCAGCACACCTGGTTTTAGGTATCTACGAGTGTTACTGGGTTATTTTTATGTTAATGTCCAGAGTAAAGAGGTTGCACTGTAATGTAATTGTAAAATGCAAAATGGAGACGTAAGGCTCTTTTTCCTTCCATGTAATCAATGACGACCCTAGAGCTACTCTCGCGGTAATGAGAGAGGAACTCCCTAAAATTTATTGTCTCGCTCACACAAAAACAAATGTTATAAAATGGACGTTACCGACAAGCAGAACTGAGAAAAAAGGCCGTACCTCAGAATTTCCCCAAGATCTCCGTTCGCGCGGCCTCTCGATGTTACTCTTCGTACCCCTCAAAGGAACTTTGCCTGCATCGCACTCCTTAAAATTAAAATCGTCCAATTTGCTAACACAAATCTCCTCCAACGAGTTGCTCTTCTGCATCTTCTCCGTCTTGCCCTTCGATCGGATCCTCTGCTTTTTCGCGTTGCTCGTCTTGCTCTTGTGATCGCTCGCCTTCTTGCTCTCCTGCTCGCCGAGAAACTCCATGATCTTGTCGACGTCGTGCGCGATATCGCTCCTGTGACCGACAACCTAACCGCACTTAAGTTAGAAACGAGACGAAGGAGGATAACGGGGATACTTACATCCTTTCCCTCTAGAACGACAACGTTTTTATCGGCCGGCTGAATCTTCTTCTTCTTGTTCTTCTTGCTGTCGCCCTGGCCGACGGCGTTACCGTTCTCGTCCACTTTCTGAAATATACAATGTTATTGCTTTAGTTCAGTAGGAGCTGGTGGTGGTTTCCATGGCAACAAATGTACTGACACACTGGGGGGGGGGGGGGGGACTACCACGGAAAGATTAAGTAATCGAACACTTACCTTGTCCTCGACGTACTTTGGTATGGGAAAAATATTGCGGCTGTGTAAGCTAGGCAGTAGATATTCGGGAATGCAATTGGTCGCCGAAATCGTCTCCAAAGGCTTGGCGTACGCGATCTCCTTCTCCAGGATCTTATCGGTGGTCCTCTCCAAGGCGGATACGGTGAGGCTATCGTCGACGTTCGCGCTTCCGCCGCATATGTCGAGGTTGAATCGCGACGTGTACTTGGTGGTTACGCGAGGTATGCGGACGTCCGTCTCCGGCTCGTTGTACTCCTGATTGAGGGAGTCGTGCTCGAGCAGGCTTTCGGATTCCATCTCGATCGCGGTGTACTCCGCCTTTTTGTCCTCCGTTTTTTTACGAGCCATCTCTTCGAAAAACTGCTTGTCATAGAAGGAGGTGACGCCCGCGTTTACGTTGCATGGCAGGCTGCCGCCTTGGCGCTGGCGCGTGCTGACGTTCTTTGTGAGACGGTGCAGGTGACTGGTCGGCGCATACAAGTTCTCTTCAGCCAGATTGTTTAGGCTACCGCCGTGCGTTAAGTTCTCCGATACCGATGTGGGCTGACGGCGCCGCCTCGTGCGATGCTTAGCGGTCGTGTTGTAGTAGCGAACCGATTCTTTTCCGCTGGCGCTCGTCGCTCGCGCCTTTCTATCATCCTCTTCGGCCTTCTCTAGTAAATTCTGGGAAAAGAGGGCGGGATGAGCGGGTTGTGCTACGGGGAGGAAGGAGACATACCTGAAACAGTTCGCTTTTGCCGACACGATCTTTGGGAGTTTTGTAACTGATGGCCTCATCGAGAAGGGCTTTCAGTCCGACGTCGTCCAATCCCGACACGGAGGCTTCCTAAAATCAACCCACGCACGTGATAAAAACATTTTCCTGGATAGAAATAAAATTAATAAAAAGATTACGCCCAAATTGCTACGTCATTATTCTTTAAGGAGGCGATTAATTGGGTTATGTGATACTTACGTATTTCAATTAAAAAACGTTTAGGCACGCAGTTATGGGTAGAATTGATCGATTTAAATAGAAATTAAAGAGAATTGAAGGCAAAAACATCGCTTGATACGTCAGCGTATGAGGGCGGCCATTTGCACTCATTCGACGTATCGCAAAATTCTAACGAAAATCGATTTCTTCTCGAAATTTACATCTTCCAACAATTGGGGAACATAAACAAGCTTTCCCCGACCCTTTTACTAACGACAAAAGGATTTTGGCGTGCAAATTTTGACGAGAAACTGCAACAAAGACGAGACGGATACGTACTTTGTTAACGGCGGCGGATGAGGTTATTTCCAAGTTAGTGTCTGCCGTCGCCGTTTTTGTTTTATCGCCTTTATCTGGTGCTTTCGGCGCATTGTCGTTTTCAGGCGATGGGGCCATCTCCAACCCCCCGTCACACTTTAAAAACACTGGCTTAACAGTCCGCAATTTTAAAGGTTAGACGCTGTCCGCGCGCCGACATTTTTCGCCCTTCAGTCCCTATACCGTGAGCACATAGTTTTAGAATTTTTTTTTCAAAACAAAATCACATTTCTTCGACAGCCATTATGAAACATTTGCAAAAAAATTTAGGGGAACGAACGCAACACGTCGTTAAAATTTATAACTAAAATTTAGTCACCAAACGTCATCTTAAAAACACGAAAAGCACCAAAATTAATCCAATCCATACTTTATCTGTTGTTAAAAAAACCCAGAAAAAAGTTAATGCAAATGAAATTACACAATCGAGTTTATTGTGTTTTTTAAATATTGCAGCCGCGTTCCGGTCACAAGGTCAACGGTTGCAGAAGGCCACCGCTAATTCTCACTCGTAACGAGACGCCACTGGCAAACTTAAAATTTCGCCAGTGGCCTCAAATTTTGATTTTTCTTTTACTGCAAGAGATGTCTTTGAAACGACATTTCCCCCTATCACCGTGAACGCTTTCAGCCGAATTAGCGGTACCGAGTTACTTATATCATACAACACATTTTCCGCCTAATTGTAGGCAACCCATCGTACGATCACAAGTTTATTGCTCCGTACCTGCGTACTTTATTACTGTTTCTTCCCCTATTACGTCTACTTCCGTTGCTGTTCAAACACTTTGAGGAGCCCTTTCCACTTTATTTTTGGAGCCCCTTGTTTTTCTCCTCCCACTTCTCTCTGGCCTCTTGTCTCCTGTATCTTCTTCGTTAGTCTTTGTTTACCCTGTTGTAAATTTTCATTCTTTTGCGCCTCTCTTCCTTCACGTTCTGTTATGACCGCCCTCCACGTCACCTTTACGTGTAGGCACTTCAGGTTTTTTGCTTCTGTCATCATGCTACCCTCCCTCAAAAACTGCGCCACAGTTGCTCTAAATGCACACAAGCCGGGCTCTGAAAAGGGATCCGGTAACGGGGCAGGCTCCTTGAAAGAGAAGACGGCACCAACACGGAGCCTTTTTCAAGGACCCGATGGTAGACCCAGCTCCTATTCGCAAGAAGAATAGCGCACATAGCCAAGATGCGCCGGCTCGATAGTAAAACCTTGGATCAAGTGGGCCCCTTGCGCCTAAGGCTGTGTCTGGGTCGTTGGTGGACAGTCCGACGTCAGAGAACAAGCGTCTCAGATCGAAGGCAAGCACTCCAGGGGCTGTCGCAAGGTTTCTGGTGCACCACAAAGCTATGTGCACGTTGCAGGCTAATAGTGGCCATTGTTCCGGGGTCGTAGTTTCCTAACATCGCGAAAGAGCTCATGTAGGGGACTCTTGAACAGGTGGTGCAGTAGTCATGGCCCCTCCTAGATTCCCGTCTGACCTGGAAAGGACACATTGAGCGAATAAGCAAAAAGGCCACTGCATGTCTATGGGCTATGAACGTGGGAAGGAATACATAATGATGACGCGACTGAATAAAAAACAAAATGTCAAATAAGCGTCTAAAACTTAACGCCAAAGAACACACAGGGCACGTTAAATATCTGACCAGGAGAAATCTGGGGCCCAACAGCGCTTGGGCACTCTTTTCCGACTGCCGTGAAACAGGTTGAAGAACAACGCTATTCCAAACACCAATCAATCTCTCATAAAACAACAACTGACGATAAAGAGAGGGAAGCTTTGCTATTCAATTGTGCAAGGGTTGATCTCGGATTTCCTAACCTCAATCTTAAAAAAATTTGCAATTTTAATCAAAAACAATGTAATTTTCACAATTGCTTGTAATAATTCTCATACAAATCTCTATAATGCGAATAGGGAAGACCTTCGAAAACTCTGGTATCGGGTATACAACTTTGGAACGGCATTTCGATCCACAGTTCGAGACACTCCTGCATCTTTTTGTTTATATTGGACGTGCCGGCCTTCGATTTGATTATAGACCTCAATTTGTCGATCGCGTAATTTACGTACGACTCTTGATCGAGAAGATCGAGCGTGCCTGAAGTCAAAACAAGTTACAGAAATTCTTCGAGAGCGGGCAGTTACCGTTCTCTAAGCGAGCGTTGAATGTGTACGCCGACGATTTTAAAAACAGCAACCTTTCCCTTTGACGAACTACGTTTATTAGCATCACCTCAGGCGGGCACCAAACGTCAGGGAACAGCGCCAGAGTGTATTGTAGCATGTTCGAATCGTACGGCTCAAAGGTATGGTAGCCCATGTGGTTCGATTTCGTCATTCGGCAATATTCGAGGGGATACTTCAGGAATGTGTTGATTTCGATCGAGCAAACATTGTTGTTCAATAGCTGCAGCCAATTGCAGTCGGAGGTGAACTTCCCCAATTTCCTCGCCAGCAGGCTACAATCGCCGCGCATCTGCTCCATTGTACCGTGCACTTGCCTCGACATGTTTTGCTTGACGGCCACGGTCTCAAACGTACCAATCTGAAAATGGGGCCGATCACGTCGTGTCAGTGAGTGCGTCGCTTACGATGTCTTTGTCGACCCGAGCCACCTCCTCTTCCGTTTGTGCCAAGTTTACATCGTTTATGCGACGCAAGAATGAGTTGATCAAGTGTCGCAAGTGCGGAATCGCCCTGGTCAATCCGGATTCGCTCGGTTTTACCCTCGATAACGATGTCAAATCCCCAAGATCCTGAGGGACAAACTTAATTTTAAGAGATAGGCGAGACACTTACTATATCGGAGATTGTGCTTTCGAGGCGGGCGATGCGCGATCTCAATTGAAGCGTTTTCAATTCCAGGTCGATGTGGGTCCAATACAAAGATGGCGTAATTGGCGTGGAACTATCTTTCTTCCTAAAAAGACATCCGGTGTTAGTCCGGCAAGCAGTGACAGAATTAGGCCCCCATTCCTACAAAGCTAGATCAGTTCTACTTAATCTTGTGTCACAGTGCTTGTGGTCGCGCGAAAGCGTCACCGGGGAGGTATCCTGCAGTGGTTCCATTGTCATTTCCAGAACACCCCCCTGACATTACGGTGGGTTAGAGGGAAAAGGTCGTTGAGTCTTTCTTTGTTGGGTGGTTTGAAATCCTCGCCACGTTTTTAAGTCATGGGGGGGTGGGGGGTATAATACCCCCCCCCCCCGCCCACCAGTCCTAAGCGATACTATTGAAGAAGAGAATCTGCTCATCTTTCCAAGAACTATTATAAGAGTCCAGATAACTAAACGTTTTGTCAGGGAAAGCGTTACCAGGGGGCATGGAATACCCCCTCCACCAGTATATTATACAGTGATATTCATGTAGAAATAGACATAGGGATTTCCTATAGGAATTTCTTATGTCTACTTTTACATGATAAAAAGTCTCCTGAAAGACGCCTAATTTTATGCAACCAGAATAACCCCTTGAAACAAATAAAGATCTGGCTGTCATATTAATTATTAAAGCGATTCAAATTAATTAATATGACAGGCAGATCCTCATTTGTTTCACATAGTTACTTTGGTTGCATATAATTAGGCGTCTTTCAGGAGACTTTTTATCATGTAAAAGTAGACATAGGAAATCTCTATGTCTACTTCTACATGAATATCACTCTATGCAGTAGTTCCATTGTCATTTCCAGAAAACCCCCATGACAGTACTGAGGGTTAGAGGGAAAAGGTCGAGTCTTCCTTTGTTGGGTGGTTTGAAATCCTCGCCACATTATTAAGGCTTTGGTGGGGGTATTTCCTATCCCCTCAAACCCCCTAGTCCTAAGCAATACTATTTTGCAGAAGCGAATCAGATCTTCCCAAAAACTATTATGGGAGTCCTGAAAACGTTTTGCGAGTGAAAGCATTACCAGAGGGTCTGGAATACCTCCCTGTATATTATATGCAGTGGTTCCATTGTCATTTCCAAAAAAACTCCCATAGCCCAAGTTCGCCGGGTGTGCGAGGTGAGGCGACGCAGCCACCGAAAGTAAGCAAATATCCAATCCAAGAAAACGAGATTTTAAGAGAAATTTATATGGGGTTCAGAACGAATTCAGTAATTTCGGCCCCAAATTCAACAGGGTTCTTACTTGGATCAAGTGGAACCTACATATATGTTATATTTTAAAAGTACACACTCTAAGAATAGAAAGAAAATCTGAACAAGTAAAAAGGTTTTGTTTTTACTAGAAGCGTTTATGGTTAAACTTTAGAGATTTTCATAAGTAAAAAAGTTGCAGTCTGCGCATGCGTGGATTTGATTTTTACTATGTGCGATATGTTTGCTTTTCATAATGACATTTGTAGTTTTCGATTTTTACTACATGTGATATGTTTTTCTTTACTAGAAGCATCTATGGTTAAAATTTCAATGAAATATCTTGATAAATAAAGAAGTTGGCACTGACTGCGCATGCGCACATCTAATTTTTGCAATGTCAGTTATGTTTGCCTTTAACAGAAGCATCTGTGATTAAAATTTCAAAAAGATATCTCGATAAATAACAGTTGATATTGCGCTTCCTGCGCATGCGAGCATTAATCTGATGTTTACAATATGGGATACGTTTGCTTACACTAAAAGCATCTTCTAGCAAATGTATGCAAACATATCGCATATTGCACACAACATGTGTGCGCATGCGCGGACTACGCAATGCCAACTTTATATACTTCTTTTAAAGTTTAACCATAGACGTCTATATCTAGTGACTTTACATAGACGCTATTAGTAGCGCGCATAGCTGTCCTTTGGGGAACTACTGCTCAATGCATGGAAAATGCGCTAAACTTTTTACTTGTCTTTGTATGCCTTCAGTTGAAATCAAATAAGGGCTATTACAGTAAAACAGATATCTAGCTTTTTAAAAATGGATCATGCGAGACCAACCGCAAGTGGCCACTGACTTACATAGGCACAATCGCATCCAGTACCCCCATCGATAGGTCATGCAATTGACTCTCGTTATCCCTGCAAATATACTCGCATACTTCACGACGATTGTAGCCAAAAAGACCTCGAATTGAATCTTGCAGTATTCTGTCCTTCGAAATTGAAGAGTCGTAAGCGGTCCCATCCATAATTACGGGCGAACTGGCTCGTACAGGCAGGAAGTGTGATTCCGTCAGCAGACCGAGAGAATCGTTATCGCTCGACGATCCAAGCTGTCGCTCTGTGCACGACTCACTTTCGATTATCCTTTCAAGGCGTGCAATACACTCTCGGACCGTGTCCTAAAATGAACCAATGAAAATGTCACGAATCACATTATTTTAAATTGCCGGCTTCCGGATACCGGGCAAAATCGGTCAGCCAAATAGCTTGGACCAGATCTGAACCTCAAATTAAGGTAGTGGCTAATCGTTATTTTTTGTGGTCCAAAAGAAAACAGCCTACTTACACAAACCACCGTGTCATTCTCGCAATCGGTTTCTACCGGTGTCAGATTACAAGCAAGTGTCAACTGCTCTCTCACTTCTGAAATTTCCGCCCCCAACTGTGCACATTTCCGATTCAGTAAGTGACTGTAATTGCGAACCTGCCGAATCTGCGATCGGAGCACGTCGATCTTCAAATCTAAACATACACCGTGCACGTTTCACACGTCCAACTCGAACTTTTCGCTTACATTTCATCCTGACACTTTTGGCGAGAGCGTCCAAATCGGATTTGAGCTTGGTAATTTGCTCGTTTACGTTCGACACGTTTTTACACAGCGACTGTTTCCTCTTCCACAACTCCATCTCCTTGACGGGATGCTTGAATTCGTTTTGTAGCTGGAAAACGGGGGCGCTTGACAACGGGGGCTACGATTGTAACTTACCGACCACTTGTACGTTCAATTCCGATGAAGAGAAGCGCTTTATTAGGATGTTATTACGAATGCGTGCGATTTCGTTCTTCGGCTTAACTTGTTGCATAAGCTGTTCCCAGATTAACGCGGTGTTGGGATTACAAAAGCTAAAAGTTCACAACTGGGAATGCGATCAGTCCGAATTGGGGTACTTACGGATCAAAGCTACTCGGCATTTTGCCTTGATATCCCATTATTTTTAACCAGCTTTTAAAACGTTCGTGTGTCTCCATTTCGCTTTGAATGGTTTATTGTTCCTTTAAATCACTTTAAATACAATAATAAATAACGGACTTTTGTTCAAAAAATGCGCTTGCGCCATTTTGTTTTCAAAACAAAGTTGTGGGTGCATTCAAAGTCAAAATAATTTGGGAGCGATCAACAAGTCGTGGCTTACAGAGCTTTACAAAACTCAAAGGACTTTAGCAGCTCCATACTGAATACATACAGGGCAATTTCTAACTTCCCTACCAAACTGAAATGGTAACAATTAAAATAAAGTTTTGATCAAATTCTAATATTAAAGAAGGTTAGGTAAAACGTTTATTTTGATCCCCTATTCCCCTCTAGTAACCATTTTAGTTTGGTAGGGAGGGTAGAAATCACCCTGTATATGCTCAAGACCACAGCTTTAGATTTTATGCCGCAGACCCCGCTTGACCTGATGCTTTACCCTCGAATCGGCGGTTCCTGGCCATCGTGTTCTGTGCCCCAGTCCTCTATTCTTCTTGCGAAAAGGAGCTAGTCTGCAACCAGGACCTGCGTGGAGTCGTTCTCTCTTTCGAGGAGCCTGCCCCGGTAACCGGGCCCCTTTTGAGGGCCAAACTTGTTGGTCCCTCCTAACGATAGCCAGAAGGACCCGACGATCCACTTATAATCGTCATGGCCCACATCGACTACAGGAGTCACTTTACGATCATTCAGGTTTCTGCAGTAGGCGTCCCCCTATATCGGGCGCTTTAGGGTAAAATAGCAAGGAGCATCAAGAAGGATTGCGGACATAGATATTTTGGGAAAGAAATAAAAAATCGCTACCGAGAATCAGGAAGAGGTTGGATATAAACACCGTAGAATAGGAGATGGAGGAGGTGCCCATATCTGAAATAACGGGTGAAGGTACATCAGGGATAGATAAATTAAGGTAAGTTCATAGCTCTCCGTTCATACGTTTCCGTTTGTCCGTTAGTCAATCAGAAGACAGCAAATTTTTAAATCGTACGTCGTCCGTTTACGACGGAAAAGCTGGTTGAAGTTGAACATTTACGTTTCCGTTGGTCCGTTTTTAACAAGAGTGAGGTTATGTTTGGTACGTTAACAGCGTTCGCCTACTCGTTCTTCACGGTAATATGCCAGATAGCAATGTGTTCTTACTTTCGTACCATTTTTACATACTGAAAATCACTGACGGTACAGTACAAAATAAAGTTTAGGTTATGATTATACTTGCAAATGTACAATGTGGACGGATTGCTATGAACCTTATCAAAATGTGTTATCCGTTTGACGGATCAACGCAACGGATGAACGGACAGCTATGAACCCATCTTTACTTATTGGCAGCTTCTGAGCCCCTGGGCTACTACGGTCCATAGCGAATCCGCCCCTGAATAATGCATTTATGGTGATTTTCTATGTAAACAGTGGCAGTTGGTATGACTGCTTACGATGCCAACTTGATCATCCGGTGCCTTTTAAATGTCGTTTTATCAACAAACTCGGCAAAAATGCTTTTTAATTTGTAAAAAACATGTCAGAAACAGGCGAAGACTTCCAAAATGTACCATGCTCAGCTTCGCTCTTTGAAAAAATAAAGTTCTTCATTAGCGGCGATGTTGAGGACAACGTAAGCGAAGGTCCTTAATGGCTAAGCCACTCTAACACTTCTTCGGCCTTTTAGGTACTCGCATTGTTGAAAAACGGCGGTGCCGAGCGTATGAACTACTTCTCCGACTACGTCACCCATCTAATCTGCGGTCAAAATGCCGAAGAAACCGATATATCGGACGCAAACGAGCTGTACGAGATTCCCGCCGTTACCCCTAAGTGGATTCTCATGTGCGGCAAACTGAATCGTCTCGTACACACCAAGCCTTACATCTACGATAATAAGAAACTGTTCTCAAATTTGGTTTTCTGTTTTTCGCAAGTTGATGATCGTAATGTCCTGTGGTGCATTATTAATTACAACGGGGGTGTTGTGCAGTTTACGCTAAACAGCCAGTGCACTCATTTAGTGACCGCCAGTACGACATCTGCGAAGTACGCAAAGGCATCGAGTTTGAGTCATCTTACTGTGGTCACGCCAGATTGGGTTCTGGAATCGGTACGGGTGAAAACCCTGGCACAGCCGGAGCTGTATCACCCCAAACTGATCATCGTACCTCAGGTCGAAAAGCATGAAAGCACGACGGCCATTACCGGTTTTGAGCCCGAAATCGAGGCAAAAGTTGAAAACGCGCCCGATACGACTCGAGCACTTCTAGACAAATTAAAGCAGAGAATGCCATGGAATCAGTCTCCAAGTAGCTTGCCCAAAGTTACCGAAATTGTACCGCCGAACGTTGTTGCGCCCAGTTTCACGTCCCCGCGGGTTTCCGCCCCTGCCACGCAGGCGAGCGCGCTGGTACGCCCGCAAACTCCTTCTCTGCCAGTACGCGCCTTCCTAAACCAGGTCGTCGTCTCGGAACCCGCTCCCGTAGCTCACAACGTCGGGCATCAGAATGCGTTAATCGGACAAGCCCCGCCGCAGTTTGCCCCGTTTAATTCCACCGCGCACCTGCATCGATTTCAGCAGCAACGCGCAAATTTGCTGTCTCACATATCGCAGCAACAGCACCAGCAGCAGCTTAATAAGGCTCCCCACATGGGGCAGGCGCAATTTAATGCGCCGCCCGTCATGCAGCGGCAGGTGCAGATGCAGCTGCCCGTCGCTCAAATGCAAGCCGGTCCGCATATGAACCAGCTCGGGCAGTTGCAGCGGCCGCCTTTCGGTATTAATAAGGGGGTGCACATGCAGCAGCTGCAGCAACAGATCGGAAATCGACAGGCGATGCCGCCCCAATTCTCTAGCCAGCAAGGTCAGCAAATTCTTATCGGGCAAAATCAGCAATTGGGACCGGTGCTGAGTCAGCCTCAGCAACTGGAACAAGTGATGGGTCACACGCAACAGTTGGAGCAACCGGTATGTGTGACTATACCATGACAGTTGTCATCAAATCTATTCCATACCCCCCAGACCCCATGGTAATATGTCCTTTGTCCTACAAAAATCATAAACATCTCAATTTCCTAAAGATTTTGGGGGGTATGGAATACCTCCCCTCACTGAGAAGGAATTAATTACCTTTCCCCAACAATAAATCTCTTTAGATTGTGTATTATTGATAACAGGTGATAAACCAGCCACAAATTTTGGCTCAGAATCAAGCGCCAAATCAGAATCTGCAGCTGGGGCAGGTGGTGAACCAGCAACAGATCTTGGTACAAAATCAACCCGTGCAACAGAAGATGTTCGTGCAACAGAGCGACGCGCAGTTTGTGCAACATCAGTTTGTTCCCACTCCGACTTACACCCAGCAACAGCCGCAGATCGTGCAGAACGTTTTCACCCAAGCCCGTCCGCAATTCAACGCCATCAACCAGCAACAAGTTGTACTGAATCAACAGCAAAAACCAATCATTGTCAATCAGCAACCTCAGACCGTCCCGCAGCCGCCGCAAACGCCCACCCCAAGCCCACAAAGTAAACCTATTTGGCAACAGCAGCAGCAGCAACAGCAGCCGCAACAGCAATTGGGAGTTAGGCACCCGACGGGTATTATTCAACAGCAAGGACCTCGAATCCAATGGTCGCCCACTCAACAACCGCACGTCCCGCAAAGGCAGTTCATACAATTGGACATGCAAACTCACCAACAATTACAACAGATGGCGCCCGAGCAGCGGGCACTGTTCATAAGCAAATTGCAGCAAAAGCAACGCCAGGTTCTCCTGCAGCAACGCCAGCAACAGATGCAGATGCAGCAGCGTACCGGTCACGTGCTAATCCGCTCAGGCCCAGTTCCACAAGGACTCAATCCGCAACAACAAATGCAGTGGTTGCAGCAACAAGCCAAGCAGCAAGGAGTCATGCTGCAGCAGTCCACCATTCAACCGACCACTCCAGTACCGAACTCGCCGATAACACCAAACGTACCGCACACACTCGCACTTAGCTCGATACAGCAGTCCGCGCCCCCACCTCAGTTTAACGAAGCGAACCAGCTGCAATTACAGCGGCAACAGCAGTTCCGCATCCAGCAGCTGCAACTGCAAAGGGACCAGGCGCAGAAGGTCGCCGTAATTCCTCAGCCCGTCACGACCCCGCCGAACGCGATACGACCGATCGGTCAACCGCAGACCGCCGAGGTGGTCACGACGACCGCGCCGACCGACTCCGCCGTCGCCCAGCAGCAGCTGGTCGTCAACGCAAAAACGAAAACCGCCCTCGCGAATATGCTCAGCATTCGTCTGCAGAGCGGCGGTACCTCGGTCGGCGCGACCGAAAACATACAGGAACCGTCGGCCGCCGGAACGCTCAGGTAAGTGTCGATCTTCTTGGCGCGTGTCAAATGGCTCGTCTAGGTTGATGACGGCGCAGCACAATGCCGCGTTGAACTCGACCGCCCGCCCTCAGGAGATCCTCGGGTTGCATCAACGGCGGACGATCACCGCGCCGAACGGTGAGACGATACGTCCGCCGCCTTCGATATCGGTGCCGCCGCCCAGTGAGCCGCCTCACCTGCAATTTTCGCCGCGGGGCAACATTCCGATACAGCATCGTCAAGGCCCATTTTATGGGCACAATCCGAATCTTAAACGTAAGTACGTCCGATCTTTACAAGGATATTCCTTATATTTAGGCAGCGCGTTTGTTGTAAGAGAGGACAAAAATTACAATAACAAAACTAAACAAGGCGCTGAAAAAAAAGAGGCTTCACATACACAGGCTGACTGCCCGAAAATTTAGCGTAAAGAAATACACGCTTTTCAAACCGTCGCAAAAAAAAACAAAAGAAACAGCCCCGAAGTCCCACATCCTGCCCCTCACCCTAATCGTTTAGCTATATGGAAGCCTCCGATACGTTGCTCTGCACATGGCAGGTCACCATGCAAGTGTACCGTGTCTCAATGACACTTCAGTCAACATCTATGAGTAATGTAATTAATAGCGATATTGACTATTTGCAGTTCCTCCCGACTTATTTCTTCTCGGATGTATCTTTGTTGTTGTCGAGCTCGATAGATTTCTGGAGGAGTCGATTCCAAACTGGCAAGAACAGATTGAAAATCATGGAGGTAACGCCTGCGCCGACCGTGCGTAATTTAACCCGCGTAATTTTAGGGGAAGTCGAAAAGCAGTATTGCTCGAGGGTTACTCACGTTCTATGCGAAACTCAGCGTCACGGCGTCGTGATGCAGGCGCTTCGCGACTGTAAACGATGCGTGACGCTGTACTGGCTGTCCGACGTCCTGCGTCGCAAGCAGGTCTTACCGCCGTGGACCGCCCTGCATCTTCCGACGATGTACCTCGACACGACCCCCGCCTCGAAACATCTAATCTCGCTTAGCGGCTTCGTCAATTCGGAACGCAACCGCATCAAGCACATGATCAAGTACATCGGCGCCACGGTAAGCGCGACGTTACCGCTCGAAATTCCAACCTGAGCTTTACAGTTTACGAGTTACATGTCGAAACACAACACCCTGCTGATCGCGGCGAAGGCGGAGGGCTCCAAGTATGTACACGCGAAAAAGTGGGCGACGCCTGTCGTCAACGTCCAGTGGCTAACCGACGTGATGCTCGGCCACTTTAGCGCGCTCAACCAGCTCGAGCACATCAAGTATCAGCAATTTCCGAATCCGCCGTCATTCAACTTCGAGCCCAATCTCGTTCCGAGTCTGATGCGTAAGTGTTAAGTACATCGAGCGAGCGCTCACTGACGCACTGTTTCAGACGCGTGGAAGATGCCGATCAATATTTCGCAGGAGTCCTACGAGCGGGTCAAACGCAGTCCGTCGCCGGTCTTGGGACCCAAGAAACCCAAAAAGCTGAAGGTTAAGGAGGAGGACGAGTTCATGGAGGATCAAAATCAAAGTATGACGCATCGGATTCTCTTCTCATTGTTTACGGACGTTAATGATCTAAACGCGATCGTCAGGTAAGATGGCGCCACTGTGGCGTGGGGGACTAACTTCCGTTGTTGCAGAGACTTAGGTGGATCGTTAGCGCACAGCCACAAGGACTGCACACATTTAGTGATGCCCTACTTGGGAAGGACCAACAAACTTCTACACTGCATCTGCTCGGGTGCGTACATATTACCCGAGTCGTGGCTGCGCGACTCGCATTCGGCGAATAAGTTTCTTGATCCGGTCAATTACTCGTTGGACACCAAGGATTTTAACAGTGAATATAAGTGCGATTTTAATCAGACGTTGTTAACGCGAAACCGCAACAAGTTGTTCGAGGGGAAGTTCTTTTACATAACGCCGAGCGTGTTTCCAAGCAAGACTGTGTTGACCGAGCTCATCGAGAGCTGTGGCGGTAGCGTGGAGAAACACCGCCGAACACTGTCGCAGATTGAAATAACAAATTTGAATTCGCCCTACAGTTACATAATTTTAACGCACGCCAATGACTTGCATTTGATCTATGACGTGTTAAGAAACAAGAAGGATAAAATAAGGACCGTTTGTAATGTTGAACTGATTTACAGTGCTATTTTAAAACAAACTTTCGAAGTTGAACCTTACGCGGTGCAAGTATGCGAAATGCGGCGTTAACTGTGTTGACCCGCCCTGTATACAGAAACACCCTATACATATGTATTATATGATGCTGTCAAAATTGATTGTCAAATTTACTTCAAATAAATAAATCTATAATTTTAATGGCTTAAAAATCGCATAAAATACGACTTATTTATTAAATCGACCTTTATTTTAGTAAATAAACAATGGCTTCTGCCGTGGACACATTAAATAATGACAATTGGATCGAATTTTGCCAACGACACGCAACGGTAGCCGCTCAGGATTTCTCCAAAAGTTGTTTTCAATTCATCTCTGTGAATCTGTCCGAAAATGCGCGCTCAAATCTAACACAAAAAGACTTCCTAAAGAAATTCATCGAATGCTTCAGCGAGCAATTCGAAACGGACTTCGTCAAACGCAAACCGCATGGGCATAAATTGGTAAACGGCGGCACGATACACGCCGAGGAGCCGAACGATTCCGTCTCAGAAAACGGCGAGACCTCGCCGAAATTGCATCACAAGCCCTTCTTTCGCAGGTACGGACGTGCTCGGTTAGTTAATTCGCTATACCTAGTTTCTCGTAGGCTAAGTTTCAAAATGTTACGGAAAGGCAAAGACCTGTTTCACAAGCAGCACTCCGACGAACTAGAACTAAGCGGCAGCCATAGCAAAACGAAGCTGGCAAAAATCGTAGTCGAATGCCGCAAGGAGGGCATCGTTAACTATTCGACGCCGGAGAGCCTCGATCAGCCGGGTGGGCCGCCTAAATGGGAACGGTGCCGGTTGGCCTTGGTCAAGGCGGTCGGCGGTTATATGCTCGAGTTTTATTCCCCGCCGAAAAGTACAAAGGTAAGTGCTGCCGTCTCGCCGGAGCTTGCCAATTATACTTTTCGTAGCCCAGAAGCGGTGTTTTTTGTGCGCTGATAACCGAAGCGCGAGAAACGACTGCGCTCGAAATGCCGGACCACGAGAACACATTTGTACTGAAGGCGGTCAATAATATGGAATTTGTTATTGAGGCGCACGATACGGACGATATGAGGTACGGATTTAATGAGAATTTGAGTAGAAGGTCGATGAATCATAAAATTAATTGTTTCAAAAATTAGGTTGGCGTGACTGTGACAGCAAAAAAATTACATTGTCCTTCTATTCAAATTCCTTATTCAATGGTAATATATTCACGGACCAGATGACGTTAAGCCACACTTCCAATACAATTGAAAGCAAATTTGACCAATAAAAAACTTGTATTTAAAAGTGGGGAGGAGCTTAACTATTACTGTTTCGGGACTTTAGTTGGTGTGGAAATTTCAAAGGTGTGTCGCAGGTCGTGGTTGGCTACCATACGGTACTGCATACGGTCGGCGCCCGGCCCCGACGGTGCCCACATGGACGCGGGCAAGCCCGATTATCACGGCGACGCGCCCGAGCTGCCCCCTCGACACATCGCCGGCAATCGAAGCGGAGATCGATTATCGTCCAATAGTAATTTCGATATTTGCCTTCAGGGCGAGGACGGTTTCGAGAAGGACATCGGGCTGACGCTGAAGAAGGAGTTCTGGTTTCACGGCACGTTGGGACGGTCGGAGGCGGCGCAACTTGTCCTGCACGAGGGGGTGGCAGGTCACGGTTTATTTTTAGTGAGGCAAAGCGAGACGAGGACGGGCGAGTTCGTACTCACATTTAACTTCCAGGTATGTTATTGTATGAGCCCTAGCAATCTGTACCCCCCCCCCCCAGCCCCCCTGGTAACACTTTCCCCCGGCAAAACATTTAGCTCTCCGGACTCCCGTAATAGTTTTCGGAGAAATGATCGGGTCCTTTTCTGCAAAATAGTATTCCATAGGACTGGGGGGTCTGGAATACCCCCCAGCAGAGTTCAAAACATGGTGAGAAAGACTGGACGACCCTTTCCCTTTAACCCTTAGTGTCATGGGTGTTTTCTGAATATGACTATGGAACCACTGTATATCATATACGGGGGGGGGGGGGCTATTCCATACTCCCCAGATTCCTTGGTAACACTTGCCCTCGCAAAACTTCGCTCTTGGGACTCTTTTTTTTGGGGAAATGATCGAATCCTCTTCTGCAAAATAGTATTCTATGGGGGGGAGGGGGGGGGGGAAATATCCCCAGCAGAGTTAAAAACGTGGTGAGAAGGACTGGACTAGGACGACTCTGACCCTCTAACACAAAAAAGAGCATACAGTGAGTTGCTGTAAGTCGCCGACAGATGGCGCTGACCATTTTCGATTAGATTATTGGGCGCCCCGGTGTTGGGAGCCTCACTGAAAGTGTAAACAAGCGCACCGTTTTTAGGGGCGGGCGAAGCATCTACGAATGACAATAAACGAGCAGGGCCAGTGCCGCGTTCAGCACTTCTGGTTCCAGTCGATCTACGAGATGCTCGAGCACTTCCGCCAGCAGCCGATACCGCTCGAGAGCGGCGGCAACTCGGACGTCACCCTAACGGATTACGTCGTCAATCCGAATGCACGCAGCCAACTGCAGGGCTCCGTAGGGCGGGGACAGGGCGGCGGCGCCGCCGTCGACAGTAGGCGGGTGGCCGCGCTTCCAGAAGCCAGACAAGTGAGATAGTCTTATATCGACATTTATTTTTGTTTAAGAGCTAATGACGTAGTAGTTGTAAATATTTTATTTTATTTATGTCTTAAGTTGTGAATGCGCTTTTTAGCAGATGTAATTTATTTACGTTCCGAATGTTCTCTGTCTCTTTTCGTAACAATTTTTTTATTTTATTTTATTTTTTTTGAAAGATAGACTGCTTATTAACTGTGATTTTTCGAACTGATTAACCCAAGTTATTTCTTTAAAAAAACTCTCATTGATATGAATCGAGGCAGAATACTTAAACGTTGTAAACTTGTCAGCGCCACAAATTAGTATTTCATGTATATATGGGATATTATTTATTTTAAACGTATAAAGAGTATATTTTAACAGCCGAGTACATTTTATAAAGTACAAAATATGTGTAAATAAAGTCGTCGTCGTCTTTTTTTCGTTTTTCGTTTATTCCCTGCAATTTTTAGATACAGACGCACAATGGCAGTGTGCGAACGCAGGAGACGACTCTGGAGCAAATTAACGAGGCGTCAAATCGGGCGATCGAGAACCAGTACAGTTTCGTTTAATTGTTTAGATGTACGATTGTATTTAATGTATTTTAAGAGAGAAATAATAAAACCGCCTAGATTCTCAATATTTAATGTAGTCCACTGAAGCGGGGCCCCAGTATTTTTAAGGTTAAATGCGGTCGCTAATTTAGATTGAACACAAATTTGAATATAGCATTTGAATTATTGAGTTTTGTTTAAATAATCTTGTATTTTGTTTATTTTATTGCTCAGTTATGTGTTAAAAAATTAGGGACATCTGGAATTAATTGCAGTGTTTTGTAAAAGTTTATCTCTTTTAAATCCGGTCTTCCGATAAGAAGTTCATTATCGCTGCGTAAAAGCTAATTAAGTTGAAAATAAGCAGGTGTGATTTTATCGAAGACGCGCTGTAATTGTAATAAAGATGGAGGAGTGGACGGGATAAGAGGGAAGGGTTGTTAAGCAAGCTTAGCATACGTTGCTTTTTTAGTGTTTAGCAGTCAGCCGTTATCGGTTTTTTTTTTTGGGAAAGACAGTCAGCCTTCGTGCTTGTAAAGTTCTTGTGGAAGAAAGTTTAGAAAAGTAATATAAAAGTGAATGTTTTAATTCGAGTTACGGAGAACTAGTTGGTGCTGTGTCTATCGAGTGTTAATCGCAAGAGTGGAGCCTTTCTCAAAGGCTTTATCCAGTACCCGGTAAAGTGAAATGTATCCACCACCAAAAAGCCACTATTACATCTGTAATTAGTTACAACAAACCAATGCTATGTTCTCCCCCAAAACATTCACCCCTTAGAACTCTCGTGTATGGAATAATTCCCAGAAAAGGAAAAGATGACCCCCCCTACAAAATAATCATAAGCATATTGTTACAAACGCTCTAGGGGAAAGCGTAATTCTGGGGGGTATAGAATACCCCAGCAGCACACACAAAGGGATCAATTACCTTTTCCCCAGAACTACCATGACGGTTGTCATCAAATTTCTCTTTGCTGCGGCTGCTGGGGGGGGGGGATTATACCCCCCTAGTGCTATGTTCTTAACATCCTAAAAGAATGAGACTAAACCTAGCTAGGGCTTCAAACTGTGGTACAGACCACCTCCGAGAATAATAACCACATTGTAGATTCCTCACTCTTTAATGTAGTCGACCAAGTCGCTCACAAACTCGACATACTGCAAGTCGGTCAAACGGTTCACTTTCATTCTGCCACTAATTCGAGCTAACCTGGCGGCGAGAACGTGCTCGCACGTCAAGAGGCCCTCACCGGATAAAACTCGCGCGAACGTCCCACAATGGCAAAAGTTAATATCGTCGAACAAGGTGTACACTTCCTTTTTGTTGCCGACTTTAAGCACGGCGCGTATGGCGTTCGGCGTTTCGTAGCGCACCACCTCCCCAGTTTCCAAAAAGTCGGCGGACTTGACGAAGACTTCCCCGAAAACGTCGTGTAACGACTGCAAGACCTCTTCTAAAACTACACTTGTATTAGTAAAATCGCCTTTGGTACTTGCTTACATTTCCCATTCTGCTTGTAGGACTCTTCCGCATCGTTTAAAAGCGCGAAGGAGAGCTCCCTAACCAAAGCCATAACACAAAGTGAGGTTATGTGATTTTATTACGAAATTAGTATAATTTCAAGTGACCGGTAATTTGATCTAATTCGCTTTTAGGGGCAGGCCCTATCGCTACAACAGTCCTAGTGCCGGGGGCAACCTGCGTCTGTCCAGCGTCCCGTACAACGCAAGACAAAATGTCGTTGGTTTTCGCTCGTTTGTCCAATTCCAACAGCTCGGCTTCGGAGTCTACCTTGACCGTAATTTTAGTGCCTCCTGAAAGGTGAGTTCAGCTTTCGACAGTTAAATGCGCAATTACCGTATTGCATCCACCGTTGTAACGTTTTCGGTTTCAATTTCATCGCCTTCGCATAGGCCGCCACGGAAGCGTGTCCGCATTGCGCCCCTACTTTCCCCTTTTGCATCTTGAGATCATTGCGTATCGCGAGTATCAGTCGATATTCGTTTTTTAGATCTGGAAACTAAACGCATTTGTGCCGAGACGATGGGGGACCGACGGTTCCTCACCTCAAATCGTTCCGAAGTTGGTACTGCAGGTTTGGGTTTGCGCATGAGGCAGTACACCGAGGAGGCCCCTATCACAGTGCCCAAGGAGAAGATTGCCACCGAACTTGATAAAATACTGTTGGTTACAAGATCCATACTTGAAGCAAGAAGTGAGGTTATGTGCCAAAGAAAACAAGGTAGGGTTTTAGACGTTTATTCAATCCCCATCTCCTTATCAAACTCTTCATTGCTAATCTTCTTCTTCTTCAATTTCTTAATCAAAGCAATATCCTTCGCTAATTCCGCCATATCTTCTTCGCTCAGCGCCGATTTTCGCTTGCGATCGGAGACTTCGCCCTTTCGTTCCACCTTCGCTTGTTTACGCTTCATTCGCTTCAACCGTTTCAGCTCCTTTTGCTCCTTGGCTTTGGACCACGCCTCCGACTGCTTGGCACGGATCGGTTTCCGTTTACCCGGCCATTTACCTAAGGTGAAATCGTGCGAAATCGAAAGCCGCGCATCGTTCCGCTCACCTGTCTCCTTGTAAATGTCGAGCTTTAGCTTGCGCTGCTCCTCGCGCGTCTTGTTCCTGTAGGCCAGCTTGTTGATGTCGAAGTCGGGCATCGCGGGGAACTCGGACAGGTCCCTGTTCTTTAGCTCGGGCATTTTGGGCAGCTGCAGCAGACCGTAGCTCGCCGCCATTCCCGCCAGGGGTAATTCCTGCAAGGGGAACTGAACTATCGGTTACATGCTGGCACGGCTTACGTTCACTCGAAGTAGCAGGGAGCATTCGTGTTTGGAGTACGAACGGATGTGAGACACGAAAGCACGGGTGCCTTTATCGAACAGGTCGCGATCGGCCATTTGCAACTTTCGCAATTTGGTCAAGAGCTCGGAAACCAACTCGTCGGTGGCAGAATCCGCGATTGCATTAACCTCGACTTTCTGATTGCGACGTATGAAATCAACGTAGGCCTCCTCCGACTCGTACAGCATAATCAACGCCGAACCCTCGTTACCCTGACGTGCCGTACGCCCGATCCTGTGCACGAAAGCGGCGGCGCTCGCCGGCGGATCCCACTGCACCACCCAATCGACCTGCGGAATATCGATTCCGCGCGCCAACACATCCGTGCATATCAGCAGACCTCGCTCGGCCTGACTAAAATCGCCCAACACCTTTTTCCGCTTCTCCTTCATCTTGCCGTGTATCGCAAAGACGGGCAGCGAGGCGTGCAAGTCGGGGAGTACGTGCGACCAGTAATCGACGCAGGCGCACGTCGGCACGAAGAGCAGTCCCTTCTGGACGTTGTCGGCCTCGAGGAAAGACAACAGAGTTGCCAGTTTGCCGTTGTTTTTCGTCGTGACGTAAAAATTCTTGAGGGAGACGGGCGTGCTTTGCGACGCCTTTTCTGTGACCGTGATCGAGACAGGGTTGCGTAATCCGGCGCGGATTAAAACGTCCAGCTCTTTCGTTTGCGTCGCCGAGAATAGACCGGTTCGCCGCTGCTTGGGAAGATAGTTCAGAATGTTGTCGATCGTGCTTTTAAATCCTAAGTCGAGCAGCCGGTCGGCTTCGTCCAAAATTAGCAGCTCCACAGATTTCACCGCTTGTGCTAGGTTCAGCTTGTGCTGTTGATTCGTTAGCAGATCTTCAAGACGGCCGGGTGTGCATATTAAGACATTGCAACCGTTTTTTTCAATATTTTGTATGTCCTCGTCGACGTTATTTCCACCGACCAAAAGGACATCTCTGATTCCCTAAAGATAAAGGTGTAGCTTCACGTTGGGATGCATTGCTACTTACTTTTATGTGTTTGAGAAACTGCTTTAGGACCGAATACGTCTGCAAAGCCAATTCGCGTGTGGGTGAAATGACGATAGCGCCAACCTGGTGCGGTTTTAACTTGTCTTCATCATCGTGTCGCTTTAGTAATTCCAATAGAGGTATTAGAAACGCTAAAGTTTTACCAGAACCTGCCGAGAAAATATGATTATGAGCTTTGGAAAGTGGAATACGCACCCGTAACTGCTTGTGCTGCGACATCTTTTTTCCCAAGTAAAAGGGGGATGGTGGCAGCTTGTACGGGTGTCATTGTTGGAAACTGGAAGGATTTTATCGCACGTTTCACATCTTCGTGTAAGAGAACGTTTAATTCTTCCCATTTTTTATTCATATTGAATTGAACGGAGTGTTTACTTTTAAAGGTTATGTTTAAAGATTGAGGTTAGATAGAGGAACGTGCTATTTTGTATACAATTCTATTTTACATACAAACGACCTTATTTATACAAATAATTCGTAAATTAAATGCTTTTCAGTAGCTTTCAAGAATATTTAGAGCGTTTTAAGCCTTTAGAGAATTCTTTAGGCTGTTTCCACAGCTTTCTAGATACTTTCCAGAGCTTTTTAGACTTACAGCGTACAATTTAAAAAATGAGAATAGCACATTCTGAAGAGAATTTTGGTTGTATTAAACCTGCAATGTATGACATTTTCCTCGTATACGCCATATTGAATTCAAAATTTTATATTTTTAAACTTATTATTTATCAATGCATTTCCAAAATTACAGCGACATTCTCACCCTCAGGAAAGGGGCGATAGAATAAGTCGTACATGGAAGACAGCAGCAACACCTCGCCTTCCTCCAGCGCGACCTCGATCACCGGACAGTGCTCCTCGCAATTCATTCTCGGTCGCAAACTGAAATAATTCGAGCCGACCATCTGCCCGACGAGTGCGATGGGTTCGACGAGCTGAACCGTCTTGTAGTTCGTCACGTTGTAATCCCTACTCATCAGCAGCCAGCTATACTTAGTCGGGGAGAGACGTGCCGGTAGCACCGCCGGTTTCGGGGCGTACCTCCGAAAGGCCTTCACCGCTTCGAAATCGCAGTTCTGAAAGTGGAGGAAGTAGCGTTCGAAGTCGTCCAGTTTGTCGACGAGCGTCTTTACGGTAGGTGTTCCTGTGCGTACATTCGTCGACAGCTTGCATGGGGTGGATCCGTGGAAGAGCGGTTCCGTATCGATTTCTGGCAGGTACCAGTTCGGCGTCATCGCCTTGTTTAGTATCAGGGCTTTGTGTAGTTTGATGTAGAGATCGTCGAGCCTTTCGGGATCGATGTCGTAAGCGCTGTCTATGTAGTTGTTGATTTCGCACAGTTCACAGGCCAAGGGAATCGGTACGTCGTCCGTCTTAGTCGGAATGAGACATTTTTCGTATTTTAAGTGCCTCCAGTTCCATATGGGTAACAGGTTGATTAGTCCCACACGTCCGATTGCCGATAAATGCCACGAAACTATCTCCGTGGTGGATACGTAGTAGACTGCTAACGAAAGTAGTAAAAGTATAAGCAGATGTAAAATTCCTCGCTTGATTTTGTTTCGGGCGAGGGCCCGTGTTAACGGTCGAGTTATGACGGCCACTTCTTCGTCAGAGAGTTTGCTTTTCTTGCAGAATTGTAAAAACGCGACCAGTTCGTCGTTGATCATGTTTAGTCGAGGGTTCATGATTTCTTTTTTGCTGTATTTTGCTACTTTGTGCACAAAGCAATTGCACGCATACTCCGTATTATTGACAAATTTGAAAGTCGTCGTTTTACCGCCATTAAAACAAAACAGGTATGGCTGTGATTGCCTTACCGTCTAAACATAAGCGCGACTCCCTTCAGACGCGCATGCGTTGCTCTTCATTTCAAAAACTGGCATGTTTCTTTGCTTGTGTGCCTGGAAACTGTACTAAAGTTGGGAAAACCTCGTATAATCAAAAGTAAATTGCAATCTATATAAATAAAAATGAATGTATGTCTTATGGCTGTCCAAACCGTTTATCCGATTGCGATAACATTTTGGGAAATGGTTGGACGTTTGTCTGCGAAGGTTTCAATATGAATAGTTCGGTGGGTACGCGAGGTGAGGCGGCGCAGCCACCGAAACCGAGCGTATGTCCCATCCAAGGAAACGAGATTTTCCAAAGGCAGTACGAAGGTCGCCGAATCCTCTAGTGGAGAATAAAAGCACATTTACACTAGAAAAGTACACCATTTCTTTTATGAAAAGTAAGAAGATAATACATGATTTGTTTATGTATTTTCAGTTCAAAAAATTGGAGTTTAATGTTTAGGTTCATCGTGCTTGGATTGAATCGGGGCAGACGATCTTTATCAGGGTCACAGCTTGCAGGTTGGTTGGTTTGCCTCTTGTTTTAGCGTGCGCTAAAGTAATCTATATAAAATTGGAACATTATTCCAATAACTTTTGAAGTGCCTGACAAAAGAAGATTAATTACTTCCTAGGGGTGGTTAAATTGTTTTGAAAATGGCGCCGACCTTAAAAAAAAACGCACATGCTTCTTGATGGAGAGTCACGCTTAGATGTAGAGCAGGTGTGCTGTGATTGGATGCGCCATGATGGGACATGCGCCGAAGCGCGCTCGTCAGTCTGACATTCGAGCAATACTCGTAATGGGTTTCACTTTAATACTTGTTAATTAACTTATTACTTTGTTAAGTACCTAAAATAATTAAGGTTTAGTTAATCGACCTTTAAGTGAAAACACCCGGAGGTTTAAATAACGACCAAGGAAATTCAAGCAATGATTTAAGCCTTTATTTGCATTTATTGATTACGTCATTAAGCCATTTTGTGTACTGTGAGCTTTGTTCGCATTGTTTTTGCGAGTTCGCGAGAGGTTTTTCTTAGAAAACCAAGTTTCTTACAAGGCGTGCTTTAAAGTTTCTCCAAAATTCCCGTGCCTACGAGAAAGTACGACACCACCGGAATCGGTAGCGGCGGTGACAATATGAACAAGAGGAAAAACAGAGGGGGGCCGTTAAGGTAAGCGCGTACGACACCAATTCCTTCCTAATTTAAATCACTTCAAAGATTCTTTAACAGGCCACCTCGCGTGCGATCGGTGGTCACCGAAGGGGTCTACAATAACGCGCACTTCATGCACGCCGCCACATCGCACGTCGGAAACGTCGTTCGTATACAAACGGCATCGGGCAGCGTCTGGGAAGGTAACTACCACCACCTCGCGCTGATCGTACGCTCACCATAATTTCTAGGCGTCTTCCGTACGTTCTCGTCCCAATTCGACGTTGTCCTGGAGGTGCCCGCCAAGGTGGAGAATCCGGAATCGGGCAACTCGACGTTAATACCCGACGCGGTCGCCGATAAGCTCATATTCAAAACGTCCGACATAATAAGCATGGTAGCTAGGGACGTCGATTTGGATTTCGCGACGCGCGACACCTTCCAAACCGATACGGCGATCTCGGCGAAGTTCAACGGCCAGCAGAAGAGCGGCGAGGAGAAGGAGCTCGAGCCGTGGGACCCGTCGTCGGGCGTCAACGGCGACGAGACCTCGCTCGAGCTCGAGCCGGGCGCGAACGGCTGGGACGCGAACGACATGTTCAGGAAGAACGAGCAGGATTACGGGGTGACCAGCACGTACGATCAGTCGTTGCGCGGTTACACCGTTCAGCTGCAGCATACAGATTCGCCGGACTATAGGTGAGCGCCTCGAAATTTAATTTTCATAGTCAAATTGCAATTTTGTTTCGGATCACCCTTTTTTTACATTTTAATTGTTTACATCCTGTATATTAAACATAACTTTGTTACTATACAGGGTCTCTAAACTGAAGGAGACGCTGTTGCTAACTTCATTATTATAAGATGTGTCAAATTGTGCAGTCGCGTTCTGAAAATATAACTTTTCTTCTTTTTGGTACGCGTTCTACACATTATTTTTTTTTAACAGGGAACAAGAGGCCAAGGCGGAACAGATAGCGAGCGAAATCGAGAATCAACCGACTTATAAGGCAAGGCAGGATGTGGAAAACGGCGACGAAGAGGAACGATTTGCAGCTGTGATAAGGCCGGTAGTACCGAATCAAGATGTAAGTTATTCGGTAGGTTTGTGCCAGTACTGTCCAATAAAGTTTGATGAACTCGTGCTTATTTTTGTTAGAAATTTTTAAGGTTAGGAGCATCTATGTTTCCAAAATACCAAAATGAAAGTTGAATCTGTGGTTAGAATTCAAAGAAATCTCATGGGCGGGTTTGATTTTCATTATACAGTGTCCCCCCCCCCCCCATGATTGAATTTTGATCTTCTGGGGATCAGCCCTGCTTGCTTGGAAACTAATTTGTGACAATTTTAGTTTTGAAAAATCAAGTGTGCCATTAAAATTTTCAATTTTTGTGCATACCAATGAAGTGCTCTTTAGCGACGAGATACGCCCAAATGTTTTTAAGAAAAGTTGTTTAGAATGAAAAACAAAGTTTTAAAGTCCTAGATTTACTTTGATTTTTTTTCTTATATTTTTTTAGGAAACCCAAAAAAAGTATTCAAAATAAAATGTGTTTTTCATTCTGAACAACTTAATAACATTCGGGCGTATCTCATCTTCAAAGTGCACCTTGCTGGTATGCAAAAAACGTTTTTTAAAAATTTCAAAAGCACAAAGATTTTTTGGAACTAAAATTGGGTGGACCCTGAGAAGCTCAAACTTCAATTCTTAATTTTTTTGTGTTTTTACAAGAGACGACCAATCTTTTGAACTCTTGTAATGAAGGTGCAGTCAAAATGAATTTAAGAGCAGTCAGATCAGACATAATAATAATAATAATGTTTTTTTTGTACTTGAATTGTCTGTTTGTTCTGCAGAAACCAGGTCTGGATACCACTACGAGTGGAGGCAAGTACATACCTCCGGCAAAGAGAAAGAATCAAACGTCCGGGAAGTTGATGCGCAGTACACCGCCACCTTCTCAGGGCAGCAGTGCTCAAACAACACCTTCTCCTAAAAGTAATATGCCCCCACTCCAGTACCCCGCACATCCCCCGCCCCCTCACACGAACGCAACGCCACCTGTTGCTCACGTACGTGAAAATAGAGACGTTCACATACCGCCCCAAGGTCCCATACACTTATCGCAAACGCCCCCGATGAGTATGCAACAGCACGTAATACCGAACCACACGGCGCCGCACATTTACAATCCCCCCCTTCAGAGGCAACCTCCGCCCCCGAACGGGGGGTCGAATCCGCCGAAAGCCCAGCTTAACGGCGACGCCAAACAGATGCCGCCGAGGAACGTGCGCAACGCCTATCCCACGCAAAACAGTAACGTTCCGAGTCCGGTGCCGCAGCCCCGACACAGGGAGGAGGTGAAGGAACTGCACAAGTTTTCGCAGGACTTCAAGCTGGCGCAGCCGCCGACGGAATCGCTAGTTCTGCCGCCGGAGCAAATGCCGGCGGCGGCGAACCCGCCACTGCCGTCGACGCAACCTCAACAGTCGATTTCGCCGCCGCAGGAGAACTTGGACAAGGTCACGAGCACATTCAAAAAGTCAACGTTAAATCCCAACGCGAAAGAGTTTGTGTTGAATCCGACCGCAAAACCTTTTACCCCCAGGTAAATTTTTATTTTCAATTTCAAGATATGTACAGGGTGGCCAACTAAGAATGCGAGGTACTGTTTCTGAGAATCTATCCATCGTAGAGGCTTGCGGTAAAAAAATTTATTACTAAAACGGCCACGAGCACAACCTGGAAAATATTTTTAAGTTTCTGAAATGACCGCTAGGGGGCGTACCTGCAATCTGGAATCTAAAAAAGTGATTTCTCTGTGAATTCCGCTATATTAACCTAACAAAAAAATGTCCGGTCTTTGAAGTTGACGATAATCTGAACAATTTTTCCTGTATCTCTAAAAATGAAGTGGTGGAGGGTATTCAAAGGTTTCCGTAAAGAACACCCTGCATCTTAGAAACGGCTGAGCCGATTTAAACAAACTCGGGTTAGTTCAAAAGAGCTATTCTTCAGCTACAAATATTATGCTATTTGAAGTTTTGTTAGTTTCACATATCAGAGGGCTTTTTTCGACATTCGGACAGAAATGGTTAATTTTCTCAAAAAAATTAAATGCATTGGTACGATTTTTTTTTTATGAAAACAAATTATATAATAAAAATACTTCCGGAAAAATCTTAAAAAAATAAAATTTTCTTTGGCCTAAATGTTAGGTTAGGACCAAGATATCGAGATGAGGTTTTCGCGAGCTTGTTTAGGCATCATTTAGCTACTTTTTCATTTAAAAAAATCCCACCAACGCATTTAATTTTTTTGAGAAAATTAACCATTTCTGTCGGCCCTCAAGCGGCGATATGTGAAACTAACAAAACTTCAAATAGTATAATATTTGTAGCCGAAGAATAACTCTTGAAAACCCCCTACCACTTCATTTTTAGAGATACAGGAAAAATTATCAAACAAAAAAGGTCTTCAAAGACCGGACATTTTTTTGTTAGGTTAATATAGCGGAATTCACAGAAAAATCACTTTTTTAGATTCCAGATTGCCGTTTCGCCCCCTAGCGGCCATTTCAGAAACTTAAAAATATTTTCCAGGTTTTTCTCGTGGCCGTTTTAGTAATAAATTTTTGTTACCACAAGCCTCTACGATGGACAGGTTCCCAGATACAGTACCTCGCATTCTTTTTTGGCCACCCTGTACATGTCAGTGTCATAAGGCAAGGCAAGATACAATTCATGCATTCAAACCCTTCATAGTCATTCTGATTTAAAAGCAGGAATTTCACTTTAAAAAACCCGCAATAACTTTTTTAATGTCAAAACAAAAAATTCTCAATGCCACTACCCGGCCAACTCTGAATACGACATCCCTACTTCGTTTTTCTTATGTTTGATTTGTAGATCTCCCAGTACACCGAGTGCGAGCAGACCTCACACGCCGCAGACGCCCAGTCACAGTCCGTATATACCGCAGACGGTAAGCGGTCCACCGGGTCAACCGTCGATGCCGATGGTTATGGGTTACATGCTTCCGAGTCAAGGTCAGTACCCGCCACAGGCACATCCTCAAGGTAACAGGATACGAAAAGGTGAGGATAAGCGGAAGTAGGCGTAATGAGATTTAGTGGTTCGATTTTCAGTTCCGATGGGTCAAATGCGCGCGGACATGGCGTCGCAAATGCAGGTCGCCGCGGCGACCGGTCAACCTTTGCTGGCGCCCGCCCCCCTACAACAGTTCGTGTATCCATCCAGTATAAATCCGCAGGCGGCCTATCAACAAATGCACACTTTACGCATGTACGAATCACCGCAGATCCAATACATACCGCAGAATCCGTCAAACGCCCCGAGTCCGGCTCAACCGCCGACCCCGTACACGCCCAACCAAGGACATCAACCGCCCCAGCAGTACCAAGCGACCCAGCCCCCACAAGGACCCCAGTTTCAGATTATGTGCCCGGTGCTACCGCCACCGCACATGATGCCCACCAGCATGCACTATATACAACAACCGCCACCTCCACAGGCACCCATACAAGTTCTCCTACAGCAACCGCCACATCAACCTCAACACGCCCCGGCTCCCTAGTATTAAATTACAATTTTAGTTAAATTTTAACATCCCTCTCTCCCTTTCCCCCATTTTCCCTCCCGTATCCCCCTCCCAAACTACCCGCACGCCCGTACGTTTCCATCGGGTACGCGCGCGTGACCGCGTTGTTTTAAATCGCGAACTTCTTTTTTAGTTCCACTCGGCGCCGCGTGACCTCGGCGGCGCTTAGGCAAAACAAAAAAAACTAATCGCAATTCATCAATCGTTCATTCCATTTTAAGGTTACTCCTGCATTATTTCACTTCTATTCACTTGTTGCCTTTTTCATAATGTGTAATAAAAGCGCCCCTTGCCCCCCCTCACCTTATTTGAAACAATTTTAATGACGAAATAATACGACAAGAGATTTATTTGCGAAATTTCAATGCAGGTGCCTTACTCTCATTATTACTACGACTCATTTTTTAAGTGTATTTACAATCGGCACCCATTATTATGGTCACCAATTTGTTTTTGTTGTATGTTTTAAATTATATTCGCAGTAAAAAAAAAGCGTTGACGCTACTTGTTATGAACCATTTTTTTTTATCTCTCTCTTTCGACATTCTCGACGTTCATCCTACTATTGCTACTCTTTTCTTTCGGTCATCGCGGACTCAAATTTGTTGAAATTTTTGTATGTATTTTACAAGATGCGTTTTTTAAACAATGTTGATTTAACATTAACATTATTATTTGTTGCTAATGGAAAAGAAAAATTGTCAACCGACATCTGGAAAAATAATAAATCATGAATGAGTTCGTTTATTATTAAGTTTGCTCCCTTTTTTTTGAGTTGGGATTATTGGAGTTAGCTCAACGAGAACGCACTCGGGAAAGTAATCTGAAAAGTCATAGCTTTCTCTTGTGCAAAAACATTAGAAAGGCACCTACGTGCTATAGAAGGTTCTTTATGGCCGGCTCCCTACTAAACAGGATTCTGTAACTACATTCGATGGATCCAAAAAATATTTTTGGGGAAGTATAGAACCGGAGGGTATATACCCCCAGAAATTAAAGATTCAGTGTCTCTTTACCTACAACTATAATTTGTGCGCTAAGAGGGAATGGCTGGGGGTATTCTGTATTCTCTCAAAACCTTCAACCCTAAGGACCCTCGGTCGTGATCTGGTGGTACGTTCGATGGCCCCTTTTTAAAAATTATAAGAATGTAGAACCTGTGAATTCCTCACTAGACAAGTTTTCGAGAGACTTCTTAGACCTCGATCGTTTGCAGACCGTCCAATGGAGGAAAGTTTATGAGGGGTCGAGAAAGCTCAAGATGGAGCCTAGAGTTCAGTTGGAAGGGCCAGACATCTCTGGAGGCCCTTGAAGGGCTGAAGCAATCAAGATTGAAAAGGTACAACAGAAAGTGAGAGCATTTCGCCTAATGATAGGCAACTTACATAGCGCATGTGAAAAGTAACGGGAATTCCGTTACACACTCGCTTTGTTTATTCATTAAATTTAAACAAAGAGTAGACTCAAAGCGGATAAATTTCTTCAACAATTTTTTGGCACACACCTGGAAAAAAATGCTTCGTTTATTTATCTAACCCAAAAATAATTTCGTCCTGTAAACAGCGACGAAACCACAGTACAAAGTAGGTACCACTAGAGAGTCGTAGTAGGATTTTCTATCGAGGGTGTCCAGGATTTGTTTATAAAATCAATAAATAATAAAGGATTGATAAAAAATTCCGGGAATGAAGAAGCTACCTTGAACCGATGAATCCCGTTGAATGCGCCTAGAGGGCGCGATGTTTCGTCATAAATATAAGAGATGTCGCTGTTTGAAATTTTGACGTTTCAAAACTTTGCATATCCAAATATGGCCTTTTGCTTTGACCGTCGGTGTTTTGGTGATGTAGAAAATAACTCGGTTTCAAGTTAAATGTTTAACTTATTTTAATAAGTTTTTGAATGTGCAGACCTTCTACGAACCGTCAAATTATTCATTCAGGTAAATATCGTACGAGTAACGGTCGTTTTAAGGTTATGTTTTTGCTATCTATTTACAGCTACATTTAAATGTGTTTTTCTTCGATTTTTTAGATGTCGTTTAGAGTGGTACGCAGCTCGAAGTTTCGGCACGTTTACGGGACCGCCCTAAAACGGGAGCAATGCTACGACAACATTAGGGTTAGCAAAAGTTCGTGGGACTCGACGTTTTGTACTGTAAATCCGAAATTTTTAGCTATTATCGTCGAAAGCGCCGGAGGCGGTGCTTTTATTGTTTTACCGCACAAGCAAGTAAGTAAGTTTGGCCCGTCGTCGTTATCTGTAGTGGCCGCGATGCGGATGTGAGAATCCTTGATAAGATAACGTGCAGTCCGCATCCTTGATACCTAATTACAAAATTTATGAAAGGAGAGGTCGGCGACAATTTGGCAAGTTTTCAAATTCCAAAAATATACTCGTACTCATATTTTCCATATTATTTATTTCTGTCTCGAAAAAGTTACCATAGCGTAACAGGAGTTGCACACCGCGACGATACTTTTTCTAATTGGGAATACGCTCTAATTATTTTATGAATTTATACAGTTTTATTTAAATTGAAGCGATTTTGATCCTCTCCCAAGATCATAAAAGAAAGTGATCCTTTTGTAGCACTGGCCTTGATTCTATGTCAAAGAAGGCTTTTCATCGGGTTTTTTGTTCACATAGTCGGGTTAATAATAAGTTTACCTAACTTGTTGAATTATAAGTGAACCGTATGCCGTATTTAAGAAATGGTGAGGTGCCCTATAGAAGATTATCTGAGCCCCACCTTACTCTCTTAGGCGCTTTTTGCCCCTCCCACCTGTTTTTGTAAGCACCTCCTTCCGTGTTATGTTCTCTCAATACCAATTTCCTCGCCAATTTGTTTGGGAAATTGTTTATCAGTAGACAATTGTTAATGTATTATGATTATAGTAAATTACTAGGGTATGGACTACCCCTCAGCCAACAGAGTGTGCCCTCAGCAAAGTATGTAGTCTTTTCTTCGTCTGCTGGAGAATACCCCCTAGACCCCCCGGTGGTACGATTTCGGAAAAGACAATCGTATCCTTTTTTTCTGAAGAGTATTCTATACTTCAAAGGATTGTGGTTCTAAGTTTGATGGCATTTTCTCGAAAATTATCGTATAAGTGCTAACACCGAGACTAACACTAAACGTTTTTGAGTAAAAGCACAACACCGGGGGTATGGAAAAGCCCTCAGCCAACAGAGTGTGCCCTCCCCAAAGTAGGTAATTGCATCTTCGTCTGCTGGGATACCCCCCCCAGACCCCCCGGTACTACGATTTCTTGAAAAGACAATTGTATTCTTGTTCCTGAAGAGTATCCCATACTTCATAAGATCGTGGTTGTAAGTTCAATGGTATTTTCTCGAAAATTATCATATAAGTGATAACAGTGGGGGGGTGGGTTGGCGCCCATATGATTTGTTGTTTAGGCGAAAAAATGCGCATTGAGCGTTCGCGTGAAAGTGGGGCTGGCGCAGTGTTCTTTTCACCCTGCCGCTTTTCTTGTAACATATGATATTATGGATTAAGTGGAAGAACAATCTAAAAATGTGGATTCAATTTGTAGGCCGGTCGTATAGCCGCGGACCATCCACTGGTCGGCGGTCACAAAGGCCCCGTGCTAGACATAGCGTTTTGCCCTCACAATGACAACGTGATCGCGAGCGGCTCTGAGGATTGTGTCGTGAAAGTGTGGCACATACCGGACCATGGTTTAGTTAAGACGTTAACCGAACCAATCGTCGACCTTCTCTACCACCAGCGGCGGGTGGGGCTGGTCTTATGGCATCCGACGGCGCTAAACGTACTTTTAACGGCCGGTAGCGACAACCAGGTCGTGATATGGAATGTGGGCACCGGCGAGGCGCTCGTTCACATCGACTGCCACCCCGACATCATCTACAGCGCCTGCTTCAACTGGGACGGCTCGCAGCTATTGACGACCTGCAAGGATAAGAAGATACGAATTATCAACCCGCGAACCGGCGTTATCGAATCGGACGCCGTCTGCCACGAGGGCTCGAAAGCAACGCGCGCGATTTTCTTGCGGCACGGGCTCGTCTTCACGACCGGTTTCTCGAAGATGTCCGAAAGGCAGTACAGTTTGCGAACGCCCGACATGCTTAGCGAGCCGATCGTCATGGTGGAACTCGACACGTCAAACGGCGTCATGTTCCCCTTGTACGACGCGGACACGAACTTAATCTACCTGTGCGGCAAGGGCGACTCGGTGATCCGCTACTTCGAGATAACGCCCGAACCGCCCTTCGTCCACTACATCAACACGTTTCAGACGCCCGATCCGCAGCGCGGCATCGGCATGATGCCGAAACGCGGCTGCGACGTCTCGATCTGCGAGATATCGCGCTTCTATCGCCTGACGAACTCCGGCCTGTGTCAGGTGATCACGATGACCGTGCCGAGAAAGTCGGAACTCTTCCAGGAGGATCTGTACCCGGACACGATCGGCGACTCGTCCGCGTGCACCGCCGAAGAGTGGATGGAGGGGAAGGACGTCGATCCGATCCTCATCTCGCTCAAGGACGGATACAAACCGCCCGAGGCGAAGATTTCGATTAGCGTTAACCGACGGCGCAACGTGCTCGATAAGGGTTCGGGCAAAAGCTCCAAGGAGGCGGCGAAACCACAACCGGAAGTCTCGGTAGTACTCGACGAAATTACACTTGAAGTGGTAAAGGGCCGTTACTAGACCAGTTCAGTCACTCACCCACCTAGGCGGTGTGGCATGCAGTCACTACGCCACCCACAAAACGGTTAGCTAATTAATTAATTGGGAAAACAATTGAAACAAAATCTATGAAAGAAAGAAAAGTTTACAATTACCCCGCACGCAGGCGGCCGACAATTAAAATAAGAAATCTTAAAATGACATACTTTTTTTCTAATTTTGCGATAATCTTAAACTGGCACCTTATTTTGACACAGACGAATTGCGTTTTCACATAAACGGGCTGACTGCCCGCAAAAAAACGTCGCGAAGTTTTCTTTCTTGACCTACTTTCAAAGACCGTCAAGGAAAAGAGTGACCTTTGAAGGTCGAGGTGACGAGCCGGTCGAGAAACCGTCCTCTACCACTACTAAAACTAGCACGCTACAATTTCCCGTTTCAGGACAAGACGCTGCAGGACTTCGCCGACGAGATCCGAAAGTTGAAGGCGATGATCGTCAAGCACGAGAACAGGATTAGGGCGCTGGAGGCGGAGGTAGCTTTAAGTAAAAGTAACGTCGACGAGGACGGACCGGGCGGCGACGGCCTGAACGCCGTGCCCCCGATGGCGTCCGACGAAGTTTGAGGTGTTGTTTCATTTTGTTAAAGGTTTCAGGTTTATTTCAAATAACAATTCATTCGTACTAACCCGTAATGTAAGATCGTACACTGCGAAATCCAGATCGGCCACACAGAAAAGTTTCGTACAGTACCGCCAGTTAAATGAATTACAAATGATTAGCCGGAGCTGTAGGTAAAAATTTTTTTTTTCAGATAAATCAAAATCCAAGGCCTACTTTATTTTTACCATCTTCTGAAGGAATTAAAGGTTTCACAAACCGGACCTAACCTCATTTTTCTTAATGGACCACCCTGTATATTTTAATCTAAAAAATATACCATACCATGGTTAACAAAAGATTCATTCAAGTGATTCAAAAAAGATTTTTGAACCATTATAAAGAAACTTTGGTCTTTCTGAAATTGGCAATTTTTTGATTTTTCCTCGTATTTTTTAATTTTCAAATGTTGATTTTACCAATTTAAGTTTGGCTCAAAAAGAGCATATGGCGCCTGTGTTGCTTTTTTGATTACAATTACAGTGTCGCAAATGGGACACCCTGTACATTATTAGTATATGACCTTTAGGGCCATTAAGTTCCATACACACCCCTCCCCCCCCAGACCCCATGGGAATTTTCGAAATTTTTAAAAAAAATTTGCAATTCCAAAATAAAAAAGGACGCAATCATGTCTCAGTTTTCTTGTGTGGCCTTTCAGATTCATGCCCCTAATTGTCAAATTACAGTTCTCTTAACGATACGGAATTGAAGTTCCGACCACTGCCTCATCTACAATGCGTTTGTGTGTGTGCGTGTATGCATTTACCATTTTTCGTTTCGTAACAACGAACCCCATGTATATAATGTTATTAACAATTTTCAAAGTATATATGTCATTTCGTGAACGGTGCCCCCTCGCCGTTTTGTTATTATTATTTTTTAAATAAATCGCCTTATAAGGTTGTCTTTTTACTAATTAGTAACGTAAGGTACAAGTGCCTTTAGCGAAAATGCACAATAAGCCGACTTTAGTATGAAAGTTTTTAATTACAATAGATTTTATGGATTATGTGATAATAAAATGTAATAAATAAATAATTATTTGTTATTACTTAACAATAAATCAGTGCCAAATGTGTCATTATTTCTAAAGCTTAAAAAAGAAGGTAAAGCTACGGGATGTCTTTCATTCAACTTAAGAGTGGCTCTTAAATTTACAAGTACGATAATAATGAGATCAGTTTCCTTAAAAGTTACGCCTACCGCACGAGCGCATTATGTGAAAAGTGGTAAGTTGTGGAAGTGGTAGCCGCGTCGGCCCTTTGCCGCCAGGTAAATGTAGACGACATGGTACGCCCCCGGTATAAAACAGATGAACCCGGCGAGCAAGAAGACGGCACCCTGGAGTCCGGCCTGCGGTTCAGCAAGTGCCAACGTGCCAGTCGTGAGCAGACCTATACCAATAAAAAGCAACGTGGTCGCCGCAAGTACCATGCGCCAGTTCTCGCGTATCTTCGGATGTTGAAAGCACGAAGTATTGCTAATCTCCTGATTTGAGCCGTCGCAGTAATCCTGGATTAAAGAGTCGCTGTCTCGCGAGGCGTCGTTTGACATTTTGTACGTCCTGAAAACGAACAGATGAGACCTGGATTTAAAGGTGCACGCACGTCAATACCTGGCCGAGTCCACTTTGATGCTTGTGTAGTCGCCCTCTCCATTGAGGCCGATTTTATTCGACGGCATGCATGTCGTACCGTAGACACGTATGGCCTCGTCCGTTTCTTCCTCGAAGGCGTCGTCTATGGAGAATCTCTTCTGCTTCGCGGCCGTACCGTTGGGAAGTGCGAATTGTTTACTGGACATTTTCCTGAGTTCCGGGGAGTTTTATTTAATAACCAAATTCATAGTTTTCCAATTTGATGCCGTTTTTCACTTTGAAAATAAAGTAAAAAAGGGGAGCAATATTTTACATAAGTAGAATGTTAGGTTATGTTAGTTGTTATATACACCCACGAAACAAAAGCAATTGTTTAATATCCTGCACTGGTGTAACTCGGTGTAACACATAAATCGAACAGGCTCCACTCCCAGAAGTCTAGCAGGAATTTCTTTCCTTCCTTCAGAGAGTAAGCAACTAGGTGACCATACGGGCGTCGTGATGGTACAATTTCTTGGGGGAAGGAGCGCTAGGGGCAGGAAACGGCTGGGAATATTTCTAGATAACTCATGAAGCAAAGATGCAAGCGCGGGTGAGATCAAAGGAATATGGCAAAAGAGAGGAGTTTGGTAGAATGGGAGGCGATATGGGTAACCAGAGATTTTGGAACCCGCCCTCTGATTCCTAGGATTCTAGGAGTATTGTTTATGCTAGAATAGGAGATTATTTCCTCATTCAGTTACTTAATTACTGTAATTGAGGCTCCTTACTGTTAGGCAACACAACTTACGACATTAAGTATGGAAAACCATAAATTTCCAAATAGTTTGACAAGATGTCACTCGTGATGTATTTTTACATTTTTATTTATATAATCGCCAATTGTCCGTGCAACGTTATGAATTTGAATGTCGGCACAGTTCTATTTACAGAATCCGACATCGCGAAAGAGTGCTGGAGTTCGGACGACGTCGCTCTTCTCACAACGAGAATGTTCCTCGAGGATATCTTGCCGGACACGCACTCCTTAAACATACACGATAATATGTACGTAAACGATCTCGTGGAATACTTTCGACTGCTCCTGGACATAGTCCGGAAGGACACCCACGGGAAAGCAAACCAAATAACGCTACACGCTTTGATTGACGCCCTAGGTTAGATTCGCGCAGAACGTGATCGTTACGTCCTCTTTTTTTAGGCGGATACCTGTACCGGTACGTTTTACCAACGGCCAGATATTCGTATTACGCCGGGTATATTAATTATGGAAGCATCGAGAAGCTCGGCAAGCTGTTTGACGAACTGAAGTGCTTTTTACGCACCAATGGCCGTGGATGGATTAAAAGCCGCGGTCCTTCAGGTGTCCGATTGGCTGTCGAACCTTTGGAACTGCCACTGACGACAGGCGACACCAACCCCTGCAATACTTTGGCGGTTATCGAGAGGGAAAGTGAGTAATTCCATTGGGGAGCGAAATGCTAACGCCTGGTTTAGTCGGCTGCGTGGAGATACCGCTCCCGTTTTTGGATTCGCCCTCAGAGCCCGCCGCGATCGCGTTGCCATTCAAAGCGCACCCCCTTCTGAAGATCGACTCGAAAGAGGCATCCTACGTGCTAGTTAAATATTACATTGCCGCAACGAAGTGCCTAACCGCACACAACGCCAATCAGACTGACACCAAGCGGTTCACAAACTCCCTCTTTCATTGGATTCAGAGTCAAATCGTCCCCCTACTCAATCACGAGAAATTCTACTCCGCATTCGGTGGGGTTTTGCGCATTCTGGAGACGCTGAAGACTATGGGGGTGCGCAACGAGAAGCAGATGGGAAATTACAATATAATGCCAGAAATGCAAGTGAAGGACGCCGCCGTGAAGTACGACATGGACGAAACGACCACCGACAAAAAAAAATCGGATCTGATTCTGATGGCCTTGCTCGCGACCATCTTCATATGGTTTCTGTTGGGCTCCATCTTCATATGCTACCGGATTAAGGCCGGACGGAAACGTACACACGTCGTGATCGCAACACGAACAGTTTACGTCACATTTCAGGCTTAGGCGACGGCGCGGCTTTGTTAAGCATCAACACCTGCTCGTGTAAGTCATCGTCGAAGCACTCGACGACGTCCGCATCCGAAGGGGTGACCTCCTCCGCTTCGAAAAACGAAACGTACTAGTACGATCACCGTAAGTTGCGATTACAGTTCCAATTTTCAGCACCACTGACAGTGCCACCACTGTTGAAAGTAAGCGACGCCTAGTCCCAAAGAAGAACAGTTCGCACGTCGTACGCCGCGTAGTCTGGTAGGTTTCCGCCCGCTCAATTCGTCGCATTCGTAATCTTTGTCGATGCAGTTACAAAACGGAGGGGGAAGTACGCGCGAAAAGCGATCGAGCCAGATTCGTTGAAAATTCGGAAGATCGCAACTCGCCGAGCGGTCTGGGGGTTCAGACGAGCTTCTCGGACAGATTCGAGGGCAGCTCGTTTTCCGGCGAAATCTCGGCGGATCGGATTATGCCGGTTTATAACATAGAGTCCTCATCATCTGAAAGTGCAATGTAAACTTATCGTGCGAATATACTTTCATATATTTAGGCCCATTGGTATGGATTTATTGCACGACTAGAGCCCAAGAAGAATCACATGCCCCACCAAACTTTGAGTTGAGTTTACTTTTCGGATAACACTCGTATGTTGACAAGCTACAGGTGTCTGTTGTACCGTACCGAAGATCGTATAGACACAAAACTGTATAATTTTGATCGCGGGAAATTCAAAAACATACTGGGGGTGCTGCGGTTTACGTTGGGAGGGTGTTTTTGAGTTATTTCGTATTGTAATGAATTTTACGGTGTGCCGAAGGAGGTTCGTTAGCGATTATGCAAAGAAAGCGTAGATTATTATACCCGTCCTGTATGAAACATTGCTCATGCGTAGGTGATTTATCAAGTAGCCATATTGAAATCTTTCAATCTGAAAAATTTGTAAGTAAATATTTTATTTCCTGCATTAATCGGATAATTAATAACAGAATTTGTGGTCGCAGTTAAATTCTAGCGTAATTTGCGTGTAAGTTGATGGGTGTATTAAAAGGGCGAACGCTCACTGTTGAATTTTGCAACGTATATAAGAGGTTCGTTCCGTAAATTGTCGTTCTACACAATAGAAGACGTTTAAAAATTCCTCGAATTTTTGTTTGCGAGTCGAGGCGGCCTCGTTTGTCACATCAAAATTTGAATGGGCAGAACCGTTATTGGGAAAAGTGATTTTTTACGCAAAAAAAACTGCCATGTAGCAGCTTTTTTGACAGCTGTTCAATTCCTTTTAATTCCACAATAATATTTTCATTTACACCCATTTGTCAGTTTCCAGCCGAAGAAACTAATCCAGTCTGTGCTCTTTTAAGATTAAGCGAAGCAGTATTTTTTGGGAAGGTATAGAAAGATGTCGGTTCTTAATCAAAGTGGAGAGGAGCAGGTCGAGTGCCCTTTGTGCATGGAGCCGTTGGAAGTCGACGACCTCAACTTCTTTCCGTGCAGCTGCGGATATCAGGTTCGTACTCGTCGTGTCGTCGTCCGTCTGTAAACAAACCCCCCATCGCAGATATGCCGTTTTTGCTGGCATCGGATTAGGACAGACGAAAACGGATTGTGTCCGGCCTGTCGGAAGGCGTATTCGGAAAATCCGGCCGACTTCACGCCGCTGTCGAAGGAGCAGGTCGCCCAGCTGAAGGCGGAGAAACGTCAGCGGGATCAGCAGCGTAAGGCCAAACTTAGCGAAAGTCGAAAACACCTAGCCAAGTGAGTCGCCTCTCCCCCCTCCCTCCCGAAAAGACGGCTAACTTGCGATTGTTGCAGTGTACGCGTGGTTCAGAAAAATCTCGTCTTTGTCGTCGGTCTACCACTTAGGCTCGCCGACGCGGAGATCCTAAAGAGGCACGAGTACTTTGGAAAGTTTGGCAAGATACACAAAGTCGTCATTAATCAATCGACGTCTTATGCTGGTTCCCAGGGTCCGAGTGCGAGTGAGTTTCGGGATGCTTCGTCTCTCGAAGGGTGATTACGTGCGTGCGTTTTTCAGGTGCTTACGTTACATATATGAAAAGTGATGACGCCTTACGAGCTATACAAAATGTCAATAATATATCAATAGACGGTAGGCTTATAAAATCTAGTTTGGGTACCACAAAGTATTGTTCACATTTCATGAAAAACCAGCCGTGTCCGAAGCCCGACTGTATGTACCTGCACGATTTCGGTAAGCACACCTGTGGCGTAGGGTAAAAGAATAGAATAGTAAGACGCCCTTCGCGTTGAGACGATAGAAATCAAATGATTTGGTCGACTCCTTACATTGATTAGTCATTTTTTGTGTATTGTTTTTCATAAACAATGTAGGTTTTTGTTTTTAAATTATTAGATTAGATAAGCGTCTCCACTACCTAGCTTTGGCAAGTGTTTGTTATGTATGTAAGTGTCAGAGTTTTTGAAGCTAAGTAGTGGCACTAATCCCTTAGGATTGTTTTGATTGAATTAGGAATCGACGGATACTGGTTTTTTGGTTTCCAATCCCGTCATAGCAATGGTTGATTTTCTTCACTGCATCGAAAAACAAAACAACTGAATTGAGCACCAGTCACATACACTAAAATGCGTGGCTACGGGACCGCATTGAATGCAAATGCTCCAATCGGTCAGTAAACGCTGGTTACGCGTAGATAAGCAAAAATGGTGCATTTCTCATTAAATTCCCTGACAAATCCAGGTTTTCCCGTTTATCTTGAATGTATCAGCCAAACTATCGGCGATTCGCGACCGATAAATCGGTATATGCCAATATTAATATCGGTATCGGTCGATTCCCGGATTTAATGTTCATCTTCCTGCAATTATTGTGCAATGGGGAGTATTTCAGACCCCTCGGTGCTACGTTGTCACTCGATATGTTCAACCTCAAGGATTCCACTAATAAGCGATTATTCAATTCTGGTTTCCCAAGAAGTGTTCGATACTCCACAAGTTTCCTTGTGGGGGAGTAAATGTTTTGGGGAAGAATGTGGAACCGGGGAGTATGATACCCCCCAGGCAACACCTCTAGGGAAAAAGGAAGATTGATTGTTCATCTTCTTGCAACTATCATAAGGTCATTGTGCACTGGGGGGTATTCCATACCCCCCAGACCCCCCGGTGCTGCGTTGCCACTCCACACAGTCAACCCCAAGGTGTCTTGTGGTAGTCTCTCATAAGGAACCATCTGATTCCGTCTTCCCGAGCAGTGTTCGTTACTCCACAAGCTCCCTTGTGAGGGTAGTAAATGTTTTGGGGAAGAATGTGGAACCGGGGGGTATTGAACACCCCCCAGGCAACACCCCTAAGAAAAAAAGAAGATTGATTGTTCATCTTTTTGCAACATCATAAGGTCATTGTGCACTGGGGGGTATTCCATACCCCCCAGACCCCCCGGTGCTACATTGCCACTCCACACAGTCAACCCCAAGGTGTCTTGTGGTAGTCTCTCATAAGGAACCATCTGATTCCGTCTTCCCGAGCAGTGTTCGTTACTCCACAAGCTCCCTTGTGAGGGTAGTAAATGTTTTGGAGAAGAATGTGTAACCGGGGGGTATGGAACACCCCCCAGGCAACACCCCTAAGAAAAAAAGAAGATTGATTGTTCATCCTTTTGCACAATGACCTTATGATAATAATCACCCCACACAGTCAACCCCAAGGTCTCTTGTGGTAGTCTCTTATAAAGGACCTCCTGATTATGTCTTCCCGAGAAGGGGGGCAGTAAATGTTTTGGGGAAGAATGTGGAACCGGGGGGTATGGAACACCTCCCAGGCAGCACCCCTAAGGAAAATGGAAGATTGATGACTATCATAAGGTCATTGTGCACTGGGTGGTATTCCATACCCCCCCAGACCCCCCGGATAAAATTTCCATAAGGTTGTCTTACTATCCTATTTCTTGCACTATGTCTGCGGTCCCGCAAAGTTGTATAATGTTCTGTTTTAAGGCGATCCAAAGGCCAGTTTTACAAAGGAACAAATGCATGCGGGCAAACACCAGGAATACGAACGAAAGTTGCATGATCTGTTAGTTACAAAAATGGCAATACAGAGTGCGCAGCAACAGCAACAACAGCAGCAGCAGTCCGAAGTAAGATCTGTTAGTAAAACTAAAGAGTCGACGTCCTCCTCGGCGTCTACCACAAAGGACAATTGGCCACAGTTGAATTCGGAAAAGGGGGACAAATGCGAGAAGAAACAGCCGGAAACCGTCAGTAAAGACAAAACACAGAAGGCGAAAACCAAGTTAAAAAGCGACTGCAGTAGGAAGCCGGAAAAGAGTAAATCGGCAGAGTGCACCGCGAGCAATGGCAAATGCGAAAAGTCACAGTCGATGGAGGAAAAAATCCAGAACACATCCAAAAGCAAAAACGAGCTCGAGCCGGAAAAGATGGAATGCGCAATACCAAAAATACCGATAATCGACGACAACTCCAGCTTCTTCTCACAAAACACATTTCAAAAGATCGCCCCCGAGATCGAGGAGGATCCGGTTTCGGACGGCGGTACGGAGCCCCAGTGTCAAATTCTCAACGACTCACTGCCGAACATCAACAGCACCGAGGACTGGGAGGCGGCGTTCGGGTTCTCGAAGCAGACCACTCATCTCGTCGAGGACCTCACGAAACACCGGGTGGGAGTAAAGGACACACTGGAAACATTCGGCAACAGCTACCCTAATACCATCGACATGTTCGGCAATATGGACGGCTATCAGAACGGCTTTGACGCCACCACAAACAAACTGCAGGAGAACATCTTGGAGGCGCTGTCTAACAAGCACTCGCACTTCAACCACACCACCTCGCCCCTATTCCTGAAAACTGACAGAATCAACGGTCTAAATCACGTCAACGGCGTGAACGGTCTCGATCAGCAAATGTCCAAGTTCTTCTCGGACTTTTACAAGAACGGCCAGAAGGATCTTTACACGAACGGCTTCACCACGCATCCGATGAACGGCCTCAGCCAGCAGCAGAGCAACAGTTACTTGCACAATTTAACCGACAGACAGAACATGCTACTCATGCAGCAGAGACAGATCGAGGAACAGTTGATGAGCTTAAATTTAAATCGACAGTTAATCCATAACAGTATGCACGGCGGCGGCGGCCAGTTTATGAACGGCGATATAAACGGACAGAGCTTCGGGTCGCCGTCGTCGTCGTTGCATAACCCGCATTATCAAAATTCGGTCGGGAAGAATCACAGTCGGCCCGAGGACGAGCTGGATTTCGATCCGTTTCACGAGACACAGAAGGCGCTCGCCGAGCTCATTGAAAACGAGCAAAATCACAAGGTACACCATCCAGGTGAGTGAGACGTCCTGTATGTTGTACTAAAGTCACTAAATATAGAAAGTACCGCAATCCATTGGGCTCGTGTGTTAGAGAGAGAACGCATGATTTTTGCCCATAAATGGCGGAAGTTACCAGATTCTAGTAACTTTAATGTTAGGGATTGTTCCACCTGTTTGGAGATATCTGTATATATTTTTATAAAACATGACATTACTATGAAGTTAGGTTATAAAAAATGACAGCTATTCAGATTTTATTTGTCAATTTTATTAAGTTGGCAGCAAATTTGCCGAAAAATGGCGGATGATTGCGGTACTTTCTATATCTAGTACCTGATACCTATTTGTTATTTTGGGCATCAATGTAGCGAATTGCCGATCGATGCCGAATAGCCAAATCGTTGACTGCCAACACTGATCACTCACTGAATAGTGAATACTACAGAATATTTAGATTTTAGTGACTTTAGACTTTAACCAAAACCAAAATTGCTCTCTATATATACCTATATATTATTGCCTTTATTTTAAAGTGGGCGGAGCGGATAGCGGAGTATTACCTAAATACCTAATAGCTATGATGATAACTCAATTCTTCTGGGGGGGGATATATCCCCTTCATCCCCCCCCCCCCCCCCCCCCGTAAATACGCCACTGCTGACTTATAATAAGCTAGAATGGTTAGATAAGCATTATATGAGTGTGCAGTGAGATGGAGTACACAACAAACTAAAAGCGCTAATGCCATATATGCTATGTAATTATCAATGCTTAGGTCATATAGGTATACATAGATATAGCCTCCCATTTACCTTCAATAAGAAGCATTTTGTTCCCATATATCTATCATAATCGAGGAAGACATCAATGCTAACACAAACAGATATTTTGCACCGTAAGTAGAACACCGCGCATGCGCAGTAGCATCCTAATGCATGGAAAACCATAGGTGGCGCAAAAATTACGAAGCACATATTTTGTAACTATGAAATGTAATTGCACTTTCTGTACTATATGTTCTCCACAAATTAAACACAACATTCTAATTAATGTTTTCCTAAAAACTACTCGTATTTTATACTGGAATAACGCTGTAAATGTTCTAAGGAAATAACACACGCCACTGAAATGCCGGGAATGTTAATTGTACTGACAACTAGGTTAGCATGATCGCTATTCTACTGTTGGACATCTTTCTCACATATGTTGGCACCGATTTAGTGGCTGTAGGCTAAATCTATTAGTCTTAGAGCTGAAAACAGGTTTATGAAATCCTTCTCCAATCATACCCAAACACAGAACTGCAGACCTGGCTGAGGAGTGGCGGAGCTAAATCAACCCTTATATTTTTAAAGATACGAATTTTTGCAAAAAATATCTGATGCATTTCGAAATTTTTACACCTTTCAATTTATTATTCAAAGATTATTATTTAGTCGGGTGTTACACTTTGCCAGGCGTATTGAATTATACTTTCGGCATGGTTGTCTTGTTCAATAATCTCTAAATTAAATTGACTTATCATACATATATACATTGAAGTTGCTGTAACTGTACTAAAAAATAGGGTATAAACCACAGGATTAAAGTGCATTCTAACCCATCGATATAAAAGCACACACTTTAGTGTTTAGTCCCTTGGTATATAATACCTATACTGTATTATCTCCCTCCGTTATTTTGGTATGTGTCTAAAGAACTTTCACACAATTTATAACATGTAAATTTATCACATACGAGCGCGAACTTCACTAATAATCACTTCGGCATCCACATTTTTGGAACTGCTCTATTTCAATTTGCTTATAGTTTTACTGTTAAATAGTAAATAAAGTTGGATACAATTTTCCCAATTTAAAATTGACCACCTTGCGTACGGATGTTTTATTTTCCAAAGTGTTTAAGTTTAACAATTGCGAGGATGAGCCTAAAAGTTTTCAGAACCGTTAACGATTAAATGAACAAAGTACGAAAGTAATTTTACAAAAAGCGCATTTCCGCAGTAACAGTCTTTTATCCTAAAAAAAACCCTAGCGAAATTCGTTTTCAGGCATTCAGCGTTCAAATAGTTTCTATAAAAAGATACCCTCTGTTAAAATTTCGGAAAAATCCGCTTGCATGTAAGAAAGTTGGTATTACAAGAAACTGTGTAGGTAAAGTGTCAGAAAACAGTGGTGGAAAAAATGATGTGATTTTTATTATTTGATTTTATAGGACCCATTTTCCGCAAAAAGTTTAAAAAAATTGAGTCGCAAAAAAGAAATTAAGTCGGCGCAAGCGTTATAACTTTCTTGCGTTTGGGGATACACATCCTATGTTGTACGTGCGTTTAATAAAACTCATTTTGTGGTAAGCACCATTCCCTTAAAATTTCAGAGAAAACATATGCACATAATCATGGATCTGAATCGGACCGAAAAAAATACAGAAAACCGTACTAGAACCATTTGTTTTTTCAGAACCGAAACCGTAATTCCTTCCTTTAAAAATCACCCGGAACCATTGAATATTCAATGCCGAAACCCATAAGTCTTTTACTTTACCATTCTTACGGTTTTTTTTGTTCGAAGTTTCACACTGGTGCAGCTGATTTAATAGTCACGACCTTAAGGGCAACTTAGTAACCAAAATTTTCTCCTCTTGGTCTCTAGACTACCCTGGGCGTTTTCCTCAATTCTAAAAATAATCATCAGCTTCCTTCTCAGTCATGTGATAAACGCTGCTTAACCAGTCCTTGGGGTTGTCCCGGCATCCAGACGGTGACCTCGCAGTGCCTATTAAGAAGCAGATCTTCCTGGACAACCGAATGCCTGACATGGTAGCCTCCCAACAACGGTGGGGAGGTTGCCGACCACCTATTTCATTCACTCCAAGCAATGGTTACTACCGCATGAGATCCTCAAGAACTCGCCCGAGTAGCTTCATCCCCTGAAAGTGCGTGCTAAAGCTCCGCCCTTGACGAGATGATCTTACAACTTTTCCGCCTGTGAGCTAGCTACTGTTACCTTACCCGCAATGGAATTTTGATATATGTAGGTAATATAGGTAGCTATTTTGAATTGTTTTTCGATAACCGTGTTTGCAGAATGAACCCGTTGTTGATTGGGGGTGTGATCGCCATTTCTTTTTTTTTTGAGATTGGCGGGGAGACGAGTTGTGCGTCCGGGCCTCGGTCTTTTTTTATCCACATCTGCGTGCTTGTCTGTCTGGCGGGAGATATTGTTTATTAAAAATTTTCTTCTATGTAGCGCATTTTATTCTTTTAACGAGTTTGTGGCTAGTGGTAGATTATGTAATTAGTTAGCGTTTTTATTGCGATTTTATTGTTTTTACCTGTCTGTTTTTAGTTTGTTTGTTATATACTATTATTTTTAATGTTTGTAATTTCCCGTTTCTTTTGACGAGTGTAAGTGTAATTCACCCCTTCTCACAATTAAATATTATTATTATTATTATTAGAGACTATATAGGGGCAGCGTCACTAAGATGTGTTAGGTTCAGAGAGCGGAGACCTTTTTCTCCTTCTGCTCAGTCCCGGAAATATGTTTACTATTAACTTTGAGTTGTTGAGGCTTTGGAACCAGTAACTGAGTTTAAGGGGTATCCTGAGACGCGCCCTTTGTAGATTCTTTCCCCTAATTCTCCACCCGCTACAGACGCTCTAAGGAAGATGTCTGTATAGACACCGGGGCTACTATAGAAGAATATATAGGTAACTTCCGAAGGGGACAGCATGTAGGCGTAGTTTCACATCGAGGTATCGAGTAGGTCATTAATTCCGATAAAGTTGTCAGTCTGTTATCATCAACCCTCAGAATGCTTACACAGCCGATGCAGGTCTGACCTGATGACACAACTGATTGATCCTACGTCTAGGTCAAATTCATCTGTCAGGTTTAATTCCTTTGAAGTAAAGTTGTGTTTATATATTCTAAATGTGTCGCAGGTTTCAGTTTACTCAGTCCGTGAGGCGGAGGGGGATTAGAGATTTTTGCTCCCCTAGGCCAACGAGCTAATTTTTTAGTTAATTTTATTAGGTCATTTTCATACCAAATATACAATATAGTTCTTTTACACCACCTAAAAATGTATTTTTATTTATCTATTTGATTTTAAAATAAATTTTTTTTGCCAAACAAATACTGCAAACAAAATTTTACAATAGAAATGATCTTGCTTTTGTGACGTTAGAAAAAAAATGAGTTTAATGGTGCCACTGGCTCTACTCAGTTCCTGGGGGTGGCGGGGTCGTGGATACAAATATTTACAATTTCATTTAAATTTATTACATAATTTTTGGGCGCCAATCTGTCTTTAACTCACATGCCAACCGACAGATAAATCGACACGTATTATTTTGATTATAAAGTTAACCTAACACTTAATTGATTTTTATCACAAAGTTACGATTGATGGTGGTTAGAATTATGCTGTACTAATGGTGAATGAAATGAGGTGAATGATGGTTAATTGGGTGATAACTCAGGTACAAACAATTATGAACACGGCGTTCTTTCTTATCTGTTTGTGGGTTTTCCGGAAAGGAATTGTGTACAGCCGAGCTGGCGGAGCAGGCTCTTGATTAAATTTGGAGGTCGCTGAATGCTGACAAAGATGCTGATTAGTTCAATATCGAAAGGACTCGGTATTCACTCTCCGTGCTTCGGATTTACTTCAAATCTATCTACATTCTATCTTCTATGCACATTGGGGTAAAGAAAGATGGAAAACGGCTCGCGTTAACTTGGTCCGTTGTTAAATTTTTGGACGGCCAATTACAATTATTATTTCTTCTAATGCAATTCTCGGGCCCCAGTCGATTCGCAATTTCTCTTAAACGCCTTTCTTTAATCTCCGCTACAAACACACTCCCTCATACTTTTCTCTTCTCCCTTTCCTTTTTGCTTAACGCAACCGCCTGTTTCCCAATCTACTTTCTCCCTCCAACTTTCCGCGCGCACGCCGATTTTAGACGTTACACTTCTTTTGTGGAAACTTGCAGTACTAACTCAAAATCAAATTTTTTTGAGATACGTGCTAGATCGTAAGTAAATCAAAATTCGTTTTAATGCGGAGAAAGATCTTTCTGCTGAGCAGTTTGTTGCAAAAGTGCACAAAAACATTCTAACGGCAAGGCAATATCTAAGTAAGGAAAAACTTGTACTAAGCTCTTTTCGCCTCTAATAAAAGTACTCATCTCAAGTACACTTCTCGGACGGTTTTTAATAATTAATTATCGCACCACGGTGTACGGTATCTATTTTACAGTCAGTGTGAAGTGCTAATTTTTTTAAACTGGGTACCATAGGTATACAGAATAAAAAACTGACAAACTTTTTTTTAGTTATAAAGTTATTTAAAATATGTAAAAAAATTAATAATATGACGTTTTGAGAGAAAAAAAGTAATAATAATAATTATAAAATTTTAAACATATTATTTATTATTTTATTAATACATTTTTGTGTGCCTGGGTTGGCCTATTGGCTAATATGCCCCTCCCACGATGTCTTAAGTTCATGAGGTCACGAGTTCACGACTCAGGCTAGCGTGAAAGAATTTTGGTCTGGTTGTCTGAATGCGACCTTTATTCATAGTTTGGTAATAGTGCAAATTTTTAAGTTGGTACGGGTCAAATTCCCGCCATTATATACATTGTGCGTCCTTGCTTTTTGTCAGACCGGTTAATTTGTGTTTGGCCTGTGATGCAATGCGTTGAAATTCTAAGATTTAATTAAAATTTTTTGCTTTTCCAGTGTGGTTTCCTTGTGTGAATAAGTGATTGTGATGGATCTGCCGTATAAAGCAGAATATGCCAAAAGTGGCAGAGCATCCTGTCGAGGTTGTAAATCTACCATTGAAAAAGACACTCTGAGGCTTGCTGTTATGGTGCAGGTAATCCATTTGTTGCCCAATTTGTCATTACTAATGGTTAAGTCCTCCTCCTAATGTTGGTGATTGCTATTAGTACCTTCCCATAAAAGTTTTTGAATTAGGTACCTAGCATTGAGGGCTCGATTGAGGGCTTGTATCTTAAAGCTTTATCATTGATTAGTTCTATTGAGCACATTTTATTACCAGGTTTCGAAATGTAAACCTAACAATTTTCACATTTCAGTCCCCCATGTTCGATGGAAAGACACCGCAATGGTATCATAAGCCCTGCTTCTTCAGGAAACAACGTCCCAAAACTGTCGACGATATTGAGCATTTTTTGAACTTACGGTGGGAGGATCAAGAGTCGATCAAGTCAAAAATTAGTAAGTTTGTGGCTTTGCTACGTATTTTTAGACAAATATGTTCCTATAGCAAACGGAGCAGCGGTGATAGTTCCAGATAAAAAGGGTAAAAAAAGGGCGGGACAGACGGCCGTCAAGAAGGAGGCCTTGAAGGATTTCCTTATTGAATATTCAAAGTCGGGCCGTGCCGCCTGCAGGGGATGTGAACAGAAAATTATGAAAGATGAGGTCGCTTTGCATTTAAATTTGACAGTGTTTGATAAGCTGCTTTTAGATAAGGGTGTCTAAAAAGGATTTTGAGAGTGATGTTGGGAGACGGTACGGTGGACAAGACAAGTGGCATCACTTGACTTGCTTCGCCAAAATAAGGTCGGAGTTGGGGTATTACGAATCTGCTTCTGTCCTTCCTGGATTTAAAACTTTGAGTAAGGAGGATCAACAGAATGCCATGAAGGAGTTGCCGTAAGTACATCTGGGGGTGGAGGTCATAGCATTGAATAAGAATCGCTTTTGCTTTGCTAATTTAAGTCTATTTAAGTGAATCAAAGTAGAGAAAATGTAGGTTTCAAGACTTAGAAGCGTATACTGATTTTCCCTTCAATAGTGGCAACTGACCAGAAAGAAAAAATAGTTTTGGCTTTTACTTTCCCTCCCTTTCATTCTATTTTGTTTATTATATTATTTATTTATTAACCCTAGCCTTTCGGCTTCGGGGACTCTTCGGTATGTACAATAGCATATATATGATACTAAGTACATAGTACAACCTCAGAAATAGCTACATAATGTTTATTCTTTTTCCCTTTTTTCGCTTCCTCTTTTCTCTGCAACGTCTCATCCAGTCGATTCCTCTTCCATCTTCCTGTAATATTTCCTTTACTGTTTTGCTCGTCTCGGTTTTGCTGCATCTGTATATCACGTGTTCTATCATCTCTGTTTCTTCCTTACATAGTCTGCATTTTTCTTCCTTCCATCTTTGCCTGGTCCTGTTTTCATTTCCGGATCTAAATCTTGCAATGGTTTTTATATTTATGTTTTTTACCTCCTTTCTTTTCCAGTTCTTGTTGTACTGCGTGATTTGTTATGTATATGTTGTCTATCATCCCCCTTCCCTTTCTAAAGCCCATTTGTCTTTGATCTAGTATTTCTTTGTCCTCTACTTCTTCATTTAAGCGGGTGTTTAGTATGTTAGCGTAAAGTTTGTTGTTGAGTTTAGGAGTGTGATTCAGTTTAATTTTTGATGTCATCTTTGTTTCCTTTTTTGTATATATTTCTCCTTTTTTCCAATTTTACGGAAATCCTCCTCCTCTCCATACCTCGTTAATAATTTTTCTGATTTGCTGTTTCACGTTTTCCGGCGCATGTATTGTCATCTCATTTGTTATTTGGTCTGGTCCAGGAGCTTTCTTTTTTTCATCTTTGCTATTTCTGCTACCATTTCTTCTTCCCCTATTTCTGCATCCTCCCTTTCACTTCTTCTTTTTGTTTTTCCCCTCTGAAGCTTATCTGTCCGTTTAAACTTTGTATAAAGTAGTTCTTCCATTCTTCTCCAATGTCTTCCGGTATTCCTTCCATATTTTTCCTCTCTTTGTTTATAAATTTCCACACTTCATTTTCGTTTTTGATGTTTTGTATTTCTCTTATTTCATCTTTTTGTATTCTTCTTTCCTGCGTTTGGATGTATCCTTATATTCTTTCTTCTTTGTTCTGTACTCTTCGCCTGTGTCTTTTCTTGTTTTCCAATCCATTAGGTTTTTTTTATTTGTTTTTTCTCTTTACATTCTCTGTTCTACCCCTTGCTTCTTCCTGGTGTCCAGTTGTTTATTTTTGACGTTTTTTCTGTCACTGCTTTAGTTATTGCCTTTTAGATTTTTTCTAGTGCTGCATTCAGTTCCTTTGAATTCTATCTGCTTTAGATGTTTTCTGTATTTTTCTATTGTTTGTTCTGTCCAGATTTGTCTCGTTTTTGTAATTTCTTTTGTTTGTTTTCTGTATTGTATGTGATGCCTTTCATCGTTATGGATATTGGTTGGTGATCGGATTCTATTCTTTGGTCTACTTGAATATTGTTTAAGTGTTCTTTCCCTTTTTCATTTACAATAATATAGTCTATTACTGACTGCCCTCTACTTCCTATGTATGTATATTCTCCCTCTTCGTCTCCTTTCACGTTTCCGTTGAAGATGTACCACCCTTTTTCTTTTACGAATAAAGTCTAAAAGTAACAATACATGGTTAAATTTGGTAATTTAAATAAAATTTTGCGTAATATAATAATATATTTCATAATATATTGAGAGAAGTTTTTGTTGCCTTTTAACACTAAATTGATATTAAGGTTAATAAAAAAGTCTGTATGTAAATGATTAGTGGGGGAAGGTTGGCAGGAAGGGGGTTCTTGTTAGGGGAACTTCCTCAAAGGGTATGGGAGATAAAAAAAAGGTTGGGAATTGCTGTCGTGAATCAATAAAGCGCATGTAGTTCAATGATATTTTTTGAATTTGAAAATTTTTACGTATTTCTGCGGAAAGCAATACAAAAAAAATTAAATCCAAATTGAAAGCTATCGGCCCACTATGCCTCATACGAGAGTTTGCCACGTGCACACAAAAAAAACCTGTTTTGTGGACACCTAATGAAATACTTAGGAAACTGAGTACAAAATATTGGTCTCTTTTTCGACTGTCTCACTGACCAGATTCTTATTCAGTGGTCATAAACATTTTCTTATTTGAACCTCTGCGATTTATTTCTAATTATATAACTTCCAGGGCGATTAAGCAAGAAGAGATGCCAGAAAAGAAATTAAAAGTGGAGGACGAGGTAGACGCGTCAGAAGACAGCGGTTTGGAAAAGAAATTAAAGGAGCAGAACATAATTATGTTTAAATATCGCGATAAACTGAAGGAATTGCCTAAGAAGGACCTGAAGGAACTTTTAGAGTTTAATGATCAGGCGGTACCTCCCGGTGTCGACGAGGTTTGTACTTTAATTTCTGCTTGTGCATGCAGATAACTGTAGTTGTTTTGTTTTCTTCCAGCCACTGAATAGACTTGCAGACCTGATGACCTTCGGCACTTTATTGCCTTGCAAGGAGTGTAAAGGGGGACAGTTCGTATTTTGTAACAACGGATACGAATGTCACGGTAATTTGTCCGAGTGGTCTAAGTGCCTCAAACTCGTCAAGGAACCTCCTAGGACTGCGTTCAAAGTGCCGGCGGAGCTTGCTGAGGAATATTCGTTTTTGAAGACGTACAAGTATGTGCCAAGAACGCGAGCCGTAAAAGACTTGAAACCGACGGCATCCGTAAAGAAGGACGAGGAAAATGATACTGGGTAATAGAACTTATGCATATTTTATTATTATTATTATTTTATTAGTATTAAAAAACAAGAATTGGTGTGCAACTAAGCAGTCCACTTTTTTAAGATTTCTGCGTTAAAATTACACAAAACTCATTTAGTATGAATATTGAGTTACCGCATGCGCAATAAGATTCTTGAAGTGCACATGCGCAATCTATTTTCTAACATTTTTATTTAAATTTCACAACGTGAGTTGAGTTTACAAATATAAAGGCAATTTAAGGGGAGGATTCGTCCTGGTAGTCTGAAAATCTACAGGTATTGTTTTTACTTCAATCATATGAGGATACTTGTAGTTAAGTGGCCAAATCGAAAAACGAATCTGTTTCTTAGTTCTAACGGCATTTTTTGAGCCATTTTGACCACATGGTTTTTTAGGTGTAAAAAAAATGTGCTGAATCCGATTCCGGATGTTGCCAGGCCGAATTTTGCACTAGTTCACAAATACAGCACGATGGCGCCATTATCTATTGTATTGTCTACCTACTATTTAGTATTAAATTGTTTTCCATAATTTATTACTTATATACGTAAGAGTTGGTTAATTAACTTCATAGCTAATTCAGAAAAATGTATGAAAATACATCCTGTGGTGATATATAGGGTGTCCCAAAAAAGCTGTGAATTAATTAAAATAGTGTTTTTAATTTTCCTTGGCAAATTTTGTTTGTTATTAAATTTTGTGCTTTTTAATACCCGTTGGTAAGTAAGTATTTAGGTTTTTTCCAACTATCAGAATGAAAATTTATAATAAGTACCTACAATTAGGTACTAATATAAATGTCAAGTATATCCGAAATTCACACCTGTAAAATTCTGGTGTTCTAAAATTTAAGCGCAACTTTTTTACATTATAGTGTATAGATGTGTATAGTTGCAAGAGACAACATGATATTCTTGCTTTGTCAACTCCTGTCTTGGTCCTTAATTAGTTCCCGCCCACACTGTGCAGCGGCGCCACTTGCTACATTCAAATTGTTGATTTACCGCCCGCCAAGATACACACTTTATTTACAAAAAATATGATTTCATTTTTGGGGTAATGTTTAGAAATAACTTATCTAGAAAACTGTTGGTTTACTTTTTCCATAAATCGTCTTGATCGAGAGTAAGAAAATAAAACAGATTACCGCAATAATCGATGCAAAATATCTAATCTTTACACAATTGGTATTCCGTTGCTATAAACTTTTTAAGAAAAATAGTCCGAACATTTTGTAGATAAAGGTCTAAATGTATAAAGTAATTCTTAAAAAAATTTTTTTTTGAAAAATAACTTGAGTTTTTTAGGCGGGCGCTCTTATGGAAATTTACATTGGGTGCAGTGGGCACATAAGGGCGTACAGTTGCATCTTTTCATGATGCTGTGGCCGGGGACATTTTGTACCACACATATTGTCTCGCAAATGCGATAAGAGACACTGCAAAATCGAATGTTCAGACTGGCCCTCCTAAGAATTTGGCTCTAAAGAAATTATGCATTGAACTAAAAGTGCAGAAATATCTGCAAGTGCCTTGGCGACTGCTTCAATCGTAAAAAAATGAGCATGATGAAGAAATTGAAGTTCCGTTAAAATTTTTGAAATATAATATATTCGCCGTCAGAATTATTTATTTATTTGTTTAACGGAAATACCATTTTTACAAAAAAATACAAAACATAATATCATATAGCAAAATGTAATAACAAAATGAAGTGTGACTATAAATCAAAATTACTGAAAAGCTTAATTACTAAAAATCAAATGCATTTTAATTGATAAAAAGAACGATAAATCTCATTGATTCTAATAAATTGTGTTACATCAGCTTCCTTCTGAATTCGATAAACGTAGTACCAAAACAGTTAATTTTAATGAATTAATTATCTCTATATTCTCTGTATAATGTACCCAATATATGTTTTGCAATTTTCTGTGTCTCCTGTATGTTTTTTAACACCTCAATCCGAAAAACTATGTGAAATGCGTCTGGCATAAAAATTTATATATTTGGCCGCCATATTGGCCGCCATTTTGAAATTAGCCAAAAATCAGCTTGGCAACATCCGAATTCGGGTTCAGCAGACATTTTTACCCTTATAAACGCACGTTTCCAAAATGGCTCATTAAATGCCGTTAGACTTGCGATTTATTAACTATGGCCACCCAACTATTGCAAGTTTATGAAGCATTTTTTAGCCACAACTTTTATTTGTAAACTAAATAACCTTTAAACAGATGACCTTGATATCCGAGAAGTAAATGCATTTTTGCGAAGCATGCGCTTTGTTCATTAGAGATCAAAAATACTATTTCATCGCGAAAATATTTATACGAATTTTTAAAGTTTGAAAATAAACAATAACAATAAACTTATAAAGCACCTTTTTTTTTCAATTTTGATTCATTGTTAAGGTAGAATGATAGAACTGAAAACTAAACGGAAAAAGTATTGCTAAAAATCATGATTAAAAGAAAGTAAGTATGAAAACTATATTTGAGGTATAGGCTGAATTATTTATCTAATTTTTTATTATATACAGGGTGTCCATTTTTCGAGTGCCACTGTGGGAGATCTTGCTTATCTTAAGTACGGACAGTTTGTTAAATGAGGGCAAGGGTTGCGAATTTTCGTGGTGAATAATAATCTGAAAAGAAGTTTAAAATATCTTCAATAGCTTTGAATATATCGCAAATCAAACGATCAGTTTTGATTTTTATTTTTTCATGAACCATTTGTACCTACACATTATCCAGACACTTTTGTTATGGAGAATTCGAATATTGCATCCTGGTTTTAATAATTTTCAAGATGGCGGAGAAACTTCGTTTTTTCTTATGGACCCAATTTTGGATTTTGACATTTTGAGATTACGTTTTTTTTTACAACGATGTGTCACATGATGGTTGCCTTCATTTAATCAACTTTCTATCTCTTAAGATAAGCGAGATCCCCATAGTGCAGGCAGAGGCGGACTGGTAACCTTTAAGCGGCCCGGGGAAAATATTTATCGGCCCATTTTTTAGAATTGGGAGTCACGGGTTAACATTTAGTTCTACAGAAATAGTCTCTTTAATGTCTTGAGCAGTATCAACTTAAGAGGTATATAATTTTGCCTTGATAACTTGTTCTGAAATTTGACGTTTTATTACTTAAATTTTTTATTATTGTGTAATTATATTGACCGTTGGTTTTGATTGTCCTGGTCTTGGCTTTCCGGGGTGCCTTTTCTTTGTTTTTCACAAATATCGCTGTTGATACATGTGAATTTAGCAATGGGTCTATTACCTCTGCACCCTATATTGCACTTTCCAAATTACTGTAATAACTTCAATTATACAATTATCCGTATTCACAGTATACATCGTATACCGTATAAACAAAGTTTCTTGCCTGTCTTTCGCTGACATAAACGAAGATTTTCTTGTTTTGGCAAACTGTATTGAAAAGATAGGAAGACTCATTGTCTAGTGTAACACGTCCTCTTACAAATAAAAACAAATTCAGCGAAAAAATTCGATTATTATAAGGCCAGTAACGCACTAGGCAGCCATAAGATTGCGGTAGCTAATCCCACACACTATTGCTTATTCGAGCCCGCCTAGAGAGCTGAAAATCGTGTGTGGCTGCCGCAGCGAGTCTGCCTAGTGCGCTACTGGCCTTATTCTGCACGCTGACCAATTGGAATCGACCATTATAACTCATAAGGTATAACATAACACAATACAATAAAATTATATAGACAGAAAATAATGTTAAATAAATCGATTTTTGGCGGCCCATCAGTTGACATTTATACCGGCCCATCAGGCCATCGCCCGATCGCCCGACTGGCCAGTCCGCCCCTGAGTGCAGGGGTCGGCAACCTATTGAAACGGAAGAGCCAAAAATTACTTTACAAAATTTCCCAGTTTTTAAAGAGCCACAAACATTTTTGATTCAATATTATAGTATTTGGCTATATACAGGGTCCTGCAACAGTGCTTGGGTTTTTCTTCCAAGTGTACTGTTGATTTTGTAAACAAATAAGATTAATTAAAAAGGCGAATTTTGAACAAATGAACTAATTTCTTTAGATAAATACGGAGAGCCGCAACTTTATATCAAAAGAACGCGAGCCGCAGGTTGGTGACAATAGTGGCATTCGAAAAATGTATTAATTTAATTATTTAGCCTGCACTTCAAATATAGTTATCATTCTTACCTTCGATCCAAAATTTAAATTCAGAAGTATTTGGAAAATTCTGAAAATTACACAAAACTCAATGCAGGAGTTAAAAAAATTTTAAGAATTCAGGCGTAAATTTGAAAAAATTTTAAAAATGCCAATGTTCCATATATTTGTCAATAAACATTGTCTTGTGTGACAGAATTCAAAGCAGAATTTAAAGACTTTTAAAAATTCGAAGAGTGACAGGAATTGGAATCAAGAAATTGAAAAATCGGGAAAATGTTAAAAACTGAATTCATGAATTATAAAAGTTCAAGTCTCAAATTAGGAAGATATCACCCACACTCAAATTTGTTAACAAAAATTTGTAATATGGGGGGGGGGGGTACGCTTTTGTATGCAGTTGTGTGTGGGGTGGATTGTACAGAGTGAGCAACAAAGATTGAAGCGTGCCGCTTCAGCTAAATTGGCAATGTGCCGCTCATAGCATATGCTGATTTGATACAAAATACGAATAGACGCACGTCACTGTGACAGCGCAGAACGTCATTTTCGTATACAACTCCATACAAAGAAGGTAGTTTTGATATTAATAGGAACAAGCGGTGATGACGCACGCTTCAATCATTGTTGCTCACTCTGTATAAACAAGATCAACAATAGTTATTTACATAAATGTCAGAAAAATGATACATTACTGGCGAGGAAATATTGAAGTACGAGGCCCGTTTGGGGGTGAGTACTTTAATTTCCGAGTCAAGTAATGTCATTTTACTGACGAGTTTTGTATTAAATTTTACCCAAAATCGTATTATATAAAATTTCAATTTTTATATAGGTAGAACTTTTGATTAATGTCAATCTGTCAGTGATGACAGGAGCCATTCTAGATGTCAGGGGCGGCCGGTAAAGTGACAGGTGCGCCGCTTGTCACTTTACTGGCCGCACCTGTTACTTTACCGGCCGCATTTTTGACATTTCTAATGTGTATAATGACTCCTGTCATCACTGACAGATTGACATTAATCAAAAGTTCTATATACAAATTGAAATGTTGTATTAAAATACGATTTCGAGTAAAATTTAATACAAAACTCGTCCGTAAAATGACATTACTTGACTCGGAAATTAAAGTACTCAGCCCCAAAGGGTCTCGCACTTCAATATTTCCTCGCCAGTAATCTGTCATTTTCCTGACTTTTATGTAAATAACTATTAATGTATACCAATAGATGATTGACACACGTTTGAATTTTCTTAAAAAAATTCATAATTTTAATACAGGGGGGGGGGGGGGTGCATTTTTATATGCGGTAATGATGGAGTGGCTTGGGTGCAATACCAATACAATTCGTGATGTAAATTTGTATTGTTTTAAATTGCAGTCCGAAAGTACAACGAGCTCTTCCGCCGCTTTACAATATGGAGTTTGTGCTTTTGGGCGCCCTGCAGGGTTCGAAAGAATTAAAAGCGCAAATTTCGAAGTTGGGCGGAAAAGTGGTCACAAAAATCAAGGAGACTGTGATGGCGGTAATAAGCACCGAGGCGGACGTGGAGAAGATGGGCGCGCGAATGACCGAAGCCTCTACTGTTGGCATACAGGTGGTGCCCGAGGAGTTCCTGGACGAAGCTCCCAACTATGTCGGTCGTATTCCCGAGCTTGTGCTCGCCAAAAATATCTCTTCGTGGGGATCCGATGTAGGTTTCCCAATATTTTCGTGCCGTATATCTGTATTGCGCGTTTTTTAGCCGCATACGCGTTTACCTCCCGAGCCATCGTCCTCGATGTCATCTTTGAAGTCGAAGTCAAAGTCAATGTTTAGCTCAGTACCTGGCAAGGTAAAGATGAAGGTTAAAGGTGGAACAGCCGTCGACCCGGATTCGGGATTAGAAGACTGTACACATGTGTACGTTTCCGGAAAGGACAAATATGCAGCGGTGTTGGGTTTGACCGACATTCAAAAGCAAAAAAATAGTTACTATAAGCTGCAACTTCTTGAATCGGATACTGGGAGACAGTATTATTTGTTCAGATCTTGGGGTCGTATTGGGACCACGATTGGCGGTAACAAGGTGGATAATTTTTCCAGTTTGATGGAGGCAAAACAGCAGTTTATCTCCTTGTATGAGGAAAAGACCGGTAATAGGTGGCAAGATAGAGATAGTTTCGTTAAGGTGGCAGGCCGTATGTATCCTATTGATGTCGATTTTGGCGAAGAAGAAGAAACTAAATTGAACCTCGATTCTGACGTACCTTCTAAGTTGAAAAAGGAGGTACAGGAATTGATCGGGCTCATTTTCAATGTTAACAATATGAAAAAAGTTATGTTAGAGTTTGAATTAGACACTGAAAAGATGCCATTGGGTATGTTATGTAGTGTATTTTCGGACTAATTCTTATTTTTGCTATTTTAGGAAAATTGAGTAAGGCACAACTTCAAAGTGCCTATGTAGTATTAACAGAGTTGCAGCAGCTGGTAGAAACTAATGCATCTGAGGCGCGTTTTATTGACGCGTCTAATAGATTTTATACTTTTGTACCTCACTCATTTGGCACTGATAATCCTCCACTTATCAACGATCTCGAGTTGATTAAGGTAAGACTACTACTACTCTGGTTTTAAATTAAAGCCTTAAGCTTGCTTTTATGGTTCCCTCATTGTATTCTTGCGTCTAACATACAACTTTATTGACTGATTAAAAAATCAGCTGAAAGAAAAGTAGGCACTCAGGATCAGAAGACGAATGCCATGCAACAAGCGATCGATAAAACAAATTAATTAAAAGAAATCTTAAATTACTTTAACTGTTAAATAATCCCAAATATCAAGACTGCGATTTTCAACAAACAACGCACTAACACAAACACGAAACACAAAAACCAAGTGATTTTGCTTCTGGAACTTCACTTCTTGCACTTAAATTTCGTTTTAAATCTAAACAACACTGGGTTCATTGTAATTTTAGATGCAATATTGGCTCTTTGATGGTGGAAAAACTGCCTTTAATTGGTATTAGGAAAGGCTTCACATAAGCGATAAACGCAAGAGTCGTCCGACTGAACTTCTTCGTACACGTAATACACGCCTCCACTGAACTCTACTTAAACGTTCACCTTGAACGATATATTAGATAAAATCTCTTAGAGCAACTTGATTATCACCAAGACTGAACGTCTTTCACCAAAATGTTAAGTAAAAAGACAGATTGCCTTTTAACAAAATGCTTCGATTTACGTCTTCCTCTGCTATTTAAAACCATCTTTAAGCCCCATTCAGATAGGTGGTAGTGCGGTGCCGTTGTCTTGGTGTGCGGTGCGGGTGTGGGTCGGCGCTGTCATTTTGACATCTGCATTCACAATCACCGCAAAATCGGTGCGCGTGCGGATTATTTTATTCTACAAAATTATGAACAACAAACAACAATAGCAGCAGCAAATCGTCAAAATCCATCAATCAAACAATTAAATTAAATGCACAACCCGCGCAAACACTATGAAAAGCTTATGTAATTAGCAGTGACAGATTAGCTGTGACAGATTGAAGTTTACATACTTTCGGCACACGGCTGCAAGTCGTCTGCACTGCACATGTCATTGTGAATTGTCATATGGGTATGCGTATTTCAAACTTTTATACAGAGTGAGCAACAAAGATTGAAGCGTGCCGCTTCAGCTAAATTGGCAATGTGCCGCTCATAGCATATGCTGATTATACAAGATACGAAATACGAATAGACGCACGTCACTGTGACAGCGCAGAACGTCATTTTCGTATACAACTCCATACAAAGAAGGTAGTTTTGATATTAATAGGAACAAGCGGTGATGACGCACGCTTCAATCATTGTTGCTCACTCTGTACAATGTGAGCAACAAGATTGAAGCGTGCGTCATCACCGCTTGTTCCTATTAATATCAAAACTACCTTCTTTGTATGGAGTTGTATACGAAAATGACGTTCTGCGCTGTCACAGTGATGTGCGTCTATTCGTATTTCGTATCTTGTATCAAATCAGCATATGCTATGAGCGGCACATTGCCAATTTAGCTGAAGCGGCACGCTTCAATCTTTGTTGCTCACTCTGTACAAAGGCACCGCACCGCAACAGCACTGCACTACCACCTATGTGAATGGGGCTTTACTCTCTCACTCTACTTGAATTTGCATCTTCGAAATTAAACACCTTTCTTATCTTATCTTGAAACTAATTAGCTAAACGCAGTGATTAATCTTATCGCAACGACCGGAGATAAACTTCAAAATTTCGTCCAGATCGGCGTTTTTCACACGCCTTATACCTTATGTATCTATCAGTTTTTCAAGTGTCTTAAGAAGAAAGGACATATATTCGAGTATAACGTCAATCTGATTTCATTTTATTTCCCTTACTGTTCAATTATATTGCAGGTATAAGAAACGTGTATAATTGATCATTAAAGCACTTGCAACCTTTTAAATGTGCCATAAAATTCGTTGCGCATAAAGTCTTGTTTCTTAATATACTATTTTATGTAGCCTAAGCTAAAAATTCATTTTACAGAAAAAAATTGAGATGGTCGATAATTTAATGGAGTTGGAAGTTGCGTACAACTTGATGAAGGCTACCGGTGGTAACAACACGATCGATGGTCACTACGACCAACTAAAAACCGAGATAGATGTACTGGACCAAAAAAGCGAAGAATTTAAAATAATTAAAAAGTATGTTAAAAACACACACGCGGCGACGCATTCAAACTATAAGCTGACTGTCGATCAAATATTCATCATTAAACGGCACGGCGAAGAGAAACGTTACAAGCCGTTCCGTAAATTGCACAATCGTCGATTATTATGGCACGGTTCGCGTACCACAAATTATGCAGGAATTTTAGCGCAGGGACTACGAATTGCTCCTCCAGAAGCGCCAGTCACTGGTTACATGTTTGGCAAAGGTATTTACTTTGCCGATATGGTGTCGAAATCGGCCAACTACTGTTGTACTAGTTCGGTCGATAATACTGGTCTGATGTTGTTGTCAGAAGTGGCGTTGGGCGAGGTTAGTGAATGTTATCATTAATTAAGTTATTTTCGGTTAAATTCATCTTCCTTTTTTCTAAGACAAATTTTACCCGAAATGGTTTACTGGATATGTATATCTGTTGCAGATGCATGAGCTGTACAATGCTTCTTACATAGAAAAACTACCTAAAGGTAAACACAGTGTTAAGGGAGTCGGACGGACCGAACCTGACCCCAAAGAGACAATTAAACTCAAAGATAATACCGAAGTTCCTTTGGGTAAAGGAATTCAAATGGACCTGCAGAAAAATACATCTTTGTTGTATAACGAGTATATAGTTTACGATGTGGCACAAGTTAACATAAAATATCTCTTAAAGATGAAATTCAATTACCAATATTAAGGTTCCTCGTTAGTGTTTAGCTTTGTGTGTTATGTTTTCGATCTTTTTAAATATTAATATGCATTTAAGCCGTTCCAAATAAACTTATATTTTTGTATATTTGCAAGTGCATTGCAAATTTAATAAAATCGTTACCATGGAGGTTTTCTCATTTTTTAGCAGCTACCATAAGTGTTTAAAATACGTAGTTGCGAGTAAATGTAATGGGTTATATAGTTACATTTAGAAAGGTGAGATACCCGTTTTACATTAAATAAAATATCTACGGCACTGGTAAAAATTACCCTGCTGGACCTAACCCCCCATTCTTGTGATTCAATTTAAGGATTTTGTTCAATTTGGGAGGTTTTCATATCGCCAGGCCAGCATAATATTTTAGAGCTCGTTTAGGTTACTAGGAATCTAAAATTTATTATGGAGTGGCAGAGCCTACTTTGTTTTCCGGGCAAATGTTGGCTTTTCATTCAAGGTCCAATCATTTCAGGGTACTTGGGTATCGTTAACTGGTGTCCTGTTGTTAGACCAAAAATTTTGGATGTACACTGGAAAATTGAATTTATCGATATGGATAAAAATGTCACCTTAACGGTGTAAATATTAACTCCGACAATCGCTTGTCATTTCTTACGGTTTTAGCGTGAGTATACTTGTTCAGTGTTCCGTTTTGAAGATTTACTTTTGCGTGATACAATCTCCCCGTGTAACATAACAGATACTGCGCATCCTGACAGCACACGTTCTGCTAGATTTCAGTTTTTTAAATATGTATTGAATCACGAATTTCTTCATTTTTTGTATATCAACCATATGCATATTCTATGTTGTACAGTAAATTGATTGCTCTTTTCAAAGGTCTTAAAAAAATAGGCGTTGCATTTGAAAATCAAAGTTGCATCGATATCTGGTTTAATCAGAAGTGATACGGAAATGTTAATATGGCATTAAACAGATTGTGGTGTCTCATACAAAATTATATTTGACCATTTAGTAGAACTAGAGAAAATCCTCAGTAAGCAGTTGCACAAAAATACAATTATAATGAGAATGAAGTATCTGGGACCGATTGAACTAAGATTATTGTTGAAGTTATAATTCCATCACTCTTATGTACTATTTAATTAAACGTCTCCCGCGATTTTCCCACGAATCTGACGCATTTTTCTTTAATGTGTAATGATGACTCATTCGGTCAAGGATGTTTTTCTTTTATTTAGATTGGCAACTTTAATAATTTTAAATTTCCTGTTTAGTTTAGCACAATAATAGTAATCCTTTGTTTATATTAAAAAAACAATTTCTCCTGTTAATAACTCGACGGAAAATTTCTCATGATAACTTTACCTGAACTGCCCTTTTTCGAAAAATATAATTTTAGCGCCCAACTAAACTAAGAATTCCCATTTTAATGACTTAGCGATCTCTGCTCAATGGTTGCGAGACTTAATCTGTTAATTTTTTCAACTTCTCTTTTTACGCCCACCAATGGGGAATTATCTTTAAAATGGCCATGTCTAAATTTTCTATTGGTTAATGCCTTTGTTATTACCAATCCTAGATGGTTCTAAATGTTGTTTATCAATCCCACCATTGAATAAGTAATTACTTATTCAATGATCCCACTCCTTCCCAAAACAAATTGACTCAAAAATTTCCACTGTGACTATATCTTGACGAGCTAACTAATGTAACACTACATCCCCATTTAAACGGATGTAAACTTAGCCATAACTCAGACTCCAGGGCGCGCTTTGATAAATAACGCGCAAAAATACCTACGAGTTCACAGTTGACCAATTTGTTTTTCCAAATTTTACCCAAAATCAATATTCATCTGGGAGATGTATTAAAACTGCAATAGAAAAAAATTCCACTTTACTTATTTCCGGGGGAAACATGCCAAAATCCAAACGTAAATGCCCTCGTTACAGTATTTCCCCCCTTGAGGTTTTCATTGAAGTGTTTTAATTTGTTGACCTCTGAGTGGGTTTCCAGAAGTTTAGAAACTATTTCGTGAAAATTCTTTAATGATATAGACATTGGAGAGTCACTCAGAAAGTGTAACCTTTGCATGTGGGCAAGTGCGAAAAAAAACGAAAAAAATACATCAAAAATTTATTTGTGGCGTAGACTTTTCGATATGAATTATATATCTTGCCTGAACACATTTAATTCAATATGCCTGGCTGTAGCTATGCACTGTTTCGTATATAAAAGTACATTAACAGAAAAACAAGTTATTAACACGTTAATTAAATCTTACATTTTCATTATGTATCACTCTGATAATCTCATGATTGATTGAAAAAATAAACCGAAGCGAAGAAAATTCTACTACAGAATTGTCATATAATCGTACTTTGTTTCCGGCCATTATGGGTCGCCCATCAACGAAGATTGGTCGTTTGCCTTCCGAAGATATATAGAATTCTCCATTGTTTCGCAGCCTGAAAATAAAAAAAACAATAAGATCGTATTTTTGAAGGGGTGCGATTAAAATCTATGGTCCATATTAAACTAATTAAAACTTCGACCCCGCCCCCAGGGTGAAAGCACCGCTCGCCCAACGTTTGGAAAATTGAAGGATAGAGTTCAGCGCGATTAATTATTTATGTTTGGCTTTATTTTTAAGTGGGCGGGGTTTCAGCCAAGGCTGCTCTACCAACCTAACTTACTATACATTTACAAATATCCATACCCGAACCCGGATTCGAACCAGGGACCCATTAGTACCACAGTCAGTTAATTTCGCCCCTATAGGAATGGGTAGCTGCCACAAAGGGAGGTAAAAATGTCAAGTCATTTTATATAGGGTATTTTCATCTTTATGGCAACTTCCTCTAATGAAAGCAAACCAAATGGGCGTACCAAAAGTCGTATTGCGCATGTGGAATAGTCAACTTTCTTCTATGTGGAGCAATTTGATGGAAATTTTTATGGTAGGTTCCTTCAAACAAAATGAAAGTGCAAAAAATCGTATTGCGCAGAGTATAGATTACACCGCAAGACCCTTAACACATGTAATATCACATTTTCGGGGTTTTTGTGCAAAATATACTCACTTCAGCGTAGACTTTACAAACATAAACGATGAGATTGACTAAAAAAGAAACTGTCAATATATTGGTGCTTTTTTGACCCGAATCGAATTTCATTCTTTGTCTTCCAACGACACTTAAAAACCAACCCTAACTACATTCTCACATCAAGCAAAAAATGCTACAACGCTAAAACAATAAAAAATATTGTTCTTAAATATACAGGGTTTCCCATCACAAAGAAAAAGACTTCGGAATATTTTGAACATTTGAATGCCTGTAATGTTAATGCCAACTTGCTTATTTGAAATTAAACGCCCTTTGTGCCCCATGGTGGTCCTCAAATTTGAATCACCCTGTATATGTTATGGTTGTTTAACAAATTTAAAAATGAAACTTTTAGTTCAATTTTGTTGCCATACACTGCATACAAATTTACAATACCCACCTCAAAGTTCCTTGTCGCCTTGATATTTTTTCCGCAGGCCCTTCCAAAGACAAATCCACATCGACAGTGTGATTCTTCGCCGATCTTCCTATAGTAATCTCCCGGCTCCGCATTAAATAACGAACGAGCCTACCGCGTAGTACGGCCAAGGTATTGCTATCCATCTCACCCGTGCAGATTCCAGTTATGCTGTCCACGAGTACGTTCCAACGCGACAGTTCGTTTTCGAGCTGACGTATTTCCCTCGTGTTGTGTCTTTGCTGCAATCGTAATTCGCGATCTAAAGCTTCGTCCGGCGGCTCATTCAAGTCGGCATCTTGTATCATGTCCTCGGCGTCGCTGAAGGAGAGCACGGGCTTGGAGTTAATCGGCAACGGTGGCACCAACTGATCGGGTAAGAGGTGGTACAGTCGCATGGTATGCCAATGACGTTGTAAAGCGCTGGCAGTACGATTGGGATAAAAAACGTCGGAATGCTGTGCCAATAAATCCGCAAACGAATGTAAGACCGGACTGGACGGCTGCAAATAATCATATAAAAATGCAATCGAAGTGAGATGGAAAATTTGGGATCATAAACCACACATATCCAGCTTACCGATTTAATTGTTCCCAAAATTTCTTCCTCCTGTACGGACCACAAAGCTCGATCTTGTACGGCAGCAACCATGTCAGGATGTAAATTACGCATTGCAGCCACTGCTACACGCGATACCGCTTGATCATACAACAAAGCGTACCATCTCTGCTGTAATTCTTGCACAGTGAATTTACAAGAAAACTTCGTCCCCAAATGGACTAGCCGAAGATCATTAGTCTGTTGCACTCCTATAATTAACGCCAAGTCATCAGTTGGCTTCCACCTTCCCAGATCTTTGGTGGTAATTTGATTCTGATGGCGACCTCTCTTCGAACGTTTCGCGACACCTAAACTGCCCTTCGAGAAAGACTTTCTCTTCACCTCAACATTTGAAGGAACGGGTACGTTATTTGCAATTACGGTCGCATTGGAAGTGGTAGGCATTTCAGGATGTACTGTCGTCAATGATTGAGATCTCGCTCGTCCGGTCTGGAAGAGAAACGCCCCGAGTGAATGTGCACAATTCGAATTGGCAATTACCTTTAAATTGGAGACGCCGGGCAAGCCCAGGCTATACTCGACCAATTCGTCATCGAATTTTCTACGTTTTATGGATCGACTGGAACTGAAAGTAAATCGAAAGTAATTCATTACTTGCAGCTACAAAAACGCCAACCTTCGTCGTCGAGCGTTTTCCATTTTTTCGGCATCTCCCAAATCGGGATTGTATAAATTAATCATTAATGACCGTTAAAATAATCAATTTATTTCCAATACAAATGTGTTTGCTTCTGTTTATAGTATCTTGTTTTCTTTTGGTCTTGAAGAGTGAAGTTAGCGTGAAAGTTACTAGCTTTCATGTTACCAACTGCCGCAGAAAAATGAATATTACCAAAATTACCAGATGTGGTTCACATATGGTTTACGGTTTGTGTCACGTATTCGTTATTTATTTTTTGAAAGACAGTACATAATGCGGTAGACAAGGATGATTATACAAACAAATTTACAAAACAACGTGCCAAACAAGGATATCTACCAGTCTATAACAGCCTACGGTAGGCGGCACGCGAATTTGAGTATCAATGCCGTTTCAGATTCCGTTACAAAGCATACAGTTTAATGGCTGTAGCTGATAGTTCAAAAAATAGCTCAGAAACGATCAGCACGTACAGTCGTACGCTGTTGTCACTTCATGAATGGGATGCTAATTCACCCCTGGGAATTACCTACGTACGCCCCTGGACTATGGTCACTACGGATCAAATCAAAGTTCGAATTTCAAAGTGCGCATTCATCTTGTTGCATTTTTAATCCCCAATTTGTTATGATAGGCAGAGGAATAAGACTATTAAGCAACATGGCCATGGCAAATCCTCGTTTAGATGGTAAAGTGGCCGTCGTCACAGCGTCTACAGAGGGGTAACATGAAAAAGCTCAATGACCATACTTGCCTATTTAAAAACGAATTTTGTAGAATTGGTTTTGCTATAGCCAAAAGACTAGCCCAAGAAGGTGCAAAAGTGGTGGTCAGCAGTCGCAATAAAGCGAAGGTCGACGCCGCAATATCTCAACTGAAAAAAGAGGGGCTTGGTGAAAAGGTCATTGGTGCAGTGTGCCATGTTGGTAAAGCGGAGGATCGAAAGAGAATTTTTGATGAAGCGGCCAAGTTAGGTGGGTTGGATATATTGGTGTCGAATGCCGGCGTCAGCCCGGCAATGGGTCCCATTCTTGACGTGGGTGATTTGAAACGTATCTACGTGTTAATGTTATGTATCTTGGCTTGCAGTGTAGTGAACAAGTATGGGATAAGATTTTCGAATTAAATGTGAAAGCCGGTTTTCTGTTGGCGAAAGATGCCATGCCACACTTCAAGAAACGGGGAGGAGGAAAGATTATTTTCATCTCGTCGATTGGAGGCTATCAGCCCATTCCGGTGAGTCATTTTCTCTCATAATTATATCAAATGTTTAGGTGTCTTAGTTTATAGGTGCTTATTGCGTGAGCAAAACTGCTCTTCTGGGTTTAACAAAAGTAATTGCTAGTGACGTGGCAGGAGACAATGTGACAGTGAATTGTATCGCCCCGGGCATAATTGAAACCAAGTTTTCCCAGCCAGTAAGTACATCATCAAATTCATAGACTCCCTCCCCTCAACTATTCTGTTAGGCACAATATCACAAATTTTAGCACAATACTTGGAATTACTTCAAGTGGTGTGTGCCGGAGGGGGGGCTAGGGCCGGGGGTTATCCTCATCTTGCATTATCAATATTTATTTTAGCTTATAAGCGAGGAGGCAAACCAAGAACACATTGTGTCACTTACAGCTTTGAAAAGGTAACCGCGAGACACATGCCATTTTTTACTAAAAGATTCTTATAGGCTTGGGAAACCGAATGACGTAGCCGGTGTTGCGGCTTTCTTAGCATCCAGTGATTCAGATTATATTACCGGAGAAACGATCTTAGTAACCGGTGGAATACCTGCAAGACTATAAGGCGTATTTTACACTTTAATGTTCATTTACATAAGAGAAATACATAAAACTTTAGCCTACAACTAGTCTTTTACGACCTCTTGATCGCACTTCATCCAGCTTATTCAACACTTCAATGTGACCACTTGTGTACTCATTTTGGTACGCCTTTAAAATCAGTCCAAAGATACGATCGGGATTATTATGAATACTTATTATCGCTCTTTCCAGAACGTAGAGGTCGACCCCTTTGTCTTCGGGACTAGAATCGATGTGAGCTAACCCAAAATCGATTAAAACCAGTTTCACTTGCGAGTAGTCCGTGTAATCGTCAGTGCCTCTTTTGTTAACCAACAAAATATTTGAAGTGGTTAAGTCGCCATGAATTATATTATTCCCATGTAGCTTTGCTAACACTGCCCCTATGTCGTTTGCTACTTTCTCGATGAGTTCATCCGAAGCTTCCTTAATGAAGTCCTTAGCTGTGATGCTATGTTCGAAATATTCCAAGTACAAACTTCTAGTCTTCAAATTGATGAGATACAAGGCAGGGGTTTCGATCCCCGCACTTTTGCATCGTACAATTGCGCGACTTTCAGCTTTAATGCGTTCTTTGGTCAAGGTGCTATCTAAATCGGGATGTCGATATTTCTTTTCGAAACGTTGCTTCACGAGCGTAGGTTTACCCAAATACACCCCCTTGTATATTCTAGCTTCGGCGCCTTGTTTTATTAATTCGAAATCTTTCATTATTCAATTTTTATCTTGCATACAAGTTTAAAGGAAGATTAATTAACCTCACTTTTTAAATCAACAACATGCTGTGGTTGTTGTATGGCGTACGGTTTTTAAATTGAAGTGGTTGTAGTATAGTTGAATTACTATAATCGTACAGGGTGTTAGTAAATTCGGCTGGAGCTTACCATCTCCGACCGCATCTAATAATAATACCTATACATTTTTTTGTTATACATATTATTGTTTGTTATTTTTGACTTATAACGTATCGATGATTGTGATGACGATCTTACGATTAAATTATGGTTATTATTATTACTAGCCCAGATGCCGCCGTCTTCCGTCCACTATATCGCCGGAGTCAGATTTTCACTATTATTCAATTTCATTTTCGTAGTTACACCGTTTATTTGTTTGTGTAAACCGAAAGCTACCGTTGGCGCGTACCCTCCCGGGGAAAGTTCGTCGTATTCCAACCTTTGTTTAGTAATACTTCTTTTTTTTACCACTAGAACAGTTTTCAACATCGGTGGGGTAAATATTCCTTCTGAAAATTCTGTCTACTAGCTCTATTGTCCTGTAAGGATTGTTTTTTCATCAAAATGTATAGCGTCCGTCAAACGAACTGCTAGATTTCGAAGTATGAATTTGATTTTTTGTTTTTTACTGAACACTGGCAATCCATTGATAAATCGATTAATTTTGTCCATTACCAGATATTTATTGATTTCGTATTTCTGTACTACATCTATGTAATATGGGGGAGTAGTAATAATGTTCTTTGAAATTGCAGTTCTTCCATGTGAGGGACATATTAAAATTGGCAAAGAAAAAGTAATTATCATAGGTATACGAGTATGTATAGGCCACCTGGAAGCGATATCACCATTTTTCGTCATTAATAGTCCTCCACATGGCTTTTTAAAACCCAAATCAACTGATATGGCTTTATGGTCGAAGTAACATATGTACTGTTGATCGTATTGCGGGTCCCTATCTTTAATGATTTTTCAGCTGCGTTAGATACTGTAAATCACAGCCAGCAAAAACTGTTTCGCGGCACCGCTCTTAGAGTTATTAGTATATATAATGATCGTATCTATGCTATGTGCATGATGCAGATGGTAGGAAAAACTTGGTGACCATTAGGCATATGAGTATCATATCATATCATATGGTGGTGGTGACGCGTAAACTGTACAGTCAGGGGTACCACAGGGTTCAATTTTAGTCCCCACATTGTTTCTATATAAGCAACGACCTTGAGTCGCATCTCTTGGAAAATGACAACTGTGATAATATAATCGTCATTTCATAAGCTGACGACACTAACATGTCCTAAAAACTTGATTCGTCCCAGGGTGAAGGGGCTCTGGAAAGCCTGATATCGACATCCCGGAATGCAAGAAGTATTGGAGGAATATTTTTAACAATTTGATCATGCACAACAAATACTGGCAATTTCCCTAGTCCTTATCTAAATACTTCCTTCAGTTGATTTACTCCACCTCATCATCCCATTGATAAGAACATTCTGACTGTACAACAGAGTTTATTGAATGTTATAGCCATAGGCTGTATTTCATAGTTTAAAAAACCTCAAGCAAACAAAAATTATTTAGAGAAAGTAATTATAATCACATGCAGCAAACAAATGAACATAATCTTGTGTAATTAAAGATAATTAAGCACCTTGTATCCAACGTCAGCTAATGAATAAACAAATCAGGTTTGGTATGAGACTTTTCCCAGAGTATGTAGTATTTTTAATCCAATTGAAGATGTGGTGCACTACGAATTAAATTTAGATACAGTACCGATTGGTTACAAAGCCACCAATAGTTTTGTTAGCGAATGTAATTATGAAACACTTGCTAAATGGGCGCAGTCACATTTAAATTTAGTAGGTAGTTAATAGTTAACTTTACAGGAGAATCTCAACTTGACCTATTTAAATTATTTGGCATTGACTGGTCACACGAGCATCATATGAAAACATCTGCCACCATGTCGGCGAATATTCAGGAAATAAGTAAAAAAAATGGTCTAGTTCTATATTTCCACCCATACTCGTATTACTCGCACAAGGTAAATTGCCCCCTTACCAACAACGCATTACCCTTTCAATTGTAGGTGTTAATGGCACTCCACGAGAAGCACTTACAGTTCGATTCAATCATCATAAATCTCGTTAATGAAACGCAATACGAGCCGTGGTTTTTGAAAATAAACCCGCGAGGCGAGGTGCCCGTCCTCCAAGATACCGGGAAAGTGATTCCGGATTCGACCCGCATCATCGACTACTTAGAGGACAACTTCAGCAACGGTTTGGCTTGATAATCGTGGAGCTAAACTAACCTTCAGCTTTAAGGTGACACACCACGACTACTCCCGATAAACAAGGGGGTCGAAGTGCGGCAAAAAGTGATACATTTCCGGTCGCTTATCGATCCCTTACCCGCACGAATATTAACAATGGGGTCGTTTCATCACACAGATTTTGTATGTGGACCACGGCCACCTTTCATTGGTCCAGTTCGCTCCATGCTTTCAAGTAAAAAACGCTATCTTCATTGCGAACTTATGGAGACCATTTTGTAGATGCTGATAAAAATGTCGCTACTGTACTTAAGGAACTGGCAGAGAAATATCCGGAATATCGAGAGATCTTACTAAACAAAGCAGCGATTCACGAACAGAAAAGTGGAATGATAATTGAAAAGGCAGAGTATCAAAAGGTGCTAAAGCAATTCGATGATGCACTTGTGGAGGTTGAGAGTGAGCTGGCATCGCATACTGAGGGTAATAACGGTGAATATCCGCCGAAACGGAGAAGTTACAAGTAATTTTAGGTACAGAAAACTGGTGGCTATGCTGCGGACAATTCACAATAGCAGATATAGGACTAGCCATTCTGTTGGAGCGGCTAAACCAACTTGGTTACGCATCGTATTATTGGCGCAATAATAAAAAGCCAAATATTGAAAAGTATTACGCCAGAGTGCAGCAAAGAGATTCTTTCAAGAAGACGATTCCAAATATTAAATTTCACACACAAATGTTTCTTTCCACATACAAAAAGCAGCTCGCAATAAGTATAGGTGTCGGTTTATGTGTAGCGATTTTACTAGGAGGTGCCTACATAATTTTTAAACCTGAAAATTAATTAAAGAATGCTCAATAGTAGATAAGGTGATTGTACAACAATTTATTTTTATAAGAGATAAAAGCCATAATAATTTACTTACTACCTTTTCTTAGTAACAGTACGCCTTTCGGTTTTAATTTATTAGCTAAAATTTTCCTTTTCCTGTCTTCTTCGTCCATTTTGAGCTGTTCATGGCGTTCCACAGCGAAATCAATTTCCTTACTTAAACAAATTATAGTTTCCGCGACTTCTTTCTGTTTTAAAATACGATTTTGTTGTCTTGTACCGTAGGGAGTGGGTCGTCCGTCTAGATATGTATAATCTGCAGCGTCGGTGAGGACACCGCTTGCGTTTGGATTCATTGGAAGACCCTGCTTTTCTCGCCACCTTTGATCCAAGTTAACCAGAGGGGTAGTGTGAATGTAACGAGGAATCCATCTTTGACTACATTTTGTAGCTGTAAAGTTCAAATTAGCGATTAAAGTGTATGTGCTTCATTTCAAACCTAGAAGTTGCGCAGAATGACAAGCCCTTTGTATCATTCCAAATTATTTCTGGTTTGGATTTTATTATTAATTTTATTAATTGTTAGGTTAGAATTTGACAAGTTAACGGATGTCACTACTACCATAACGACGGTGTCGCATAGCACGGTTGTTCGATACACAGTGAGTCGGTTACATGGTTCCACAGAAACCCTGAGAACGATTTTTAAGACAACGATAGTCTGATGTTAAGCTTCGCAGTACGCTTATGGCCGTATGCACCGTAAAAATTTAAGCTGAGCTTATTAGCTAAAAACATTGGCAACCATTGTCCCAATATACGTGATAATTAAGCTACACTTAAACTCTTTCGGTGCATACGGCCATTGGTCCATACAGTACATACATGGACTGCTAATTGCAAATAAAATATGGTCTAGCTAGAACATCGCCTGGGTATATGAGACTTAGGGCAAAGGAGTTTGTTCAGTTGGAGTTGTCCGATGAGACTCCATTTGAGACTGTAAACCTTTAAATTAACAAACGTCATTTAATTAATCCCCTAGAAATGCCAAAAGAGCAAACTTATTCTTATTTGTTGACGTATAGAAGATAATAAAGAGTATCTAAAGTTTCCCGTACTACTCGGTTGCTATAGAAGCTGCTTTTTACGCGATTCGAGTGATGTTTACACGACTTTAGTTTATGTTGAGATTCACATACGAACTTATAAATTAAGATGGACTGCTAATGCTGAATTGACAAATGACACCTACATGGGGCAGCCATGATGTGCACTCACTTGGCGCGAAATTTAAATCAACTAATAAACAAGCATTAACCTCACGTTTTATAAATAAATTACTGTGACACATGTCATTTTCCAAGGCTGCAATAGTCTCAAAACTTGAGCGCTAGGAAAAATTCCCTAGAAAATAACTAAAAAACGCGCACATCTGGCGGCGCCCATGCTAGGGCCATTTCTACCTCTATGCAACTGTTTGATCAGCAGTTCATCTTAATTTATAGCTCTGGATTCACATAACCCTACTACAGTGACTTTATAGAGACAGTGGCGACAATAAGAGCCCAACCGCCATGTTGCATTGAAAATTCAAATTAGAAAGTGGGCATTGTTCAGTACACTGATCAAAAATAGATCTTGTCTTATTTGTAATCATATGAAATATTGCTTCCGGTTCCACACTATTTAGGTAGGTTGTAACGGATACGATATGCTAACTATAGAATTCTCTACGTGCTTTTTGTTTGCTACCCAGAAAAGTTAACATAAAACGGATTTTCCTCTCACAAAGTGCAACGTGTCTATTCTACCTACAAGACAGAGAGAAACGAAAAATACCGGTTCTTGGGCACTAATAATGACGGTATCGGTATGGTTTCTGGTTATCATAACTTCCAACCCCTGCCTGTTGCCAGGATTCATATTCATACGCGATTGAGAGGTAACCTAGTTTGTGGTAAAGGCTAGATAGCATCTGGTTATAATGTCAATTGAAAAAATCTGGTTTAGAAGTAATCTCGGAAGTCGGAAGAGGCGATAATTGGCCGTTACGCGCACAGGGAACAGATAAGACATACGCTGATCATTTCAAAAGTGAAATGTATTGAACTGAAGTGTTGAATTTATTTCTGTAATAGTGCAGAATTTTTGTAATTTATTTTATTTCATTATTTCAATCTAGTAATCACACATTTTTCTATTTCTTCACATTTTGATTTGATTTTGAATACGATTAAATTTCCAGTATTACATGTGTGAATTGATTATTGTATGACCTTATTAGTACATATTACTTACAATTCAAGGTCAAGGTTCTAACCTAACGACGCCCCTGGTTCTGAGCCCACAAGATGATTCGAGGTCTGCATCAATTTTTAGTTTTACATTGACATAATTATTTGTTTTGTTAAAACAATTTTTAAACTAATTTCCAATTGAAATAAGAATCACCATACAATCGTAATTGTACTTGAACCTTATTTTGTTGACGCGCCCTATGCACTTTGTACCGCTGGGTAGTCGACGAATAGTTCACGTGCGGACACGGTACGTGGTAGTTCAACAGCTTCAATAGTTCAATTTAACATCATGGCCACTAAACGTAAACCAATAAATTCTGGTAAATCTAAATTAAACTTTCGCCCTACGAACGACCCAACCAAAGCAGAACCAAAAGGAACAACTCCTACAACGACACCAACGTCAGTTAAAGAAATTGTCACCCTCATGATTCTTCATATTTGCAGAAAATCGATTTTCTTCGACACTAACCTCAAAATTTGCGTCTACCTGGGAGCACTATTTGCTGTATCATTGATAGCGGATGTCTTTCCAATTCCAAAATCCTACCTATCAAAATCGAGCAACGTCTTCAATCAGTACTTCGTAAAGATCGCCTGGGGTTGGAATCTCCTACTGCTGATACCTTATGTACTGATGACATCGTTTGTCTACTGCTGCGGGCTAAAGGAACGAATTTTAAAACACCACTTGGTACGACTAGCCATAGCCACCTTTTTCTGGTGGTTCTGGACGTCGCTATTCGAATTTATCGAGGTACGTTACGGCCGATGCACCGCCAGAGGCGAACAGTTGAGGTGGAGACAGTCGTGTCTGAAGGCGGGACACGTTTGGAACGGCTTCGATATCTCAGGTCACAGCTTTATTTTAATCTACGGTAGTTTAATACTTATCGAGGAAGCGAAAAGTATTCTCAGTTGGGACAGTATAAAGGAACACATTCGTTTGGAGGATCATTATCGTACGACGAAGGACACGAATATCAATATGAATCCATTGCGTTCGTTAAGTGATGTGCAACTGCGGGTTTTACAGATCAATTACGAGAAGTTTACGCCGTATATTAGAGGGCTATTTGTAGTTATGACATTGTTTCAGCTTTTGTGGGATATTATGCTAATATCGACAATGCTCTATTTTCATAAGATGATTGAAAAGTTTGTAGGAGGAGCGTGTGCGATTTTAACTTGGTATTTTACATACCGATTTTGGTATAGTCAGACGAGAATTTTGCCTAGACTGCCCGGTGACGGGTTGTTTCGGTACATTAAGCTGAAAAGTACCGCTTCAGCATTGGGGAGGAAACGTTCAAGTGTAATTTGTGGGGACGTACCCAGATTTATGGGTATGCCGTTGTATGGATTAAGAACAGATAATGGTAATTTATCAAATGTACAAACTGATGATTTAAATAGGTAATTTTTAAATGTACAAATGCGTGGCTATATTTATTTATAAATTTAAGTAAGCGGCTATCAAATTAATTATTGTTGCAGGTGGATGATTATTTTATTTATCTGGATTGTTATGTAGTTATAGTTTATTAAATTCTTGTAAAAAATGATCATGTCAAAAGACAATTTTTATACACTTCTGGGAGTTCAAATTTCTAATTATACACTTTTGATATTGATATTGAATAAATATTTAAATAACACTGTCCTGTTCTTTTGCTTACTGTTGGTTTCAACATGTTCTATCATCATTAATTTTGCCCAAAAAGTGCAAATTGGAATAAAGGCCCATTAGTATATAGTTCGAACCAGGGCTGTAGCCAGAGGGGGGCAAGATTAGCACGCTCTTGGGACCCACTTTGCCCGCTTTTAAAATTTGCTTAAAATAACACAATGTAACATGCTCATAAATAATCAAAATTTCTTTAAAAAATTAACAGAACAAGAGATAAAAACTTCAACCATTTTAAGTGGCGATATTAATTAACAAGATGTTTTAGGTTGAAAAATGGATTTAATAGTTTTGTAATATTAAATAACGCCAGCGCTTCTTCGAAAACGACGTTTTTAGGTTTTTTGGTCAGAATTTCGCTATTTGTAGAGCTACAAGAAACTTTGAAAGGGAAAATTAATCAGCATGAAAGTGTGCGTAACTTTGCCCATTTAAGCGACTTTGCATCTCGTACAGTTGACGAGATCCCTATGCTGACAATGAAAAAAACTCACCCTGTATTATTATCAGTTTATTATCTTTTTTACTGCACTTGCAATACGTAATGCAGGCATAAGAGAGATCCGAGGAGAGATCTTCATTTCTTGGGCATCGAGCAATCGAGTTTTGTCTTTTTCACAAAATAATTGGTGCATAAATAAGGATTTAGATCGATATTGGGCAATAAAGTGATGGATACTAACATTAATTCTTGATAGTTGTCCATCTGGAAGCATAAGCTTTGTTATAGCGGAAACCAGAAGTCGGTACAAGTTCTTCTTCCCAAGGAAATCGGTACATAAATAACGATTTTGACATTTTTTGTGAACAAAAATACACATGGACCACTTCTTGGGCATTGCGCAATTGAATTTCCCAAGAAAATCGATGCATAAATAACGATTTTGACATCCTTTGAATATAAATATTTTGGTCACCAAAAATAGACATGTATCATTTCTTGGTCATCGAGCAATCGAGCAATCGAGTTTGACCTTTTTCCAAACAAAATTGGCGTATAAATAATAATTTTGACCAATTTAGAGCTATAAACACGTGATGAATGCCAAAGTTAATTTTTGATAGTGAATACGAGGTCTAGGGACTGAGCTATACAGTACGAAACGACACGCAGACGGACGGAAATGCGAAGTCATAAGCGCTCCACTTTCGTGGATTGCGCTAAAACGAATTACACGCGACCGCACTGTGCCGAAGGGGAAGGGAGAAGATTCCTCCTTGACAGCTGCCTAAAGTGGCGCATCCCTGATTTTTAACTGTGAGGGTGGCACAACTGAACGTATAAAGCCTTCTTCAAAAGTTTTTACGGCTTAAGGTTCCCATGGAGTTAAATATATCGTGTGTTCCAGGTTGAACGCACCATAGGCAAACAACAAATATGTTACGCACTGTGCAAAGATGGTCAATAATTGGGAAAACGTTGCGTAATTAAACAGTTATAATTATCATCCTTTATAGAAATGCCGAGTACCTCTGAAGATCCGATACCAGAAAAACTCAAATTGCCGATGTTATTTGAAAACAAAAAAAAGGAACATTTTCTCATTGGAACTATTTGAACTCTACAAGACACCGTTTAGAGATGTTCAGTACAACGTTTCAACTTTATTTTTAGCGCATTTTTTAAGAATTAAAAAAAATGTGCTATTGTTTGCGTTTTGTCCGTCCGTCCGTCCGGACCCACTTATGCCGTTTCGAACTACTTCTAGGGGAATGGTCCTGGAATTTTTTGCAGTAGGTAGCCTATACCTTGAAGGCGTGCCAGACGGCCATCAAATTTCGCTGTCTAAAAGGGAGGCCCCTCCACGAATTATTTCCTGAAATGCTGTTTTTTAAACGTGCATAACTTTTGCATGCGACATGCCAAGTTAAACTTTAGAAAATCGGGGGGGGGGGGGGACACATGTTCTACCCTTCATGGTGGCGGTGGCGGGGGGGGGGGGTTAAAATCACCAACGACTGCCCTTCTTTCTGTCCTCTAGCTCAGAGTGAAACACAAAACAAGAGCTTGAGAATCTTCCACAGCTGTAGTTAGTTCTGGGTAACTGATATTCTGAACTTTGTTGAACTTATCAAGGGTTGAGCGCCACTCAATTTCTAACTCATCCCACATGCAATTGAGAAGATACGGAGGTATTACAAATCTTGGCCAAATACAAGCAAAACATAAAAAGCAACGCTTACTTTAAGTAATATAAATTAGATGTCATCCAGAGAAGTGAGCTCAGTTACCGAATCCATAATAAACCTGCAAACAAAAGAAAACTCCCAAGCCGCAGAGCTCGGAATGCAATGAACTGAATGAACTGGCATATCTTCGGAACCAATCGGAATTTTCTGGTACCCTTTGCAGCAATTTTGCAATTTTGTGAGTGGCAACTCACACAATTGCTTCTTATGAATGAAACACGCGGCTGTCTTTACTTTTTGATTTGTTTTCTTGACTGCTGTAGTACCAGTTCAATGAAAGCTATAAATAAATTAAATTCCACATATGACCAACATATTCCCCGTTGCATTTTCCACGATTCTGAAATGATCCCATCCAGTGGTCCGGAATGGATAAGATCAATTAAGATACTCTTGTTACAGCGACATCTCGTTTCCAGACATCGGGAAACCATTATGTGAACAATACGCTACATGAATTAAAAGATGTAGGAAGGGCAATTTTCAATTCCACCAAATGCCTACAGATTTACTCTTTAAATTCCACTAGCCACATGATGTATTGGAAAATCGGTCCACTACATTCCGACACCCTGTTAATTATCTCAGATATTTAATGCCTAAACTGTTCTAAACAATTTCAATTTTACCTATCTCTATAAAATTCGAAAAAATAAATCCAAATTTAGAGCTATACCGTTACAGAGGGTACATTAGCCAGTGAAATGAGTAAGTTTGCATATCGACTTAGCGCGTATATTAACACCGCGGTGTACTAAGAGTGATGCTCTACGTTATAGGCGTTTTAAATGGAGGTTAAAAATGTTGCAAAATGACTTTGGAGTCACATTTTTCTTTTAAGATTTGTGGTACCCGAATGGGATTCCTAATTTGCTTCAGAATGTATGTAGCGTTTCCGTTGGAATTTACGAAATTTGATTGCGGGATTGTATTTATTTTTTATGTGCCCGAATGATTAGCGACTTTAGGGTTTTAGCAAGAAGTGGTAGTTTTCATCCCTAAAAAACGAAAAGCGCTCATAGGCATAATATAGATTTTGAAGTGAAGGGTAAGTTGAACTTATTCCCAAATTTTTATGCAAATTTATGCATTTTGAAAACAATTGCTAGTTTTTGTACTATTTTAAGCTTCGTTCCTTGGACTAAATTGTTTATTTTTGAGCACGCCACATTTCATAAATTAGAATGCAAGAATTTTAATCTAAGATCTTTTACATGCGTAAAGCTCGTAGTTTAGGGTTGTAAATATGATAAAAATTTCCTGCTGATGGTTCACCCCTTTTTCGTGCCTTTCATTATCGATTTGTTTGTATAAGTAATTTAACATTTATAGTCCATCGGAAAAATGGAGACCCTTAAACTTTCCCAACTTTGCGAAATGGAAACAGAAGAAAGTTTGCCCGCAGATATCACAGAAGCGAGTTTAATCAACGTAAGGGGAACCATTTGTATATTCCGAAACAAATATAATCTATTAACATCCCTTATCCTTTAGAACGCATGGCAGAATAAAACTGTAGGGTGCGCGATACGCAGCCGAGAAAATTTGACCGTAGTTCACTGTTTCAAAAGCTCTCCTCTGAAACAGGCGCGTACTGTTGAATCACTCCGTTTTACTCGTTGTGACAATCAGAAAACTTCATTAACTCGTCCAAAAAAAACCCAAAAAAAATATTGCATGTAAAAATTCCATCTTGTTTGAACTGTTTCGTGTTGTGCACGTTTTGTGCTTTATCGCGAAAAACTTTAGAAAAACCACCAATAGCGTGAGTGTAAGTGTTTAGGGTGAAAGTGAATTGTAATTGTTTTCTCTGGATATTTTCACGTGTATGGTAAGTGAATGTAATAATGAAATGAACCTTGAAAATCTTTGTTGTCTGCAGTACATTTTCCATTTCTCTACCCCACAGTGCTCAGATCAATAGTTATTGGAGTTGGAAATTTTATTACATGGAGTTACTTTTTGTTTTAGTATTTGAGTATGAAGGTGCGCTTGACCCACAAAAACTTTTGGTAGCAATATTTTGATGAGATGGGTTACACGTGTTTTTTGGATGTAAGTGACATCGCGTAAATGACATCGGAGACTTTCGAGCGTAGGATTAAGCTTTACTTCGAGCCTTTTTGAGTTTGATGGATCTGTCTAAATGTCTGGTCTAAAGACGACTTTAACTAATCCCGAGTTTACGGAACTGATTTCTGTAGGTGGATCTGTAAAGTTCACAGGATTTGCCTCCAAATGGACGTTTATTATACACAGTGACGTAAGCTCAGCACAGCACTTTGAAGTAGTGTATCAATTTGTCTGTAATCCACCATTATCTGCACAACTATTCAAAATGGTAGGATAGCCTCTTTTCGAGATTTTAAGAAAGGCAGTTTATGCACAAACAGCTCTCCCCCACTCATAAAACATGAAAGCGAGTGTCAATTGGAAAGATGCATTGAAGAGAACAACCTTTTACATCCCTTATAGTTCAAAGATAAATAGAAAAGGCGCCTTCTACTGAATTCCGAAAACGTTCTTGAAATGCGTATTTAGGTTGCTACAATGCGAATTATGTCCTCAATTAAAACTTGCTTTAATAATGCAAATTCTGCATTAAGAATCCAAAATTCAAACAATGTTATCTGCATATTAAATTTTTGTAACGCGAAACTGAGACAGTCTGCACATTAATTTAACGACGAGGCTCTCAGAGAAGGAATGCAATTTTCAGTACGAAGTCGATCGATGGTTTTAGTATAAAATTGTTTCATTCCTCTATAGACAGTATCACTG